GTTTCAGAATTGTACATACTCAATACTCTTAAATCTGTTAATTAATGTAGAACTATTAAACTTCTAGAACAGCAAGACCTCTCATCAGTAAATGCTGGCTGCATTATCATGCCCTGAATTTTTCCTTCGCGTACTAGTTATGCTCCAGGAAGAGAAAAATGAATTGCAACATATCCTAATGATTACTGAGTAGGGTACGCTTGGGAAATGATATATTTGCCTTGCATATGACCTTTGAGTTGTTTTTCGTATTGTGTGCTCTTACTGAGCTGTTAGCCTTATATCCAAAGGTGGCCTCTAGGATATGCAAAGTAGTTCCTCAGGGAAGATCAGAATTAATTAAGGGTCCATTTGGCATATGGAAGAATATAGGGGGGGTCTAATCCATCATTAGATGGTCAGTTCCTGTGTGTGTAGATTTAGGAAGTTCTGCCTTAAAAAACGTATAGATCAAGTTAGAAAAATGTAATCTGAAGTTACAGACTTTTCTACCCTTACTTTCCACTGCAGCATATTTTATTAAATTTTATTTGAGGATTTGGAAGGGGAAAAGAATAGTATTTTGGTTTTCTTATATGTAATGGTTTAGTGATGTTTTCATAGAATCACATAGGTTTGGGTTGGAAGGGACCTCGAAAGATCATCTTTTCCATGGCAGGGGACATCCTTCTCTAGATCAGGCTCCTTTACGTTTTCCAGTTATTGCAGGATTATGAATTGTTTCCTGAAGCAACTGATACCTCTTCTGTTCAGTCGGCTCTACTTTTTGTTCTCGAGTTTTACTTTTTTCTCACTGTGAAAGTGAGGAATAAATTGAAGTAGCCGAAGCTGTTGTGACATCCTGGGGAGTTTACGTGTACATATCAGTGTTAGACAGGGTCCATTTTAGAAATTTGAATTTCAGAAATTGGTATCAGTACAGTGTGGCTTAATTTGGTGAGGGCTTCAGTGGGATTGGATGGAATTTGCATGGAGCTCGCTATTTAGAAGCTACCATTACTTTTCCCTATTACTGCCCCTTTTGTCAGGGAAGACCATAAATGCATTTTCGTATCTCCTGAACTTTTGTTGCCTGTTTTTTCTTCGGTTCATTCAGGTCTGTAGCAGTACAAGCTGTTTGTTGTCCCTAGAGGTGGTGACTGCTGCCAGCATGGCCAGGAACTCTTCTTCTGGTGTAGCAGGGTGTTGCGAAAATAGCAAGTTTGGACGTTTCTCATGGAAAACAAATCTGTGGAGAACATTTTAGCATGTTTGCCATGACCAGAAAGGTTTTGATGGGGGCAGAGCTGTCTTTGCCAACAGCGCGTTTGTTTGGAAGCTGCAATTTTTGGGCTTGAGCTTCTGAGCCTTTTGTAACAGCAGAAAGAGGAAGCGAACAGTGAAATCACTTTAATAACATATTTCCTGGTTGAAGTGACTTATCTGTGAGGCCTAGACAGAGGAGATGTCATTTCCTGGATTACTTCTCTTCAGTTTGAACTGTCTGTGCAATCTTTTGACCCAGCTTCTTAATTGTAGTGCCATTTTCGTGTTAAGTGATGAAAACTAGCCCTTTTAATGAAAACGTAAAGCTTTAAGGAGACACCTTTTCACAAAATGCTAATGTGCAAGACAAGTCTTTCATAATCTACAGGTTGATAGGAACGTGAAATCCTTCACCTTAAAATTATGTTCAAGAGCTTAAAACCTTGTCTTTGAGAGAGTATGATAATAAGGTTTGTTCACAGGGATAAAAAAAAATAAATTTGTCACTCTTTCTGTTTCTTGTGATGCTGGTACTAATCCCCTCGTCTGTGCCACCAGCTGTAGCTGAATGTCCTCAGGAGTTAGGACACTTCCAAGTAGTTAAGAACAGGCAGCTGCGCTGTTCTCAAATTTCTGTTCATTAATAGCAACTTGTGAAAATTGTTACCAGAAGTCCATGAAAAGGAGACACAAAGAGCTAATATAAAAATTAGCTGCAAATATGGTTCTTAGTTTTTTATAACCCACAAAAAAGGCTGTGGAATGGGAATGACATGGAGGGAAAAAACATTGACATCTGAAGTGATAACGTACAGCTCAGTGTAAATTGGAAGTTATGGTTGTTTTGGACCTTGTAATCCTACTTTACTAAAATGTCTGTTAGGGATGATGACTTTATTCTTTTCCTTGACTTTGTGCATAAGATATAAGTAGAACATGCTATAAATGTTTTACTTGCCAACCTCAAAAATACCTTTGCGTGAAAAGCATTAAAAGAGCAGATGATCTCACCTTTCTCCCCCTACAAAAACGTGAAGAACAAAAATATGCCTCATTGGTTTGTGTTAGTACAGAGTGCTTTTACGTCTCCCTTAAAATGTCTACCCAGTTGTTAGTCATCATTAAAATATAGTTTCAATAGAAATGAAAGGTGAATGTAAAAGGAGTGATAAATAAGGTATTAGACTGTGAAGAGAGAAACAGAGTAAGAAGATGCTTGGAGCCCTAGAGAATTAGTTTTTTATTTTTGAATTTGTGCAGTAGAAACAAGAACTGTGATTCATCAGAAAAAATATGCTCGGGACCAGTTGTGAAACTGGGATTCTAAAGAGTAAGAAAGACTTATTGTGATACTGTACATAGGTACTGTAAACTACAGTTGTATAATAATGAAATTATACTGCAAATATATTAATGCAAGGTTAGCTTCAAGTGATATTCGATGTTGAAGTTAGGTGTTGTGTGTAAACTACCAGCTAATTGGAACTGAGACTTCATTGCGTTGGGTAAAATCATAAAAGATGTCCCAGCTGTTCTCCATCAGGGCATTCAATATGGTCCTTTTCTACACATCGCAAGGTGAAGATCCATGTTTCTGCAGATACACTGTGCTACAGAATGAGATATCCTTTTTTGGAAGGCAGTGTTTGCTACACAAAGAGTTTGGTATTACAGATTCTATTACGTTATTTTACAGGAAATCACCTCAAGTCAGAATACTTTCCGTTGGATTTGTCCGGATTTGTCCAGGTTATTGGGCAGTTCCTGTGCAAATCATACAATGATCAATCCAGAAGTATTTAACAACTTTGTTACTTTGGTTTAGTTTTATTGCATCTTTCATAAAAATGTTATCAAATTTTAAAGCTAGGTACTAAGTCTTTTATCCTTCTGAAAGATGAGTACGATGTCCTAGTGCATCACTCCTTCATCCTTAATGGCTCTTGTGGGAATAGTTATGGTCAAGACTAAAATAATACCTATAGATGTTGTTCATAAAATGACTAATGATTGACACTGTGTCTTCTTCATTGACTTCCCTTTTTGCCTATTAATACTGTTTTCTGTTTCTTTTTGTAAGGAAGTTCTAAAACATGATGCAAAGGATCTTTATGACACAGTTCATGTTACATAGATTCAGGAGTAAAATTCCACTTTTACTCTGTGCAGCAGTGGAAATATTAATAGGTGTTACATCACAGAATGGTTGAGGTTGGCAGGGACCTCTTGAGATCACCTGTCCAACACCCCTGCTCAAAGCAGGATCAACTGGAGTAGGTTGCCCATGACCGCATCCCGTCAGGTTTTGAATATCTTCACTGATGGAGACTCCACAACCTCTCTGGACAACTTGTGAGCACTTGACCACCCTCATGGGGGAAAAAAGTGTTTTCTGGTGTTCAGATGACTGCTATTGATCCTTCCCAAGACACTTTCACTTGTTAGGAATTAAAAAAAAAAGGCAATCAAATCTCTTAGTTTTGAAAATGTGCTTAATCATTAACGTCTTTTGTGGTGAAAAGCAACATCTCCACAGATAAGGTAGTCTTATCTGTGCATATGGGTATTTAGGACAATCTGGCATTCAAAATGTATTTAATAATCTTGGGCTTTGCCTTTAACTCTACCCAAGTAGATGACGGAATCACAGAATTCTTAGAATGAATATAATAATCTTAATGAGATTTACAACAGAAATGATCCCTTCCCAGTTCTATTAAGAAAAATAATAATAAAATCAGCAGGTTCTTAGCTATCGCCTCAGTTATTAAGAAGATTGAAAAGCTGTCTAGTTCCTTTGGCTGCCTATTAATAAAGGTGGTGTGGTCTCTGACTTAAATCTCGGGATGCCCTGTCAAGGCTCAAAAACCTGAAGAAACATCTCAGGATTTTCTTCTTAGAGCAATGAGCAAAACTGCCGGTTCACTGGAGATGCTGAGAACGAATGGAGTCTCTGCCTCCACTTAGTATCTGAAACTAATTTTTATTTTTGTTTGTCCTTCTGTAACTAGAAAGGGCTGTGTGTTTTGAAGAGTAATTTTATAATTTTTTTCTTGCTGAAAGGTGGAATTGTTTAAGTCTTTAGTTTAGCTTTTGGTGATGTCATCCCTTGCCATTTTAAGAGGTCTCGATTGTTCTTTATGGGGGGGACATTGATAATTGGTAGCAGGATGGTGTGTAGACCTCTGGCTCGTCTTCTGTTGAGTCACTTAGAAAAGGTAATCTAGTCTTGTGAGCTTGAATTTTGTTGTGAATTTTCTTAAGTTTAGGCCATGTCTTGCTTCCAAGAAAAAAAATATGCAGTTGTTTTTTGAATATCCAGAATGAGAAGGCAGAGAGAATGTGGTCAAAGCAATAATATGTATAATGCAAAGATAAAGTTTTTTTAATATGCAGGAAAAGTGTAATGGAAATAAGAAAAGCAGATTGACTAAACTAAGTACCTTAAATCACTGTTTAATGAGTAAGATTACTTAGTGGTTGAGATTAAAACTACGACTCCAGTTCTAAGTCCGAGTGCCAGTAATGGGTGGTAATGTATCTGGACTGTTTATAGACCAACTTGGAGCCAGTCACTCTGTGTTAGCTCCTCTGCGGTGACTGCTTTATAAACATACTTGAGAGCTTGTTTGATTTGCCTAGTAGGAATGTAATGCGTGCTTGAATAATATGTAATCAGTCTCAGCCATAGTAGTCCTAAGAAAGTTGTTAGTTATGATTTAAAACTCAATTAACTTGTTTTTATTTCTTTTCAGGATGGCTTGAATTCTTTGGTCCTTGATCTGGATTATCCAGCGCTGAGGAAGAACAAGAACATTGATAACTTCCTAAATAGATGTAAGTTGCAAGTGGCCCTTAAACCGTGACATCGTTATGATCTCAGTCAGGGGAAGATGAGTGGTCAGAAATGCATTGCTGATTTTCATTTTACTAATTTTTATAACTCTGAGCTTTTATATTCAGAAGGCTTTGGAGGGCCATTTAAAATTGAGAATTTTCAGTTGGGGGAGTCAGTTTGCTGAAAATAAGTTGGTATATACCAGTTGGAAAAATCCTTTTATGTTACTTTTTAACATAAGTATGCCTGGTGACATAATTTGCAAAGCATATCACAGTTATTATTCTTTAGGAATTAATTATTCAAAAATGTCAACATTGCATATACAGTCTTACTTAATCTAACAGAGGAGCCTTCTGTTGATTTTAAAAACTAAATTATTATACCTTAAAATCTCTTGGTGCATTTTTGAACCTTTGTTGTAAATGTTTGTGATTCTCCCCACGTTAATTGTAGACAGGATCTTGGAGTTTATTGAGCATATGAAAATGGAAGACTTACATCAGAGTAGCTGCATTGTGTCTTCTTAAAGTCTTTTCTATCCATGTATCCATTTTTCCCGGTGTAAAAATAGTATATTATTTGCTTTAAAATGTAAGTTACAATGAGTAAGCCTTCTTGGAACAATTATGCTTTATAGTGAGCTTATTTTGAGATACTACTTTTTTAAAAAAAACTTTTGTATTGCATATATTGAGGTTCCTGCAGATGCAGTCTTATCAGCAACCCTCTTTTGGGTCGTTACTGGTAACTTGTGTCTGCCCTCCATTGCTCTGGGACTCAATTTGAATATCCACTTGTGCTTCTCGGATAAATAGTGGTTGGTGTAGTCATTTGTGGTAATTTCTTATGTTTGGAATTAAGTGCTTCTTTGTGAGGTTTAGCAGAGCCCTGTAGCTGGACAGACAGCTTTACAGTGGCCAGTAAAGTCTCATTTAGAGAAGTCACTGGAGACAGAATAAATAAGAAATAGCAGATTCGGAAGGAGAGACATACCTTGGGATTATTCTAAGTTTGAGTTCAAAGGAATTCAAGCAGATATTTATGAAAGAAAGAGTCAGGAACAGCATTTTAAGTAGGTTTTTTTTTACCTGCAGCTGTGCATTGTGACTGTAATGAGAGGAGAAAGCCCTATCTACAGCAAATATGAAAATGACGTAGATGACAGTATCGTTACTTTTATGATCAGTTCAGATTTACCTTTACATTTTTGCAGTAGGACAAAATTGGAAGGTTTTTATAATCAGAAGGCCAGTATCTTGTGGAATCTGGCTATTAAAAATAGCAACTCTGGGAAAACAATTTAACCTTGGGAAGAGGTTTTTTTGTTGTTTTTTTTTCTGCAGCCCCTGAACATTCTGTCTTCACTTCTCTGAAGGCTGTTGCTCCTTCTCCTACTCCAGCTCCTCTCCCATTGTTGCAGTAAATATTACTAAGCATCTGATGTGGCCTGCAGGCGCCCAGCAATGGCAGACCCAAAAATATGCTTTGGTGCACAATTTTATTATTGTTTTGGGTTTTTTTTAAATCAGCTGACACTTTATAGTTGAAATATGCAGATAATAGTTGAAGAAAATTCTGAGATGTGTTACAAAAAAAAATTCGTTGTAGTTAATGAAGAGTTTTCACCTGTTGACCTTTAAAAAAAAAGACATGTAAGAGCTGACTATTTTTGGCTCACACATAGCAAGGCCGGGCATCTCCCTTTAGAATCACCCATGCAACCTCTCTCCTCTTTCTCTACTGCCTGAGAGAGAGTGAAAACCTGTGCTGCGGATCTTCTGTGATCTACACTTTTTTAAAAAAAAACTATTTCTGAAATAAGACTTCTGTAAACATTTGAAGCTGGTCATATTTCAACACTGCAACTGAATCAGTCCTGCCGCAGTGATCTGTTTTAAAGTCCTGCCCAATGGAGGTGTTTGTGTGGTTTGTTATGAAGCAGGTTGGGGAACTGAGCAGAATTAATGCAAAGAGTGAGGTGGGTGGTTTGTTTCTTTCTTTTTGCTAAAACTAGTCAGGCAAAAGAAAAGCAAAGACCAATTCCTGACTTTTATTTCACTGATACTTGTGCTGGCACATAAGGAGCTGCTTGGGTGCAAGAAAAAACAGGAGGGCAGTTGGCTTCTTACTGGCATTGTCATTTTATGTGATTTAAAGTTGTTGAACCCATAGCTCGTGTGTTTTTGGAAACTGTTTTGGAAGTCGCACGTATCAGTGGAAAGGAAGAGCATACACGTGCTTGCTGAAGCCTCTCGTTACCTTAGGCTTGGAGAAAGAGTTAGGGATTGTATTAAGAATTTGTGGAACAGTAGTTGTTTCTCTCTTAGGTTAGGGAACAGCGAGTTCTTGTCTCCTCTGATTTTTCTCAGCATGTGAAGAGCTGTAGCAAATGCCTAGATGAGAATTATTGTCAAAAGGTTCTGACAGACTCTGATGAACGGTTGGTGCCGGGGGCCTGGAGCCTGTGTCCCTCCTCAGGGCTTCCTGAGGACACCATGGAGAGGTGACAGGGCCGTCCTCCGAGTTAGCACCCTGTGCTGCAAAGTGGAGCAGCTGAGGCGGAGCTGTTGCATATGATGGTTCTAATCTATATTACACAAATCCTCAAAAATTGTGGAGCAAACTGCTATCATCATCACACTTACAGTCAATTTAATCACTTAATTCTTCCACAATAACATTTCAAGAAGGAAAAGTTTTTTTTCTACCATATTCCCGGGAGTTTGGATACACCCTGCTTCAGACCTACTGCAAGTCATTGCTAATCAGGTTAATGTTTTATTAATAGCTTATTTTAATTTAAAAATTAAACAGTTTGCATCTCAGCTGAGACATTAATTGATATTCAGCTCAACTCCTAGTTTGAAGCTGAAACTCAAATGTTTTAACTCATTTAACAAAACTACAATTTATTAATTGCCCATATTATAGGCATTTGGTATATCCTGTTTCTGTGACCACTCTGCAGAAGCAACCTCTTCACATGTTTAATTTGTAAGAAATTTTATAATTGTCTGCTTTCCCTTATTGTTCTGATTTCTTACCACTTTTTCTAAGGCATTGAACCAAAGTAGAGCATGTATTTATTATGAGGCACCTAAGTATCTCACATATTACAACCATTCCTTTTCAGTCTTCTGTATTGCTTTAATCAACAGTTAGGATTCTGGTTAAATTGCTGATGTTTTTCAAGTATTCATGGGACAGGGAAGCATAACACAATATAGAATTCCCAAAACAATGAGAGTAATCTCATAGTCTTCTGAGAGTGAAAACTGACTTGCTTATTTTAGAAAAGAAGCTTGAGCTTTCCAGCATGGGCTTGGTGTATCAAGTCTTTCTTAGTCTTTTCTTTTCCTCTTGTTATCTAGGCCATGACAACAGGTTGAGTCAATTCTTCCAAGTCACTTTTTTTTGCCAGCTGAGAATTGCCAAGTGTTGAATCATTTCTTAGTGGTTTGTGCCTTTTTTGGTGGTCTCCCATGCAGGTACTATGTAGCTTGTTAGCTGCTTTAACTTCTGGGAGCAGATAATTAAGCAACAGTTAAAAATATTTCATCATTTATAGTATTATCATCAAGAATAGAAGGGCATGAAGAATGGATTTTGAGGAGGTCCAAACAGCTGCACAGGGAGTGGTGCCATCAACAGGCCTGCTACAGTCCGGGAGCCTTGACTCCCTAAATGGATCAGTGACTTCCTAAGTATTATCCAGCATCACTCAAAAATTGGAAACCTCCATTGTTAAAATGATTTGCTGATTTTGTGGAGGTTTGCAAACTTGTAGAGTGTAACAGCAAATGGATGTATTTACAGTGGAAGGAACGTTTAGTCCAGGTGTGTCACTCATGCAGCAGCTTTGCTAACCCCCAAATAAACTTCCTAAAAGGTTGCTTTTGCCATTTTCCTCTCCAAGCAGGCACTGCTTACTTAGAAGATTTATCTGTTAATCTTAACTTCTTGCAAAAAGTACCAGTTCTGGTTCCTTCTCTTATATTTTGTTGTGTTGCTTGCAGTTGCTGAATCACAGGCCAGCCATGTGGTTACCAGCAGCAATGCGTGCTCTGGTACGGTGTGAATGCCTGCCATGGCTGTGATTCTCCGTGCTCCACGCCTCCTGGCAGTGACACAGGATAAATGTCAGATGCTAAGAAGAATCTTAGAAATGTAATGCACTGTAGAATTTACATTAAGGAGCTAATTACCCCTCTGGTTTTCTGTTGGCTTCTTTAAGGCTGCTCCTTGCCAGGTCTTTGCAGACACCTCGGCAGGTTGGGCTCTCGTTCCATTCTTAATGATAACTGTTCTGCTAAGAGTAGCTATGGGAGAAGACTTTTCCCAAGCAGAGCATGAATTAGAGCCACAATTTTTAGATACCTTAGATGTATAAGCAATGTATATGTCAGTCAAAAACTACTTTTGCATTTGGGTACTTGATAGATAACAAAGCAGTTCAGTTCTGCCATTATGCTTACTTTCATTAAGTCAGGGATGTGTCCTCTGCAAGTCAGAGGACTGCTGCTTTCCATTTCCCTAAGACAACACACTTCTTGTGTTCCTATTCCTTTTGTCTGGAGGGGGAAGTGCTCACTTGTCTGAAGCTGTGCCTTCTGGTTTCTGCTGCGTCTGCAAGGTCTCCAGCAGCTTCTTATTCCTCACACACCTTTGACCAGATATTGTGTATGCAGCCCTAATTACTTCAGTCTTTCTGTTGTGCTTTTTTGTTTGGTTTTGGGCGGGTGTGGGATTGCAGTACTTCCTGGCTCTACTTCAGTTTAACTTCTGGCCAGACTTTTGCCTGGGGCAGCAAGTTTTGACTTAATATACTCCATAGCAGCACTCATTGACTGACTGTGTCTGGTCTGTGGGGATAAAATTGCACTCCCTTGCATTTTTATCCCTCGTATATACACACCCCAGAACTGCCTGATATATTTTCTTTTTAAGAAAATAACCTGGATATGAACCTTTTTTCTTTTTAACCTCTAAGAGCAGAAAAGCTTGGTTTTCTCCTCCTCCCCACCCCTCTTTACTCTTCTAGTCAGGTATTTATTCCATTTTCACAAGCACTTGTAACCTTCAGCCACATTCTTGCTGCCAGCTGTCAGTGACTGAGCCAAACACTCTGCCCTTTCAGAAAGTGAGGCTTCATTTGTTTAAAGGTTATAGTGCCATTTTCAAGCAGTAAATCAAAAGCTGTCTTTAAACATTCATGCTGTCCAGCATTCCTGGTCCTTCCTGTGTTAATGAAGAAACCTGAGTCATAGGCTATGGCATACTCACATTTTAGGACTTCTAGTCAAATATCACAATTTTTTTATAAGATTCCATTACATTCTGGGGCTGGGGAGTCCATCTAATGTCTTCCTTTAAACCTAACATTTTTCTTCTGCTGGGCTTCACGCTGTTGCAAATCCATGGTGCCCTAAGACACAGTCTGTGGTGTGTGTTCATGCACAAATGTACAAACTCATCTGTGTGAAACCTTCTGAGAAATTCAGTCCTCTACCAAAAGGATAGTGTTGGAAAGGTCTCCTGCACCTTGAATTAGAACGTGTTATGTGATACATGAACTAAATCATATGATCCAGCATGTTGCAATTATGACATCGCTTCAGGGTTTCTCTGAGCTTGCCTTCCTGCGGCCCGTTTTTTGTTTCAAGTTAGTTCCATGCTTTGATTATCTGTTCTGTATGTGTTAGATTTTATGACAAAATCTACAATTTGCATTTGTCCTCCTTGTCTTCTGATCTGCGATTACGTAAGATTCCAAGCACAGTCTTCCCTTCTCAAACTGCAGAGTTAGTTCACAACATGAACAAAATAATAAACTTGGTGTGGGTAAAGCATTGTTGCTGTTCTGTGCTTCCCATCTAAGCTTTCATGATTCGCTGTAGAAAACAGCCTCAGAATTCTCTCAGCTTCTTTTCCTGTTCACGCTCTGGATTACTTCAGAGTCTTACTGGGACACTGAATGTAGCAGATTTGTCTGCTTTTGAGGTTTTTACTTGCCTCTGTCCTTATATCTTTACTAGCAGACTCTTTCCCTCAGTATTAACTTTTTTATTTCCCTTTAAATCTCTCCTCTTCCCTTACATACATAATCTTTTCCTCAGGAGAAGAAATTTTTAGTTGCAATTTGTGTCCCAGATGTTAAGAAGGACCTCTGGAGGTCAACCATCCAATTCTGCTCAAGCCAAACCAGTTTTGATGCCAGATCAGGTAGTTCAGATCCTTGTGCAGCTGAATTTTGAAAATTTCTGAAGATGGAGGTTTTGCAGCTCCACCAGACAGTCTGCTTCATTCCCCAATTCTAGGGATTCTTTTCCTAGAAAATAGGATTCCCAATGTTCCAACTTGTCTGTTGCTTCTTGTCGTTTCACTTTGCACCTATCATAAGTAAAACCTCCTTTCAACTTCTGCTGAGGTCAGCCATTTGTTTCGACTGCCCTAAGCTGAACAATTCCAGTTCTCTCAGCTTCTCTATGAGCATCATGTGGTCCCACCCCCTAAGCACCTTGGTGGCCTTCCATTCAGCTAGGGAATGTTTTGATATTTTTCTTGCACTGGGGAGCCCAATGCTAGACATAGTGTTCCAGATGTGGTCTCACAAGTGACAACAGAGGGGAAAAAAATCACTTCCTTCAACCCAGTGGCTGTGCATTTACCAGTGCAGCCTCGTGTGCAGCCAGTGCAAGGGCTTGCTGCTCATTCCTCTTTGTTCATCTTGCACTGGGGTCCACCAGGGCTCTCGGGTCCTCTTTCTCAAGGTGCCTTCTAGCTGGTGAGCACCCTCCTGTCCTGTTGTGTGGTGTCATTGCATCCCAGCTACAGGATTCTGCATTTGCCTTTGATGAACTTTGTGAGGTTCCTTTCAGCTCATTTACTAATCCTGTCAGGGTCCCTCTTAGGAGCAGCCCTGCCCTGCAGCGTATCAACTTTGAACTTTGGAGCACTGACCATGACTCCAGCAGGTTTTCCACCTACCTTGTATTTTCTCTGTACAATCCATGTCAGCCTGGTTTGGCTACAAGGATACTGAGATGCTCCATTGAAAGTCATTCTACACTCAAGGAAAGGAAAAATGTACTACTTTCCCCTTGTCCACCAAGCCACACACCTCATCATGGACGGCAATGACGTTAATCAAACAGTTTGTTCCTTTCCAGCTGTTCCTATCCTTTCCTCTCCATCAAATGCTTGGAAGTGGGTTCCACAAGGATTTGCTCAGTGATCATACTGGGCAGTGAGGTTAGGCTGCTGTTCCAGACTGTAGCTTTCTGGATCCTCCTTGTCATCCTTCTAGAACACAGACATGACATTTGCCCTTTCCAAGTCATCAGGAGCCTCCCTAGGATGCCATAACCTTTTAAAGTTGATAGAGAGCAGCCTGGTAATGGTGTTGACTGACTCCTTCAGCATGCTCAGATGCATCCTGTGTCATCTTACGGCCCGGTGTATGTAAAGTTTGCTTTATTGGTCCTTAACTCTGACTTCTACTGCTGTACCACTGCCTCACACTCTGGGGAGCTGGGAGGTCTGTGAGCAGAACTCACCAGTGAAGTCTGAGGCAAAAGAGGCATTGAGTACCTTGATGTCCTCCGTGTCCTTTGGCACTAGATCTCCTACTCCACCAGGAACAGTAGGCCCACATTTGCCTCATTCTTTCTTTGATTGCCAGTGTATTTATAAAGGCTAGTTTATCTTCATAACCCTGGCTAGCTTCAGTTCCAGCTGAGCCTGACTTTCCCAGTTCCATCCATGCATGCTTGGGAGATTCCTGCTGGGTAGTGCATCTCTGCTTCCGTGTTCCAAACCTTTGCTTTTTGTGTTTGAGTTGAGGCAGAGGATGCCCATTCAGCCAAACTGGCTCTGTGCCATGCCTGCTCGGTTTCTAGCTGACTAGAACAGACTGTTCTTGTACTATGAACATGTCATCTTTCAAGATCAACCCACTCTTCTACCCTCCACAGTGGCTTCCCACGAGATGCTGCCTATGAGTTCCCTGAACAAGCTGTAGTCTGTTCTCCCAAAGTCCAAGGTCTGCTATTTTCCTTCCTCGGTTCTCTCAGGGTCTTAAATTCCACCATCTGAAGGTTGCTTCAGCCAAGGCTGACACAGACTTTGTCACCCCTGGCCAGTTCTTTCTCATTAGTGGGTAATAGACCAGAGTGCCTCCCTGGTTGGGTTTGTTGCTCACTTGGGTCAAAAGAAATATTCTTGATGGCCTGGCATCTCCTGGATTGCTTGTAGCCTGCCAGGTTGCTCTTCATGAATGTGCAGGAATGGTTAAACTATTTACTAGATGTTTATTATCATTAACTCCCCACTGACAGTGTCGTCTTTAATGCCATACTGAATTAACAGTACCTCTGATCCTTCTTCCCCCTGTGTTCAGAGCTAAGGTCCCCTTTCGTGCCTTTCTTGGGATCAGATTCCACGATCTTTGAGCCTAAATAGGGATCTCGCAATATACACCTCTGCTCTTCTCTGAATACAAGCATCCACAACTCTTCGTACAATTCCATGCTTTTCCCTGGTAGAGGTCTTGCTCCAGCCAACCTGTTTCCCTTTGGGTTGTTCTTCCTCTAAGCACGTGTGGGGACAGTGTCAAAGCTTGTCACCTTAAGATTGCCTCCAGTAGTAAGGATTCCATTCATTACTCCCATTGTCTTTGTAATAAGAATAGATTTTTAAAATGCATTTAGCCAGGAATACATTCACTAGAGCATTCAAACTTTGCAAAATTAAAGAGTCTAGGATCCTGCATGTTTTTAGAATTTGTCAGAGGTCAGAGTTTCACTGGTTTTCCTTCCAGATTCCCACAACTGGCAACAAGAAAAATACTGGAAGAGTTTATCTGCAGAATATTGCACCAGAGGATACTTGAATTGAGCATCATAGACCTAATTTTAAAAAATGTAGAACTACACATGTAGTGAGCTCTAAAAAGCACTTTGAGATGGCCAGCAGTTACACAAACATATGTCAATTTGAATTATTATTTCCTATGAAGTGAAGGAGTGGATCTGAAGCCATATCCCTGCTGTTGAAACCTCCAGGTGTGTAGGAGCAGGCTGCACCTGCAGAGCTTTTGTGTGCACCAGGTATTTCACACTCCTGCATTATCAGTCGAGTGTCAGGGGATCCTGGCAGCACAGCAGGTGGCAATGAATAATTGTCTGAAAATTCAAGATAGGCTTCTCTGGTTGTTTTCATTACTAGAGTCTTTCTGTGAGCTTGTGAATGATTATTAGAGGTGTGAAATGAGAGTCAGCAAAATGCAAAAGACAGTTCAGCTAAAGGTAGATAGTTAATAGTTTCCCAACAATAATGAAACAATAATGAAAATTATTCGTAGCTTCAGATTTCAAGAATTACCAAGAAGGCTCTAAACAGTTAAATAAAAATAGGGTGTTTTTTTAATCTGAATGAAAAATGTTAAAGAAAATTCTTGTATTCTGTTAATGCATGCGTTATCACAACTTCTATTTGATTTGTTTTAGATGAGAAGATTGTGGAAAAAATACGAGCTTTACAAATGAAAGCTGAAGACTATGATGTTGTCAAGGTGATTGGAAGAGGGGCTTTTGGAGAAGTGCAGCTGGTAAGAATGTAATGATTTAATGATTAGACAGATTTATGGCTCTAACCAGAACCTTCCCCAGTCTTGCGTGCTTTCTATCTAAAAGTGCATTCTTACAAAGAATAAATGTTGTTTTCATTGTATCATAAGGTCATTTCTGTACATCTGAGTTTAAAACATGATGGATTGGAAGGAAAGGACTTGGGAAACAGTTTGCTATCCTTTCATTAAAATGAAATAAAGCAGTTCATGGTAATTCTGATTTTTTTTTTTGGCCGCAAGCATTACTGTATAATCTATAAAACCTTCCTATGAAAGAGCAAGCTAATTGTGCAACACCAAAATATTTGTTTTGCTTTTATAATTGTGCTGCTTGTATTGTATTTAGCTGATATAACTCATGTAAGATTGTCCATTCGTATCCCATATAATATCTAATGTAAAAATGGGATTACTTTTTAAATTTATATTGCAGAGAAATTCTATTTAAAAAAAAAAGCAATCAAAATACATAAAGTAACTTAGTATATGATGCGTAGTCTCCTTTTCATTTAATTCTGAATTTGCCTGGACTTCCAAGTCATACTGTGTGATAAGTAGCACAAAAATGTGAGCATATGTTTATGATGGATTGATATGTCAGTTTTGACATAAGCTATGGATGTAAGCACCAAGTAGAATCTGAGAATACAAACATCAGGAACAAGTTATCATGAACTAACAGAAAACTGTGCACCAGCTCATCCATGATAATTTTCCATGTAAGCATTTGTAGAGGAAGAGAGATGCGAAGCACGTCAGTGGAAAGGGGAGCAACTGATTAGCAGCAATTGAAGTGTTTTATCTTGTTACCACAAGGTAACCAAAATTACCCTTTGGCTTGAGCCTTTTGTCATGGAACTGTCATTTTACAGTTCCAGGCTAATTTTGCACGAGGAAGCTGGGAAAATCATATTGTCTTGTAATATAAAGGAATTTTGGAAAACACAAAGATGTTTTGGAGTTTTGTTGAGGAATGTGGCAAGATCTTAGCTCTGAAATGCTTATAGGAGGTACACAATGTAAAATGGCAATAAATTCATTATCCTGTTATAAAATTACTTGTATTTTTCATATAGGTATTGGTGAAATTGTTTAGAATTGGGGAGAAAAAACTGCAATTAGCCTAATATTATTTGTGTGACTCATAGGTGATTTGCAAATTTAGATGTAATTCATGTGGTAGTTAACATTTAAATCAGCAATTTTTATTCATTTATGTTATTTTTGAAGGCAACTTCATCGAAGTATGGCAACATGAGAATGTAGCTCCTTCTTTCTTGTTTCTTTTTGAATCATTTGCACTTTGTTTTTACCCAGAAGAATTTATGAAATATGGAGGGGAGTATTTCCAAAGGTCCCCATTTTCAAACAGACTTAAAAATATTCATATGAATCTTTATATGGTTTTATAACCTTGTAGCAAGAGATTAAAAATAAAACCAAAAACCTCCAGCAGAACCTTACTTATTTGAGAAGGGGCTGCTGCAGGGAGGTTTGTAAGAAAGCAGTCTACTCTTTGTCTTTTCACTTACAGTCACATCAAACGGTATGTTTTAAAGTCTTCTATTAGATATTTTCATCATTATATATATTGTATAGCTAATAGAGATGCTCCTTTTCACGTGCTTGCATGGGAAGTCAATGAAGAATTGAGTTTTAAGGAGCAGAATTCCTCATCTGTTTGTTGGGGGGGGGTGGGGAGATGAAAAAGAGAAGGTCGCAGTAACAAGTCCTGCGTTTTTTGGATGCCACACTGATGTATTTGCTGGAAGCATCCAAGAGAATTGTATTTTTAATGTGCTTCAAAAGTCAAAATACATTGTTTTCATATCTATATTTTTAAGGGCTTTTCTAAATAATTTTCTTTTTTTTTTAACATTTCATTTAAAATATAAGTTCTTAATTTGTTCTGGCTTAGAATGGAAGCTTATTTTTTTAATTCACTGTGTCATGCACAATTAAATTCTAAAGCAGAGATGATTTTTCACAGTGTACAGACTGCAGTTAGGTAGTTTGAGGGGTCTGAAGGCAAACTTTACTTCTCATTTGCCTCATCATTCTAATGTGCTGGTAAAATGCATAGTAACTTAGTCATATAATGATGGGGTTTGAATTTTTATTCTTTATGTGTTTTTTTTTTTTTTTTTAAATTCTTTAAATAAGCCCTTCAAGTTCTAAAGTAATAAAAGCTAAGAATGCTTAGTACTGGAAGGGAGCTCCTGTGTGTTCATATAGAGCTCTTCTGTGCTTCATGCCAATTTAAAAGAAGAACACTCTTTTTCTGGAGTGTAAAAATATAAGTAGAAATCATAATGCTATGCAGTCTTACAGCTAAAAAGCAGTGGGTGAATAAATGCAGCTGTAGATATGAACTAATATTAGCTGGTGATGAGGGCATACATACCTAAATTTTTTGCCTCACAAGGTATGATACAAGTTTAAACTATTGAGCTAAGCTATATCTATTTCTACTCCATTCAAAATGTTAACACCACAGTTGCAGATGATGGATTTGCAGTAATCAAAATATTTTGCAACGCATTCTGTGATCAAAATAGAAATTTGCTTCAGTGGGGGCTTAAACGCAGAAAGAACCATAAATAAAACATGATTAAATACATGGGTTAAATTAATGAATGTCATGTTATCAGTGTGTGCTGTTGTGCATAAATATTTGTAGCACAAATATTTGTTAAATATTTGTAATAGTTAAATATAACAAGCCAACAAATGAGTATGTTAATATTCAGCATAAAATAGTCAGCGATGACCACCTTCATTTATTTTTGTTTCCCCCAAGCTTTCTGCTCCAATACAGCATTTTCTTGTGAAAGAAGTGGTGTGCAGAGATCAGCTTCCCAGGTGCTAGCAAGAAAGGAAAACACAATCTCTACTGCTGTATTAATTAAAATTTAGAGCTAGATCTTTTTTTTTTTTTTAAATAGCCTCGCTTTCCCTCTCTCCTTTCCCCCAAAAATTAAAAAAATCAGTCCAGTAAAGAGAAATCAGATGACTCTGGTCTGAGCATCTGACTTTATAGGAAATTGTTTTTCCACCAACTCCAGAAGTATTAAACTCCAGCCAGAGCTTTGGCCTCTGGATTCCTGGGTCCCTGGTGATGGGGAAAGCTAAGAAAATAATTGCCAGCTGCCAGATCCCGTCTTCTCTTATGCACTGCTGTGAATTAAAAGTGACTGGTGTCTAGGGCAGACAGAAAAATTGAATTATGGTGCTTAATATGTTACTTGTGGTTTATGCAGAAGCAGTAATTTATGAAAGCACATCCTGAGTACCTCGTTTGTTTTCACTTGATTTGAAATTGAAGCATGTCCTCAGTCCCTTCTCCGATCACAGGGTGCTGTATCGGTGCAGGGACACAGTGGTGACTGACTCCCTGTGCTGGAACAGAAAACTAGAGCGGGGCTGATGCTTTCTTGTGCTGGCTCAGAAGGGATGCTCTGGGTGATAGTCTTTACTGGTGCTTTACAGATGCTGGTTTAGTTTTTTCCATTAAGTAAGTGCTTTGTTTAGCTCCCCAGCTGCTGCTGATGTACACGTCTCTAGTAATGCGCATAAAGCAGTTGTGGTCTAGTTACCTGAAAATTTGTCAGGGTATGGACTTAGGTACTATAAAGTATTTTAGGATACTTGTGATTATTTCAAACCTTATTTCACAACTCCAGGATCTTCATTTTCTTTTATCATAAAAGAGATGGTACCATTATCAACACTATGCACTCAATCTGATAACTTGCAGATATGTTATTTTCTTTACCTACAGATTTTTTCTGACACCATTCCTATAGAAATTATGGATGCATTTTGTGCATACTTGTTTCTTGATAGACTTAGACTGATGAAGCGGAGTAGAGGGAAATTCTTATTTCTTAATGCATTTTCATAAGTTAAATGAGGCCATGTTACTCAGTCTGGTGGCACGAAGGGATTTTCCTACCTATTTTGAGAGTTGCTCTGGTGAGCTGCAGTTTAAATTTGGCAGTTCATTTAAACAGTTGGAAGAAATTGAAACATCGTGACAGTTTAATACATGAATAATCTGCTATACGAGCCAATATATGTATGTACAAATATAGCTCGGGGTAAAGAGCACAGCGGTTAGCAGCTAAATAGGCTGTGTCCAGGGGCCATGGTGGTGGGTCTAAGCAGTAACATCACCAGTGGGGCACGGGCATGACACACTCAGCCTTTGGGTGTGCCAGCATGATAGTTGTTGCTTGGGTTCCTTGATTTTTGTACGGGGAATGAACCTATCTTGAAATTTTCCTCAAGAAATAAGTTACCCAACTAATAACCTGTTGGCAGTACCTCAGCCAGGAGCCCAGGCTGTGATTTCTGGGCCCCCTACCCCTCTTCTCCTGTGCATGAGCTTGCTTCAGGCTGTGCTGAATTTTTGGGACTTTCATCATCGATTAAACAGCATCTTTTTGAGGTCACTGGTCTTTGTGTTTCTTCTGGTTTTGAGCAGGATTACAAAAGCTCTACTTCATGGTGTGTAGTTTGTGGTGCGTCACCGAGTCTGTAAATAATCCCATGTGGGATTAGTAAATGGGAACAAGGTAGTTTTCAAAATCCTTTTTTTTGGACACCCTTCATTAGCTGGTTAATTGTTAATGTCTTAAAAAAAAATTCTTACAGGGTCATTAATGCATGTAGAAATGTGTTTCTGTTTTGGTGTTTGGTATGTATCTAACTGTACAGAAGGTCGTGAGTTACTGTTAAACTATGCAAAATGCTAATCCTAAAACTTTTGTACCTATACCTTGAGAGCAAAAAGTTCCAATTTCAAGAACAGTAAGTTCATAAATGACTTCATTTCTGTTCACATTCTCACTCTTTCCATGATTTACCCCTCAATGCCACTTCTATTTGTACAGCTCATGCCTGTTGGCTTCAGCAGCTTCAGCCTTTGCAGCTCCTCAGGAGCCGGAGACTGATGCTCCCAGATCTATAGACCCAACAGGTGCCTCTCGGAAGCTTTGCCCTGCAGACAGAATGGTCCTGAAACATTTACAGCCGTTCAGGAAAACAGCTTATAAACATTCTTTCTAGTAACGTAATTAAACTTGGACATTGTGTAAAACTAAAAGATAGGCGGGTATGGTTTATTTTACTAAATGTTAGGTTTTTAAATGCACCAGAAAGTTGTAACTGTTTAGTTCTGATTTCTCAAATTAATCCACTGAATTTTTTATTTTCATGTGAAGAAAATATGCAGGAACTTAAGATGTAGTTAATTTATTTCATTCTGCTGACACAGGCATCTTACAGCTGAATACTTCTCACCTTTATTTCTACAAGGAACACTCAAGAATATTAAAAAAATGGTCCTTCAGTACTTTTTTCATAATGTAGCATAAATCTAGCATTGTTTCATTAACAGGGTAATGACTTTACAGTCTGTGCTGGAAGGATTTTCTTTCATGTCCATATTCAGATGAAGTTTTCCAAAATATTTTCAGATTTTGTCGTAAAAGTTTTCATTTTAGTTTTCCAACAAGATTTAATTTTACACCATTTAAAGTAAATTTATTAACTACTTAAGATATATGACCAAAAATTTTTGTGGGAAAATAAAAATTGGAACGGGATGAACTGGACTGCTTGTAGAATTTCTAGCATGAATGAATGCAATGGATAGATGGTGTTCAGAATGATTTCTCCTTACATGGTGAAACTTTTGAGGGGTGGATAGATAACCATTTCCTTTTTCTTCTGTAAACAAACCTATTTTTTTTTTCTTTTTGCTTCCCAGTGTTCTGGGTTACTTGAAGTAGGCACATTTACTCAGAAAATGTTAAAAGCAGTCCAGTTCTTTGGAGAAAAATGGTACTTTTCTTATTCTAAGATTTGGGTTGGGTTTTTTTGGTTGGTTGGTTGGTTTTTTTAGCAGTTTCAGTTTGAGTAAGCAGACTACTGGAGTCAGCTCATTTTTATGCTCATAGCCATAGTGAGGAAGAACATAGGCTTGTGTTGGTGCATCTCCAATAGAAGAGCTGCCTCCTAAGAGCTCCCACTGCCCTGAGGTGCGTCCTTCTGTGGCCCTCCAGCTCCTCTTCTGGGGTTGCAGCATCCTTCTTGTTCCATCTCTGCTTTTTTTTTTTTTTGGAGCAGGCCTTAGTTTTTTTCTCTGCAGGTTTGGAAGTTCAGAAATCCTACTGTGTAGAAAATTGAGTATACGAAGACCCGGAGGCATCACATCCCAGAAAGCAGTTTGCATATAAGAGAAATACTATGCTGGTATTCTATTGTTTTGCAAGGCTTTTAAGAAAAGTTCTCTTCTTTCTGAATCAACAGGTTCGCCATAAAATGACACAGAAGGTTTATGCAATGAAGCTACTTAGTAAATTTGAAATGATCAAGAGATCAGATTCAGCCTTTTTCTGGGAAGAAAGAGATATCATGGCCTTCGCCAACAGTCCGTGGGTCGTTCAGGTAAGGAAGTTATATAAAATAGTAATAATAAAGCCATAAATCTTTCCCAGTCTTGAGCTGGTTTTGAATTTACAAGTAAACTGAAATAATGGTTTAGGTTCGGATTTTACTTTTCAAAGATACGAATTTACAGCAGTTTCACTGAATTTTGTGTATTTGGCTGCCTTAGAAAATAGATTAATTTACATTTTAGCTATTCCAAATGCATCATAAAATGGAATTTAACAGATTTTTTAAATATCCACACAATTATTAGGAATAATAGGAGGTTGCCTTTCCAACTAAGAAAAATTCTGTATAGAAATGTAGAAATAAATGTCAACATTATTTCCAGTCTTTCCTCACGATAGAGTCAGTTGATCACAGGCCATTAGTATTAAAAGTGCTTTGAGTAGTTACTGTCTTTTCAGCTCCAATTAGATAGATGGATGAGTGAATGCTCCTGGTCTGCAAGGCAGGAGATTGTAGCAGTGGTTTGGTTGAATCCATCTCCTGTCTGATGGTCAGTTACTGCATCTTGGCTCAGAAGTAATATCCAAGCAATGGACAGTTGACTTCTTCAGCTGGTCTCAAACACCATTCAGTTTGTAACTCTCTTGTGATATGTATCATCATGTTTGTAATATAACAATTGACAGAATGAGAGGGAACGGCTTCAAGCTCCAACAGGGTAGGTTTAGACTGAACATTAGAAAGGAATTTTTCACAGAGAGAGTGGTCAGGCTGCCCAGGGAGGTGGTTGAGGCACCATCCCTGGCTGTGTTTAAGGGACGTTTAGATGTGGTACTGAGGGATATGGTGTAGGGGAGGGCTTTGTAGAGTAGGGTAGATGGTTGGACTCGATGATCCCAAGGGTCTCTTCCAACCTAAATGATGCTATGATTCTATAAATTATCCCTTTGGGAAGAATTAGTACTGAATATTGCAATTTGTCGTAACTGGTAAATTGCACCAATTAATAAAATGAGTAGTGAAAACATATGCTTAGAGAAACCGTTAGTACTTAATTTTGTTAAATAATTAATATATTCAAATGCTTTCACGAATATCACCATGCTTCTGTATATGTAATAAGTAAACACTGGCCTTAAGCTTTACGTATATTCTTCATAATGCTTTACCTCACGTATGCAAGAAATATTTTACAAAGTTTTTATTTAGCTGTTTTGCTCTTCTGAGCATATTCTGTGTTCTTACCTATATTCAGCAGAAATACTTAACCAAATAGATGAATTTTTATTTAGTTCTTGGGTTTTGTTCTAAGAAGAGTAGCCTGGAATTATTTTTATATTTCACAGACAGTTGAAAGTAATGTGAAATGTATGACACAATTTTCAAAGGAAAGTGTAGCAAGTGTGATGTAAATGTGTGTGTGTTTGTAAATAGCAAACGAATTGAAGTGTAGCTGCAGTTGTGCCTTCTATGATGAGATGTGTTAGTGTGATATATTTAGGTAAGGTGATCCAGGGGGATAAGACATGGAGCTGGGTTTGAAAAAATGTAGGTCCTGTTCTGAGCTAGAATCTGGGACAGATCACACTGCTGGGCTGTGTCTTCTTTTTTATGTGAAAAAGAAGTGAAACCGGAGCTGTAAGTAACTTTGGTGGTTTTGTTGGTGTGGGGTTTTTTTTGTGTGTGTGTATGTGGCAAGGGTGGTGGTGTTTGGGTTTCTTTTCTTTATCAAATTGCTTGAGGGCAATAACAAAAGTGCTGTTGAAAGGCATAGTGTTGTTATTTATTATACCGTTATATTAATATATCTTTACATGTGAGAATACAGAGACTATTTTGCATTTTAACTTAGATTTTAATGACCAAATGCATGATCATATTACATATTGTATATAGTATCCATTTGTGAAAAGAAATACAGTGCAATATATATGTATTAATAATATAGGTCTTTGTCACTACTATACAATAAATTTTAATCTAAAGGTCAAATGTCCTTAATAACGTTTCTCATCCTCCACAAACTCCCTGTTTTTGATTTCTTCCTTTCCACACAATCCTTTCAATTGCCTTTGAATTTCGTGTGGGTAACTTAAAGAAGTGAATGAAATTAGTTTTTGATGTATAAGAGCAATATTCCCCGAGAAATAAGGTGAGAGAATTTCAGCGGCTTTTTCACACCAGTTGTTGAACATTTGATAGTAATGCTTTTTGCTGGTTTGGGCCATTTTTAGACCTTGTGATCACTGGGTGAAATCTCTAAAACATCAGCACCCTAGGTCTGAAATACATTTTAAAGAGACTAAACTTACTTTCACTGTCGTGCCAGTATGAATCATACTCACTGCAACCTATACACCAGACTGTTATTTAATAGTTAAGGATAATTTCTTTGTATTGTGTTATAGTTGTCTTCAGAAATGTTTGTTTTCTTTTTCTTTCTTATTTCAATATATGTGTTGAATTAGGACAAAATCAGTAGTGGTGAGGTTTTTTGTAAATACGTGCAGAGGTAAGGAGATTTATAATATATGAAATTTAGAAACAGTCTAGGTTGCTATTTGCTGTTGAGCTATTTTCAAATCCATACACGATGCATCCTTTCTCAGATTTCATACTTTGCATTTTGATTCAGTGGTACTTTTTAATGCCAGGAAACATGGATGTATGGACACTCGTACTACTGAAATAATCAGGAAATCTTACTCGCTTTCTTAAAAAATGAAAGTGAGAGGGTTTTGAGGTTCAGTAAATTTCAAGTTAGTCATAATTAATAGAAAATATAGATTGAATATAAAAAATAAACTTACATCAGTCTTGAAAACATGCTCGGGTTTAATGAAATTTCAAGATAAAGTGCTCTGTTGTTTTTTCTAGCTGTCTCTAAAAAATAATTGTGCTTTTTTTCTTTTCCTTTTTTTTTTTTTTTTAATGTTGCAGCTATTTTGTGCCTTTCAAGATGACAAATACTTGTACATGGTAATGGAATACATGCCGGGTGGAGATCTTGTAAACCTTATGAGCAATTATGATGTGCCTGAGAAATGGGCCAAGTTCTATACAGCCGAAGTTGTTCTTGCTCTTGATGCAATTCACTCCATGGGCTTGATACACAGGGATGTGAAGCCTGACAACATGCTTTTAGATAAATACGGGCATCTGAAGCTGGCAGATTTTGGCACTTGCATGAAAATGGATGAAGTAAGTATGCATCTGAATAATTTATCATCTACACAACTGTAATTCTAAGGTTATTTTCTTATGAATTATAATACCCAAAGGAATAGTCATCAAATGGTCCACTTGGTTGGAAAGCTGTTCCTTGTCTCCTGGTGTTAAATACAAGGGTGCTTTAAATAGTATAACCTTGTCTGTAATAAACTGTTCTGGCGCACGGAAGAAGGATATAAACTTACTTTTTGTTATTTTTGAAAGCATGTGTGTTTATGAATTTCTGAGGTTCATTTTTTTTGCCAAATGCCTGAAAAGCTTATAAGACAACTCCTAGTTTCAACATTAGTAACCTCACAACAGTTAATAAACTGACATTTTTCTGTAAATGAAATTATTTTATAGGCAAGATACAGTCCCTATTTTTTTTTTCAGTGTCTAATTGTTCTCATAGCATCCTCTAGTGGTCATTAAAATGAGGTCACAGTAAGGCGGCAGCGGTATCTGATATATTGATTAGAATTTATGTTAGCTATTTGTAAAGTTGTCATACGTTTTAATTGTCCAGATTTTACCATGTACAGCCAAACACACATTTTTCTAATGGGATTGTATAAGAATATTTTATTTTTAACAGGATATAATACTTTATATTATTAAAGGAGACTTAAAAATAAAGCTACCTTTTGTAGTTTGCAGTCTTAAAATCTTCCCTGACAAACAATATTAGTCTTTAATTTACAGAATATGTTCTTCCTGTGAAAAAAATTATAAGAGATTTTAAAACAACTGTGTATGGATGTGTGTTATGATTTGCCTGGCTTTTGAAAGGCTTCTGTATTAATGTTGGCAAGGATGATCATTTTAAGCTTATTCGCTTTAATTTGTTAGATATTTTTTTTCTTGTATTGTTTAGGCAGTACTTGGTATAATCTCTGCAATCTACTTAATTTGCATTTGCATCATTAAGTTAATGGCTTTTCAGTTGTATCCAGAAGTACTGTCTCTCGTTAGGGTTTGTTTTTTCTCTTTCCTGTGTCAATATATTAACTTCATTCAACAACTATGGCTGTTTATTGAGGTTCAGTAGCCTGTTTAGTTTTGCTGATATTTTAAGTTGTTATTCTAACGGCAGATAGATTGTTTACCTCCACTATGATGATTTACTTGCCAGTATTTTAGAGGATGGCATTTACTATAATTGAAAAAATCAAAAGTAGTACTTGATCTCTTAATTTAGTCCTTAAAAAATTAATCTTGGTTTTGAGCCACTGTACTGTAGGTCTTAAAGGAATCTGATGTTCATCAGAAGAAAAAATTAAAAAAAGCATCAAAAAGTTCACAATATAAATTACAAAAAAGGGCGATCCCTTATGCTATTTTAGGGATCCCAGAAATGGGGAACCTAAGCCTATTTTTCCTTTTTTTCCTGATGTTGTTCTTAAAAGAAAGGAATACTAAAAGGTGGTTATAAATGCACGTTTCTCATAAAGAGTTATAGTGAGCTCCAGCTTGGAGTGGGCATCATCAGTGAACCAGTGATCTCCTGAAGAAGTTAATTTTTTAACAGATTACATTTGAGTTCTTCATGTTTCTCAGACTCAGTGGAATGGCAAAAATTTTTTATACAGGAAGCTTTAGAAGTTGAGAGGTTCTGGATTGTCTCCAAATCTCATGCTACTTCTTACAAAACATGAACGCATCCCAGCTGTGTAAATATAATATTGATGTTGGCAGGATGATTTCTAGAAAATATATGCTTGCCCAATACTTATTTATTTTTTCTGATTTGGAGTTCTTTTCGTGGTTGTGCACATTAGCATCTGCCTTATGCTCTTGAGAGCCCAGGAAAATTCTGCTGCAATTTGGTGAGAGTGTTTTTTGACCTTTCCTGTGGAATTGAATACAGTCTCCTCTGAAGTCTGCCAGTCCAGAAACTTGCAGCAGAATTCCTCCTTACCAGTATGTGAGAAGAATTGCTAAGTGTTTTAGTGATCTTTTCCAAGATAAAAGGAATTGGCCTGTTCATGTAGCTCCATTGTGATGGTTTTGGGCTTTGTGGTTTTTGGTTTGTTTGTTTGATTGATTTTTTTTATTTTATTTTATTTTATTTTTTCAACAAGGCATTTTTATAATTGAATAAAGAATGGAGTTGTCCTCAAAGGTCTAGTAGGAATTGTGTTCTCTTTTGGTATTTAGGTGTGATAAGGTAGCCCAGGGCAGGTCTCACCAGACTCTAATCTTTAGGTTTTCTGTAAGAAACTAGTCAATAGCATGGTTGGCTTCGATAGAGCTGGGAATGGCTGGTGCTGCCAGGCTTGGTACGTAGCACTGCCTTGTTCTAACTGAGCTTTTAGAAGAGCACAGGTTTAGAGGATATCTGTTAAAAAGAGATGTGACTTAAAGGAGGGATGTTTACCCTTTGGGATTATCGCCTCAGCTCAGGCAGTTTAGCTAAAAGAAGGAATGTGTTCTTCTTTTTAGAACTCGACTTTATTTCTCATTGAAGCTGGGCCAAGACTCTGCTGGATACTTCTTGCTGCAGTCCATTGTCTGCAGCTCTCTGCACGCCCAGCTGCAGTGGTAACACCTCATCCGAGCACACGAGCACTCTCTAGCTCTTGTTTGCTGAAAAGAATTCCATGAGGAGTGAAAGCCTGATTCAGTGGATGAGGAATTGGTTGGATGGTCGCATCCAGAGAGTAGTGGTCAATGGCTTAATGTCCAGATGGAGATCGATGACAAGTGGTGTCCCTCACAGATCTGTCTAAAGACCAGTACTGCTCAATATCTTCAGTGACATAGGCAGTGGGATTGAGTGTACCCTCAGCAGATTAGCAGATGACACCAAGCTGAGGTGCAGTTGACATGTCTGAAGGACAGGATGGCATCCAGAGGGAACTGCACAAGCTTGAGAAATGAGCCTGTGTGAACCTCATAAGGATCAACAATTCCAAGGACAGGGTCCTGCAGCTGGGTTAGGGCAATCCCCAATATCAATACAAACAAGAAGTGGGCCTGTGTGAACCTCATAAGGATCAATAAGGCCAAGGGCAGGATCCTGCAGCTGGGTTAGGGCAATCCCCAATATCAATACAAACTGGGGGATGAAGAGATTGAGAGCAGCCCTGCTGAGAAGGATTTGGGGGTGTTAGCTGGACATAAGCTGACAGTGCGCACTCACAGCCCAGAAAACCATCCGTGTCCTGGGCTGCATCAAAAGCAGCATGGCCAGAGGGCCGAAGGAGGTGTTTCTGCCCCTCTGCCCTGCTCTGGTGAGACCCCAACTGGAGTCCTCAGCACAAGAAGGACATGAACCCAGACTGAGAGAGTTGGGTTTGTTCAGCCTGGAGAAGGCTTTGGTGTGGCCTTTCAATACTGAAAGGACCTTATAAGAAAGATGGGGACAAACAATTCTGAATGATGCTAGGAAGCACTACAGCCTCACCACCAAGTTGTCATGAGCTGTAAGAAGATGCTGTGTCTGGTGGACACCCTTTCTTATTTCCGCACTGCACATCACTCACATAGCTGCAAGAGCCTCCCTCGAGATGGAGTTCCAAGATCCACCATGATCTTTTGAGGTGATAAGAAAAGTCTCAGGTAAAACAGTGGCCTGAGAGCAGCCAAAAGAAGCCTTGTATCACAGAATCACAGAATCTTCATGGTTGGAAGGGACCTTTGAGATCATCGAGTCCAACCATAAACACACACACACACACACACACACACACAAAAAACCAAAACACAACAACAAAAAACACCACAACAACAAACACCAAAAAACCCACAAAACAAAACACCCAACCCAACATTCTTGGGCACTAGAGCATGCCCTAAAGTGCCACGTCTATACGTTTCTTAAATACCTCCAGGGTTGGTGACTCCACCACCTCCCTGGGCAGGCCGTTCCAGTGCCTGACCAGCCTCTCAGTAAAGTAATTCTTCCTAATATCTGATCTAAACCTCCCCTGCCTCTCTTCATGCCATATGAGAACTGCTGCAGTAAGTGTGCTACTCGGGCATAAAACAGAGGCTTTGTATTTGAAACACGGGAGTAACACTTTGTGCAGAGGAAACAGCACCCTTTAGATCTCTTCAAATGCTGAAGTACAGAAGGCTGAAGTCATCGTGCAGAGTGTAGGGACTGTCAAGATGCCATGTGCTGCACAGAGAGGACGTACTTCCCTGTTTACTTGGCTTTGATGCCAGAGATCATAGAGACCAGCCTGACTGTGGTACTAAGAGTATCCAGTACTTCAGAATACCTACAGAGCAACACCCAAGTTCTTTCAAAGAACTAGTGTGTAAATGAGAGGAACAGAAATCTGGGAATATTATATTGAGGTGATAATGTACCAGCTTCCCCAGGAACATGGTAGTAATGCCCATCGCTGGAGGTTTTCAAGATGTGATCAGACAGGGTGCTAGATCATCTAGGCTTCCTTTGCCAAGATGGGTTGGGCCAGATGATCTTTGAAGGTCCCTTCCAATGTTCTGTGATGCTGTGAGTGCATTTTCAGATTTGTTCCTGAGACAGAAGGTAGAGAGTTTTATGGGGAGTAAGTACAACCAAATGCGTGTGCTTTGAAGAGATACAGTCTGTTGAAAACTGCTGTTAGCACACAGGGCCCTTTTAACTGTAGAATTATTTTTTTGTTTCATTGTTCAGTTCTTTGACGTCTTGTCTGAAAACTTAAGGCATTGTTACCTGGAGTTCTTTAGCATCTGTAGTGTCATTGGAAAGAGGCTTTCTTGTTGCTGCATACCAGCCAGCAGGCTTGGGTAGGGCTGGGGATTTTTTGGCACAACCTTTGCTTTGTTTGCATAAGACTTCATAAAATGTAAACATGTATACCATATTAAAATTGTTCTTGTTTTGCTGTATTAATTATAGAGGAATGGGAAATGGGGTGTTATTAAGTGCTTAGGTGTCGAGGTGATGAGGCTGTGACTGAAGCTGCGTTCTTGAGAGAAATCTTTCAGCACTGTTTGGGTGACTTTGTTTTTAAAGAAGCTTCTTACCCAGGGAGGGATTGAGGTGGCTTCAGCCAGTCTTCACAGAGTGAAGACTCAGACTTTCCCTTATTGTAATTGTGCACTTGGATAAGGAAGAGAGAGACATGTACCAATGTTGGAGGCCTTGTTAAGATGCCACAGTCCTACTAGAGCAGCAGAATCACATGAGCCTGGAGCTATTCCTCCAGTGCTCAAGGCAAAGAGAGGCTTGAGCTGCAGAGAAGACCTGTAGGGTTGTGCACCTTATTGTCTGTTACAAGCCAGATTTTCAAGTAGTGGTTCCTGCCATGTGCCAGATCCATTTTTGAATGTTCTCAGCTTCAGATTTCTGGAGCCTTTGGGCTTTAGTTTATTTCCCCGTGTTAAAGTGTATTCTTCTTTGTCCAAGGAATGCATTAGATCTTCTGAAAAGAGTTAACTTCATTTTCTTATTCTAGGATGATCAAACTATGTGCTCTCTGTTTCATGGTACAGAAATCAGAAGTTAACCTGCTCTTCATTCTGGAATTGAGAAGTTAAAACTTTCTTTAGGCTTCAGCTTCAGCATAGAGCTGTCGATGAGAATAGACATTTGACAGGAGGACATTTGAAATCCTCCTTCGGTCTCTGCAGTGTTAAGTAATCACTTCAGGTTTTGCTGCCAGTTCATGACTCTCCAGGACTCTGGTTTAGTATAAATAAAAGCTTTTAGTAGTTCATGTTCTGTGTGAAAAGAAATACTGTAATTTGGTGTCTAATTTTTACATGTCAATACGTTTCCCAAAGCAAAATGATTCTCTTCCTTTTTTAAAATATGTATTTTGACTTTAGTCGTTGCTACTAATATTCTGTATTAAAATTCAGAGTTAATATGTATTGCCATTTATGCTGATGGCAAAATGTATGAAGAACTTTGTAAGATGACTTAGAAAAGATTTCAGGTTGAGAGACAGAATAAAAGATGAGTGTATTTTTGGTACTTCTCTAACTGCATCCAGGATTTCGTTTCGTTCATCCATCTGGTCTCTCTTGGCTGAATGCAGTGAATTTGATTAAAGGAAGCAGGGCTGATCAGTCCAACCCAGCCTGCTGGCAGATCTGACGATGCTTCTGCGTCATTTAGCCCCTGCATTTTTAGCCTCTCAGTGTGGAGCAAAGAGGATGAAGAATCATTCCATTAATACAGTTGTGTTAATATGTTAATAAAAATTACTTTTTAACAAAAAAAAACCCGCTGTTCTTTAAAAACAGCTTTTTATTTTTTTCCTATCTTCAAATAAATGACAAGGTGCTAAAAAAAAAAAAAACAAACCACTGTTCTTTAAAAACAACTGTTCTTTTTATTTTTTTCCTATCTTTAAATAAATGACGAGGTGTGACTATAAGAATTTACCTATAACTTGATTTATTGCCTGAATTAGACAAAGCTGTTGTGTATCTTCTGTCTAGGGCCAAGAACTCATAGCTTGTCAAAATTATTCTAAAACTTTTCCCTGAATTCAGTGAGATAAGGAACAGTCCAATATTTTGTGTAGCTTCATATTGAAACCAATGATGATAATAATAAAATTGGTCAATTTTTGAAAGATGTAATCAAGAAAACTGCTATGGAGTAGGGAGGGGAAAGCACGTTACTAGAAATTGTCAGTCCATATTGCTTCTGGAATAAAAAAAAGAGAGTCTTTCAAACACATTCCTCAAATGAGATATTTTGGTCTATATTTTTTATGTTTTTTCTGGTCGTCTAATAGACGAATTGTGTAAAGCCTCATCAGTGCCTTGCAGTGAGCTGTTGGAATTGTTGTGTTGCACAGACAGGTATGGTGCGCTGCGACACGGCGGTGGGCACCCCCGACTACATATCGCCCGAGGTTCTCAAATCCCAAGGGGGGGACGGCTATTACGGACGGGAGTGCGACTGGTGGTCTGTAGGAGTCTTCCTTTTTGAGATGCTGGTTGGTAAGTAGTGATTTCTTCTGCTAACGAGTTTATCGTTTAGTCTTTAACTGTACCTTTAGCTGCCAGGGGGCTGGTTGTACCTCACTGTCTCACAGCTTCTGACTTCGGGCTGTTGTTTCATTCCTGTTCTCTTTGCTCTCTCTCTCACTGTTACGCTGCAACAGCTGCTTGTGTGCTTCCTCAGTGATTAGTTCCCTGACTCGCCTCAGCTTAAAACTAATTCTTAGAATAATTTTAACTAGAGTCAGCTACCTCACCGTCTCGTGAAGGTTTGTGCCACCTCAGGGGCCATACTGAGTTTTCAGGGATGTAGAGATGGGAAAGTAGTGGGCAGGGCAGGACTGTCCCCCTTTATTTTTCTCTCTTTTTGTTTTCTCTTGTTCTTCCTTTTTTCCTTTCATTTCCACCCCCCTCCCCACAAGCCCCTCCAATACCCTCCTCCAACCCCAGCATTAGCAAAGGCTTCTGTTAGGACAAATGACTGTGGAAGCATGGCTTGAGTCTTTCTTTTATGCTTGAGTCAGGATTTTCCAGTGAAATACACTGGACTGCTATGGCAACGAACATAGAATATAATCTGTTAAGGAGATGAGTCATCTGCATCTTAAAATACAGTAAGGATCAGTATTATAGTCTGGTAGCAAAATACTGATTATAGAAGGATGGAATTGAGCATATAATTATTAAAAATCCAAATCAGCATGTTCTGGGAATATTGCAGATTTGATATTTCTGGTATCCGGAGCCAGGAAAGACATTTGGTTATATGATGCTATTACAATCTCTGTGTCTTTCAAAATTAAAGCATTTTGACTTACAAAAACTGTGTTTCATAATTAATAGTCTTCAGAAACAATTTTAGCAATAAATAAAATTCTTCACTTATTAAAATACTGGGCATAGCTGTCCAGGATGTTTTCTCAGACCCTCTCCCCCCGCTCTTGTATCTGAGAGGGAGGATTCTCTCCTTTTTAATTTTCTAATGAATATTTTTTAAAGGGAAGTCTTACTTAGTTTCTCCACATCCCACACGCTGGTAGAAAGTATCTATTTTTGTTTGCATTTACAGATCAGATTCTGCCCATGGTCTTCTAAAACTTTGTACTTTAAAGGGAGCACAGAAAGTGTTCAGTTGTTTTGGTTTTAGTAAAGCTGCAGTGCTAATGAAAACGGTACTGCTTTTTATTGCACACTTAACTAAAAGCTAAAATATTGGTCATAGGATGAATCCTAACATTAGTTCCGTGTCTTGGGATGGTTTTGAGGTGTGGCTTAAATCACACTGGTGTGGAGGAAGGAGCCGAGCTCACACCATCAATTATTCACCTTCACTATTCAATCTATGGATTAGTTGTGAGAGAGGATTTATATAACAGTTGCATCCTCTTGATTGCTGACCTGAACCATTCATATATTCAGAACATTGTCAGTTAACTTGGATGTAATTTATCTTTATCAATATTGATTCTTTTCAGTTGCCCGATTTTGCCTTTCTTAGGGATATTATCAAAGAAACTAGACTTAACTAAAGCCTGTGCTGCAAACCTTTAGGTGAGAAAGGTCTGTGATTTTAAAAGCCACCTGCCCGTGTTAATATGGGCACCCAAGCAAATGTAATGTATCAGTCAACAAGTTATTAATATGAATTTAAGAGAGTAGTAACAGCCTGTGAAGGCTCCTGCTTGGAGCTGACTTGCCTTCTGCAGCTCCAGGGGGAGGCAGGGCAGACCTGTGTGCCTCTGGGACCACGTTTGGAGAGCTTTGGTGGATTCTTTCCAGCAAATGTGCATTAGCAAATCTTTAATGAGTTTCAGTCTGTTATACCTATGGAAGCACTTAAAAATGGGAATTTATGTGGGTGTCAACCATCATGTTAAATTAGAAAACACAGTCATAGTCTTCCCGTAGCACAAAAGGTGCAATTCACGGGCAAAATTTTGGTAGTGATATGCAGGATGCAAAATGGTTTAGGTATTGCAGGGAAAGAGTATTTTTAGTAGTATATGTTATTTTGTACCCCGCATTCCAATTTTACTGGTTTACTTTTTTTTTTCTTTTAAATATAAGACTATTTTAGGTAAAAGTGCTTTTAGACATTCCTTTGTATCTTTTGACTTTTTCAACTTACATGAGGTGAATGTGATTCAAAATTACAGTCAGTTTACTCTTTTCTTTTCAGGCGATACTCCATTTTATGCAGACTCACTAGTAGGAACATACAGTAAAATTATGGATCATAAGAACTCACTACATTTCCCGGATGATGTGGAAATCTCTAAGCATGCAAAGAACCTCATCTGTGCCTTTTTAACTGATAGGTGAGTGCCTTTATTATTCTGGTACTGTTTTCATTTTGGATGGTATTAGCACATGTGTGCATTATAAAAATTAATTCCTTCCATTACTTCACCTAATCTCTGTTCAGATCTCTTGGGCAAAATCTCCCGCTCTCTAGTTTTTCTTTTGGGGTGGTTTTTCCAGGTATTGTATATTATTTCTATGACCAGTTGTGACAGCTCTTGTTAACAAGGCAAGTTGTGCCAGACAAATCCTTCCAGTTGCAGTGTATAATACAGTAACAAACCTGTCAGGTTGAAAGCAATTTGTAAGCTCCAAGGCAGGGACCAAAACATTGTGCTCAGTGTTTAAGTGGGTGTTACTTAACAAAATGAAAGCAAATACTTTTGTGAAAATAAGAGTGTATTGACTGAGTTTGTTTAAACTTTCTTAGGATGTTTGAACTTTCTGTCATTTACTTTGTTATATTAATTGACAAGTATAGCTAACAAACCAGCAAGGGTATTTTTTTGGCTATAAATAGGTCCTAGAGGTCTCCCTTTGTGGAACTGAGGCATTTATTGATATTAAGCTTTGTAAGCTTCTTCTTCACCTGAACACTTATATTTTCTTTAGTTCCAGAAATAAGAGATCATCTTCAGTTTCTCTGATATAATAGAATGCTGTTGGTCCCTAGTTAACTCTGGATTGATGGTGTCTTCTTAGGCTTTCCTGTGGTCTCCTGAGCTTGGCTACAGCAGAAAATCTAGCCTTTATAGAATGCGAGATTAGGAAAAAAAAGTGCCTTTTAATGGTTTTTGCATTCAAAGAGATATTGTTTGCTGCGTTGAGCAAGGTCGCAGTTACTCAGGAAGGATGTGCTTTAACAGGGGTTTTCACCCTTAGTAGCTGAAGGGTAGAGAGAAAATATGAATAGAAGTTAATAATGTGAATGCGGTGAGGTGTACTTCCACTACGTGTGTCCCTCTTCCTGTTTATATTTAATACAGCACTGGAGCGATTTATTTGAAACAGATGCCTTCTTTCCATATGCGTGGTCACTGCTGGAACACTTAAAAGAAGGAATCAGCACTGACCCTATGATTTATTAGTTCTTTTACACGTGTTGGTTTTTTGTCCTGTTCTCGTAGATAGTTTTAAGAGAGACTCTTTTGGCCAAACTAAAAGTTTCTTGTTGCACTTAAGATTTACTTCACTGCAAATGTCAGCAAAAGATGTGTCAGGGTTAGTTATGGGGCAGAGGATGGAATTCTTAAAATATTTATTTCAGTCCAGCTTTGAATAACTGTTCTGTGCACTCAGTTAGACCTTCCTTCACTTGCGTCTTAAGGTTTGTCATGTGGTTTGGCAGACATGGAACTTCTGCAGTTATTTTTCCCTGAGGGTGTTGGGTTTTTGTTTGTGTTTTCAGTTTTTTCTTAGTTCTTGCCTCAGTGCTCTCTTTCTAGTTTTACTCCCCACGTGGCAGACTCCAAATTCTGGACGTTTTAGCAGTCGCAGGGAGAGCACACGCTAAGAAACAGAGTGCATTTTATATAAGAAACTACAGATCAGTGGTTGGTGGTTTTAAATTTTTTTTTTATTTGACCATCACTGTGGTTAACACAGACAATCTTTACTAAAAGCGTCTTTGCTACTTATGAGCAAGTCAGAATTTAAATAACAAAAAACAAGTGCTATTTTTCCTAAAATGAATTTGATTGAATTGCTCTGTTTAGGGATGTGCGACTTGGGAGAAATGGGGTTGAAGAAATAAAGCATCACCCTTTCTTCAAGAGTGATCAGTGGAACTGGGACAACATTCGAGAGAGTAAGTAAATTAGCTTAAAAGTTCTGGTGGTGGGGTTTTTTTTTAAGTCAGTATTTGCAATAGTAGAAATAAAAAAACTTTAGGTTGTATAAATTAAGTATTTTCTATTTACCAAGAATCTTGCTCAAACCTATATTTATCATTTGTATCATAAAAAGCCTATCAGTAAGTGTTAGTAAATCCACGTTTTTCCTACAGGAATTATTGCCACCTTTATCATGCTTTTAATGTATAGATTTCTGTTTTGAACAATAGGACTGGATGTTTCAGAATTCTAACTAAAAAGCAAACACATTAGGTTTGTCTCTTTGTGGCTTCTGCTTTGTTTTGGGTCTCGTTGTTGTTTTAGCTGCCTGTAGTTAAGACAGTAGTTTGACAATGGTCTTGTCAGTTTTACTGCTTTTCATTTAAGGAATTGTGAACTTGATAGCTTCAGGCAAAAACTAAAGTATGTCAGTTCAGATCATGAGCTTGATCGTAACTTCTAAAGGCATGTGTTTACTAAAGTTTCTTAAAATTATTATTGTATTTAGAGTTCTATTCTCAGATGTGATTACCTTAGCAAATACATTTTGAGCATTAGATATTCCACACTTTAAACCAGTAATATAAAAGCACATTTTTCTAGAAAAAAAATCACAGTAATATTTACATATCTGCTGCATGGTTAATACATATTTCACTAGCAGGGCAACTTAGGGTCTTTTTAAAATTATAGAGATACCAGTGTATAGCAAGTGGCTGAATCTTGGAGTGAAGTTGATCTTTTCTCCTCTTTTTGTAGCTGCTGCTCCTGTTGTTCCTGAGCTTAGCAGTGATATAGATAGCAGTAATTTTGATGACATTGAGGACGACAAGGGAGACGTGGAAACCTTTCCAATCCCCAAAGCCTTCGTGGGAAACCAGCTGCCTTTTATAGGATTTACCTACTATAGAGACAATTTGTATGTAATACTTCAATATACATTTTTAGAAATACATCTGCAGATTTTTCTTCTGTCCTTTTTTCACTCTAGATACATAATTTATTCCTTGCATTATATTAATTTATGTCCAGTTGTGAAGATGCAAAATGCAGAGTTTGAGCAGAATATATAATTTGCTACTATTTTGGTTATTTTGATAACTGATTAAAGACAGCATTTTTATATGTACAAAATTGCATAGTCTCTTAAAAAATCTTTTAGGGTTAAAATACTGATAGATTTGTAATTTAGCTCTAAAATGATGCTTTTATTAGTAGCTTTAGAAAAAAGTTTACACAAGATAACAGCTTGCTATAACTTGACTTGAATGGTTAAGAAATAATGTTATAAATTAAAAATTATAAGCTGCTATGGATTTGAAAACGTGTTATACATAAGAAAAGATTCAAATCAGAAAGATGCACTCGCACAGAAATACAACAAGCTTCATTCTGAGAGTGGCGTAGGGCAAATTAAAACTTGAGAGAATTGGTTAAAATGAGTTGATTGGCAAGGTTGCCAGAGTTGTTGAAAACTTGAATAAGAGCTGGAGGGATTTGGTTTTGTTTTTGACAGGTTGCTAAGTGACTCCTCTCAGTCTTGCAGAGAAAATGAATCTGTGCAATCTAGTAAAAATGAGGTTAGTGCCTTTTTTTCTTAAGTATTAATGGTATGGTTAACTAATTTTAAGTGTGTTAAGAAAAGACGAAGTCTAAAATAAGTTTTCAAGAAATTTTGTGGGGGGATTTTTGTTGTTTAATAATTACCAATAAAAATGATATTTTCTATTTACAGGACAGCAAGGAGGTAAGAATACTACTTGAATTATGAAAGGAACCAAAAAGTTCCTACATAATTTACGTGAATGTGAAATACCTTAAATGTTTATTCCCAAATTGCTAACAGTAAAACAGTTGCATTTGAAACTATTGCTCTCAAGCATTAACGTACTACTGTATAAAGATGAATGAATACAGATTTTTCTCAAATTCTTCAGGCATCTAGAATTTGTTTGGAAAACAAATATGTAAGGCTCTGTTTGCCACAAACAGCATCACTCTCGGGAAGGTCATGAATTTTGGCTCTACGCTTGCCTGAGTGATTCATGACTGATTTATTCAGAGTTTGGAAAAGTAAATTGGCACCTGCAGTGATAAAGGAATGTTTAAATCGTGCTCTCAGTTGCAGCGAGCGTATGGAGGATGTTTATCCAGCTTTTGAAGATTGATAATTGAATTTAGATTTGCAGGTGACTGGAGAATGCTATGGAATTTTCATGTACTTACTTACTTCATTATGTTACTTAAACATTCGTATTATTCAATTGTAGATAGTGTAACTGTTACATTTCTTAAAACTTACAACTCTTTTCAAAGTTTAAAAAAATAAGTAAATGAAATGCCTTATATATTGACCGGCATGAATTTAAATGCAAATGTTTATTAGACTCCACTTCGTTCCTTCCTGTCGTTGCTGAATAGATGAATAGTTTTAGACATTGCTGGATAGATTAATAGTTTTAGAGTTTCCCTTTTAGAAAGAAATGATGCTGCTGTTTAAAATACGCAGCTTCACATTTGTGATGTTTGTTTTATGTTGTGAGAGTAAGTGTAGTTGGTAAAATTTTGCATTTCACTTCTGACAACTTTCGTATTTTCTCAAGCAGTGAATCTCTGTTTTTGATGTCCTTTTCAGAGTCCCTGTTTTGGGCATCTTCTAATTGTAATAATTATAAAGTGTTTTAGAAGACCACATTTTTACATTTCATGTTGGGGGAGGTAGAGGAGGAGGGGAAAGGGAGGAAAATGCATTTGAAAGCCTGAAGACGTAAGGCAGATACAGAATTTATTATTTATCAATTATTTCATGAACATTTAGGTACTTGACTCACAATTTCTTTTTAATATTTTAGTAAGCAAAACAGAGCATTCCCAAACCTGAAAATTGTTTGTTAGCTTCTATGTGTTCCACTAAGAAATTCTTCTTTATGTGAAGTCATTGAGCATACTTAGTAATATTCCCTGGATATTGTCCAGTTTGATCATGTGCCCCCTGTTTTATTTTTTAATTTTATTTGGAAAAGTCTATCTCAAAAATTCTGCTGTAGTGGAAAGTCTTTCTCAGAGAAAGAGTACAGCAAAGGGCCAGTAACAATATTCTTTGCCCTTAGTAATTTTGTGACTCACAATCTGTGGCACGTGATTCTGTGATGCTTAGATTTAATGCAGCAAAATTCGTTGCTATGGATTTGTGTCTTTTAAAATCATCAGGATTAATACCTTGTAAAGATGTAACGTTCTAGTGATGGTTTTAAAATAACATAGTGGGAGGTTGAATTCATTTTCCTCGCTTTCTCTTTTTTTTTTTTTTTTGTTATTTAATTGAATTACCCTTGTTTTGTGTAATAACGTTTTTACATGTGGGCCATGCTTTTTTGACATTTCACACAGTTTCAGAAAAAACTAAGCAAGCTGGAAGAACAGCTCAGTAACGAATTGCAAGCCAAAGATGAACTAGAACAGAAGTACAGGTGAGACTGTTTTGACATCTTAGGTATGTTTATGCAAAAGTTTCATTACATCTTTTGGTTTTGAATGCTTAAAAGCATTTTAACCCACTTTGGGGATTTCCAACCCTCACTGTAAATTGCTGGCTTAATTCATGCTACTCCTGTGACTACTGGGGTGGTTTTTTGGGTTGGGTTTGTTTTTTTTTTGCCTTAACTGTCCATAAGAATCTCTCTATTGTTTGAGTGATTTCCCCATGAAGTTTTGAAGTTACATGTGATTGCTGAAAATAGAGTATCTTAGATAAAATTAATGAGACACTTCCAAACATTCTAATTTCTTTATAATCAGTAGGGTTTAAAAATATTTTTTCAATTTCTTCAGGTCTACTAATACTCGTTTAGAGAAGATAGTGAAAGAGCTGGATGAAGAGGTAAGTCCATCGTATTTCTTAGCGGAATTAGTAACATTTCTGTGTGGCTTTTTTCTGTAGGAAACAGCAAATTACTTTTGAGTAGCTGTGTATTTATAGCAAGCAATACCAGTTGATTTCTTGATATTTGCAAGCATGAAATTTTTGTCATTGCTAAAATATTTTCATTATTATTTCTGTACTACAATTACACATTTGTTTCCAGGATTTGTTTTTCACCATGGTTTTAATTTGGAGGACAGTGGGGTATAAATATCCCATATATGACTCTAAAAATTAAAGACGTGAGAGTAATGTTGTTAGAAGAGGAAGGCCATTCCATTCAAAAATTTTTGAATTCCATTCAAAAGTTTTAGGAAAAATTTTTACACTGAAAGGGTTATTAAGCATTGGGATGGGCTGCCCAGGGAAGCGGTTGAGGCACCATCCCTGGAGGTATTTAAAAGACAGGTTGACATAATGCTTAATGACATGGTTTAGTGATGTTCTTATCAGAATTAGGTTGATGGTTGGACTAGATGATCTTACAGGTCCTTTCCAACCTAGACAATTCCATGATTTTATGATTCAAACAGAGCCAGTTAAAAGAACCCAATTTCTTGCCCCGCTTTGCACTTTAGTGCTACTACAGATCTGTCATATCTGTATGTGTGTTTCTGTGCATCTGGAGTGGCTGCTGGGGCAGATTCCTCAATTCCAAACAATCAAATGGTTTTTAAATTGTAAAAACTCTTGGCCGTAGCCGGCCCTGTCCTGGGCTGGATTTGACCACGTGTTGTGATGCCCTGTGTTTGCTGCAGACCAACAGACTGTGTCTTTCTCCATTAGGAACTAAACTGAGTGCGTGACCTGTCTTTTTATCATTTAAAGCATACTACTCTTCTATAGGTAATTAGTGGTGTTTCTTTTAAATATATCCAGATAACTTCAAGGAAGAATGTAGAGACTACAGTCAGACAGTTAGAAAGAGAGAAGGCTCTTCTTCAGCATAAGAATACAGAATATCAGAGAAAAGCAGAACATGAAGCAGATAAGAAACGCAATTTGGAAAATGAGGGTATGTTGAACCACACTTAGAGGGTTCTGTTTTGATGTGGGGTTTTAAAAGATAAAATAAATTAATTTAGTTCAAATTGATGGTTTTTCATGACAGTGATTAACAAAGTTGAATTGTTTTTGTTACAGTTAACAGTTTGAAAGACCAGCTTGAAGATCTGAAAAAGAGGAATCAGAACTCTCAAATATCCAATGAGAAAATCAATCAGCTTCAAAGACAGGCATGCCAACTTTATTATGTATATTTTAAAATAATAGCTGTAAGAAGTACAAATCTTTAAAAAAGGTTTAAAATCTGTTCTTTCTTGCCATGTTTTGGTGTTCAAAAATAATCTTAAAATACACTCCTTTCTATTTCTTTAATCCATAAAATCTAGTATTCTGTAGTGGAAATGGTAGTCGTTATATTGTTTCTGAAGTATATTTTTATCCATCTTTAGTTGGATGAAGCCAATTCTTTGCTGCGGTCAGAGTCGGATACTGCAGCCAGGCTAAGGAAGAACCAGACAGAAAGCACGAAGCAAATCCAGCAGCTGGAAGCCAATAACAGAGAACTGCAGGATAAGAACTGCCTGCTAGAGAATGCCAAACTCAAACTGGAGAAGGACTTTCTCAATCTTCAGTCAGCTCTAGAATCAGAAAGGAGAGATCGAAGTCATGGATCAGAGATTATCAGTGATTTACAAGGTATTCCTGCAAATCTTCTGAAGTTAAGCTTGCTTCTTTTGTCAGAAATAAAAACAGGTTTGGGTGATGTTATTTGAGCTTCAAATTGTGGCTAGATTAGTGTGTGGACACACATTTCGGAGAAAATGTATGATAACTTTTATAAAATGTTATTGTTAACTTTTAAACTTACCCCAAAGGGAGATGTTCTTGATAGAATTAGCAGCTGTTACATTTGAAAAATGTTATCTTGAAGGAGATAAAATTCATTGGTTTTTTCATGTACTGCCCAGCCTCATTGACATTTTGGTCATTCTTAGGGCGAATATCTAGCCTCGAAGAAGAAGTGAAAAATGGAAAGAGTGCATTAGCTAAACTGGAAATGGAGAAGAGACAACTGCAAGAAAGAATTACAGATTTAGAAAAGGTAACAGCACTTCTCAGTGAACAATGGTGTTACATGCTTATGGAATTTTTAAATTTGTGCTTCCTTTACTTGAAATATGGAGACAAAATCTATGCGAAAAATAAGCCTTATTTTCAGTATTTATTCTTCTTTGAATTTTTTGTTGTTTTTGGAATTTGGGAAGTGGGTGGGAAATCATTTCCCTTATGATCATAATACATTATACTTCTACTGTACTCCAGTGTGTAGCTTAACAGTGCAGCAGTAACATTTCATTTCATCTGTTTGGGTTTTTTTAAGTCTCAATATTGCCCAAAACAAAAAAGCTTCTGCTATTATTTTTTCCAACAAATTTGTCATTGAAATGGAAGTATTGAAAAAAATCTTCAATAAACTTAATCTTTGAGCTGGTCTTAGTAGAGACCGTTGGCTGTTAAGGCAGTAATTCTATAGTTGTTTGCAATGGGGATGTCATTGGGCGTGTTTGGAGCACTTTGCCATCCATACAAAAACATTTGTGGAAATGAGTTCCCAGTTAGCTCTTTGTAATCTGAGCTCTCTCTTCTACTCTCAGATCACTTCCAAAGCAGCATGTTACTGTTGTCTGAAATTTTGTCTTTAACCTGATGTATTTAATGTTTTATTTCCATGTAATTTTTTCTTTAACAGGAAAAGAGCAACATGGAAATAGATATGACGTATAAATTCAAAGTTATGCAGCAGAACCTTGAACAAGAAGAAGCTGAACATAAAGCCACAAAAGCACGATTAGCAGACAAAAATAAGATCTATGAATCTATAGAGGAAGCAAAATCTGAAGCAATGAAAGGTATATATTTGATATCACAGTTGGACTTGGGTGTAAATTATACCAAGTAGGTAATATAATCTTTTGATGCTAGTGGAAGCCTGGGTGTAGGCCTTTATTCCTTGGTTCCCCTGTTCTTTTTAAATATCATTAGTGCTGTAAAAATCAGTCGTAGTCCCTTTGTCCTTGCTTTGCTAGGTTAAAGACACGCTGATTTATTCTCGGAGTACCAACAGGTTCTCCATTGCACACACCGCTGATTCATTTTCTGCTAATGTATTCTGAATTAATTTTTCTTAAATTTATATTACTAAAATTGCTTGAAACATTTTTATGAAGAGCTTGTCTGTGTTCTTACTCTGTGTACTCATGCCTTTTTTCTTAATCCTAAGTACAGTATGTGTCAGCAACTTGACGATTTAAGTATGTAGATCAGATAGAGTTAGAAATGGCAAAGCCTTTGCTACGCTTCCATAGTCACTGGGCATATTCTGGTGCATCTCATGACAATTTAAATCTCTTGGAGAGAGGGATAATTACCAAACAGTTCCAGAAGATGGCTCTTAGTGTTGAATTAAATGGCTTATGTTTATTGTAGCTACTTAAAAAGCTACCTACAGATCCTTTTTATCCATCTCAGATACGTTGCAGATAAAGTGGAAGTTATCTTGAAGCTCAGAAGTAGGAAATAGCTGTCGTTCAGGAATGCTTGCAAAAGCATCCTCTGGGTCCAGGTTTACTGTGAAAATTGTAATGAATCACTTTTCAGCAATCTTTCTCTTCGGTGTTCAAAGGATAAACATGTTGCTTATTGTTAATATGGGATATACATCCTCCTCCCCTCCCCCTCCAAAATCTGCTGGTTTACACTGACTGACGTCTTAAATCTCTTCACAGAAATGGAGAAGAAACTTTTGGAAGAGAGAGCTTTAAAGCAAAAAGTAGAAAATCGATTGTTAGAAGCTGAAAAGCAGCGCTCCATGTTGGACTGTGATCTCAAACAATCTCAACAGAAAATCAACGAGCTCCTCAGGCAAAAGGATATACTAAATGAAGATGTAAGGAACAATGCCAAAGGGAGCCTTGAGTGGAACCTGGTTTTCAATGTCATAATTTTTTCCCTGTTGTACTATATGTAGGAGTTAATATATTTGTGAATCAATATATTTAGGAATGAATATTTGTGAATGAAAATGGCAGCAACTTTTTACTTCTCTGTATTTTGGAGCTTTTGAAAAGTCTACAGAATGTGGTTTCATTTTTATGTAATGTTTCAGTGTTGCTGATTCTGGATTGTCAAATGCTGTGAGAGTGACATGGAAAAAGTAGTTTGTTTACTGTGTGCTGATGTCTGTATTTAGGAGATAGCTTTGACTTACGAGAAGACATGAGCATGTTGTACAAAAGTGTGGAGAAAGACGCTATTTAAATGTTGCTTTCCTGTGTAGGTCTGTAAAACTCACAGGTTTCTGTTTATTTTTCAGGTGAAAAACCTGACATTAAAAATAGAGCAAGAAACACAGAAGCGCTGTCTCACTCAAAATGACCTCAAGATGCAAACACAACAGGTCAACACCTTGAAAATGTCAGAGAAGCAGTTAAAACAGGAGAATAACCATCTTCAGGAAATCAAATTAAGTCTGGAAAAACAAAATAACGAACTGCGCAAGTATGCCAAGTTGCTATTTGTTTTTTAGTAATGTTACTGATTTGTAATTATTTTTTTGCAAAAGCTGAGAGCAAGATTAATTTTTAAAATTTGCTGTACAGAATGTGCTGTTCTACAGTGCAAAATGTAACTGTTGTTTAAAAAAAATTACAGTGACTCTAGCTGAGATTTTTCCCTAGTGATTCAGCAGTGTCTAGATTTGCAGTAAAAGATGTTTGTCATCCTGAATATCTTAAAAAACCCCAGTTTAAAAACAAAAGTGTGAGGACTTCAGAGAAATACTTGTTTAATAGAAAGTCTAGGAAGGTGTTGGTTTTTTTTTTTTTAAAAAAATGACATAAGACTTCTGTGAAAAGGAAAGTTACTGGCATTATTAGTCCAGGAGAGCTCATTAGAGTTGGAGATGAATACTGATACAGAGGTGTGAAGGAAACTATCCACTTCTACAGATGTTTGAACACATCTGTTGTGCCTTCAAATAGGAGCTGCATTAGATCCCAGCAGTTCTTCAAGGTCTTACAAGCAATATTTGCACCTGATAATAAATAAATAAATAATTTTTAAACATAAAATTCTTGTGAATGAGAAGACAAGTTTAGCACGTACAGCAGATGAATCCCATTCTTAGCTCCTCTCTGCCTTTGGATGGTTCATCTCCTTGTGCTTTCCCTTTCCTGTCAGCACGGTGCAGTTACTCACCTAGGAGGCAGCGCCGTGTGACGGGTGCTGTAGTGTGAAACACTGGCAGAAAGCTTTTCTGCTACATTACTGTTCTTTGTTATAGACTGACTAATTGACTTTTGTGTTGTTTTAATAACAGATGAATTCAAGAAATGATGCGTGTCAAAGAATACAGACATGTTTTCCCAGACTGAGCTCTAACAAAAGAGAGACCCAAAACAATCTGTCAGATCAGTGATGTTTTACATGGAAATAAGATTCTGTCAGTGACTGTTTGTTTTATGAGTGTCTCCTGCTGGTTAGACGACCTACCACTGTTGTAGTCAGTGTGTTAACAGTATTAAACTGACTTCTTAGTGCAGTTTTCTCAGCTGTACAAGTGAAAAAGAGAGCTGGTACCCAGGGGAAGCCTCAAGTTTAATTGTTGACTGCACTTTGGTCAGGAAATGACTGAAGATCTTGAGGGTGTGAATGCTATGTTTTTTCTGTTTACTGGTTTGGAATATCTTCATATCTTTTCTTTTAAAATATGTTATTCCTTTCTAGGGAACGTCAAGATGCAGATGGACAGATGAAAGAGCTTCAAGACCAACTTGAAGCTGAACAGTATTTCTCGGTATGTTTTACACTTCCTTATTTTAATAGTAATCTGTCTTCTAAGTAGAGCGTTAGCTTTTCTTCCTCCTCCTCAGCCATCAGGTGTTTCACATCTATAACCTAAAGCTAATCATTTTTTTTGTCTTTGTCTTCAGTCTTTCTGCAGCCTTGTTAAAATGTACATTCTACCTACCTTCCTCTCTCTGACAAAGATCTAAAATAGTAGAGAACAAAAATTACTGATCTTACTTGTTTCTGATACTTCTGATTTTCTATCAAATAGTGGTATTCACATAGAGAGTCTCTTTAACAGTATGTTTACAAACATAAAATGTGTATCATACATCTATCCATTTACAAATACAAAATAAATAAAAAAGAAACACAACAAAAAAGCAAAATAACCAAAACGTGTCGGGGAATGATAATGGTGATTTTTTAACTTTAGAGAAGTCATTGCACAACTGTACTCTAATTGAGTGTGTGGTCAAAGAATTGCATACAGAGCCATCTTGTATCATTTTTTGTGTACCTTCAAGCTGGAATATGCTGATCATGTCCTTTTCTCTCCAACTTAACTTCTAGACTCTGTACAAGACACAAGTTCGAGAACTTAAAGAAGAATGTGAGGAAAAGACCAAACTTTGTAAAGAAATGCAGCAAAAGATCCAAGAGTTACAGGATGAGAGGTAGGATTTTTGTTGTTTTATCCTTTGTTTTTTTAATCCCCAACCCCCCAGTTTTTAAGTTAATAGTATGTATCAATAATTTGCAGAGATTCCTTGGCTGCTCAGCTAGAGATTACTTTGACAAAAGCAGATTCGGAACAACTTGCACGTTCCATTGCTGAGGAACAGTACTCTGATTTGGAAAAAGAGAAGATAATGAAAGAGCTGGAGATCAAAGAGATGATGGCAAGGCATAAACAGGAGCTGACTGAGAAAGATGCCACCATAGCCTCTGTGAGTAATAGGAATCATCATTTTGATAAAGGTTTACAAGCACTTGAGTTTAACTTGCAGTTTGAGTTATCTATTGTTATTTAGCATACTTAGAGGGGACATAGAAATACATCTGACATTTCAAAAATATTTATTTTCTATGAATGAAATACATTTTAAAAATCTCTTACAATGTTTCATCCATGCATATCTCTGACTGTTCTTTCCCTGTGCCTTTACAGCTTGTGCTCTTATCCTTATCCTGGTTTCCCTCTGAAACGTTTCCTTCTGTCCTGTAATGCCTTCCTGTGCCAGATGTGTTTTGTTACATTGTCACATCTACTCTCTGTTTTGTAGTTGGAGGAAGCAAACAGGACACTAACTAGTGATGTGGCTAATCTTGCTAACGAGAAAGAAGAACTAAACAATAAACTGAAGGAAGTACAAGAACGTATGTATTCTCTGAACCAAATGTGTTTTAAATTGACACCAGTTCTGTTCTTTAATAGTACTATTCTCTTTTGTAATCAGCTTTCATAGATTTTGTTTTCATTACCTTGCTACAGAAATTACCAAGTTAAAAGAAGAAGAAGCAAATATAGGAAATATTAAAGCACAATTTGAGAAACAGTTGTTGAATGAAAGAACATTGAAAACCCAGGTAAGCAGATGTATATGAATGAATGAAGAGATAATGCTCATGAATCAAATAATTTTTCGTAGGAAACTTTCCATGGTAAACTATGTATATGTACCATTAACACTTTATTCTTTTTGCCTCTGAAAAAAAATACATTGATACTTATTTTTTTGCCTTCTATTAAGTAGACTTTCAGTGAAGTGAAACGATTTATTATAGAGGAACTCCTAATCTAGTCCACCAGCAAAAAAATCCATTTCAGTCAAATGAAATCATATTTTACTGGTTCCCATCTTGATTTATAAGTTCCATAAAACTGTATATTTCTGGTTGTTTTTCTAGATCAAGTGGCATTTTAATCCAAAGATACATTTTGGGGCTAGGTAATGGAAACAGAAGAGAATATTTCAATGAAAAGCAATGTTCAAAGCAAATGCCTGCTTAAAGCAAAAGTGCCATCAGAACCTTCTTCTCAGTTTTGAGTAGTGCATTGAATGAAAGCAGCTTTGTGGTAGAGGATGTGCAGGGGTCTTAGTTTACAGCAAGATTAAAAGCATCTGGTCGTGGGTGGGAGAGAAGACTTTATTTCTTCACAATATAAGTGTGTATTTATTGGTGTGTTTTTTCTCATTTTTTTTCTTCCCCATGGGAAGGCTGTGAATAAGTTGGCTGAGATCATGAATCGGAAGGGTCCAGTCAAACGTGGAGCTGACACCGATGTGCGGCGGAAGGAAAAGGAAAATAGGAAACTGCACATGGAACTGAAGTCTGAACGAGAAAAGTTAACCCAAATGATGATCAAATATCAGAAGGAAATCAATGAAATGCAGGCGGTAAGATCCTTTTTCAAATAGAAACACTGATAGCATTTTCTGTAATTCTGATCTGATACAGACTTTAGGGTTGTGCATACACCGTGTATTTCTGGAATAGAGACTGTATGTATAGAGAGATTGACTGCAAAGTCTGTGTAATTTTTGCTCTCTACAACTACCTGAAAGGAGGGTGTAGAGAGATGGGGGTCGGTCTCTTTTCTCAAGTCACAGGCGACAGGATGAGAGGAAATGGCCTCAAGTTGCGCCAGGGGAGGTTCAGGCTGGATATTAGGAAAAAAATTTTCACTGAAAGGGTTCTCAGCCATTGGAATGGGCTGCCCAGGGAGGTGGTTGAGGCACCATCCCTGGAGGTGTTCAAAAGACGGGCTGATGAAGTGCTGGGAGGTATGGTTTAGTGATGATGCTCCTTGTTTGTTGTGTGGGTGTCTATTTTTGTCAGTTAGGTTGACGGTTGGGCAAGATGATCTTTAAGGTCCCTTCCAACCTAGAAGATTCTGTGATTCTGTGATTTTCTACTTACATTTTCTCTTGAGTAACTGAGTATTGTGATACGAGGAAATCTTGTAATTTATCCTTGCAGCAAATAGCAGAAGAGAGTCAGATTCGGATTGAACTGCAGATGACACTGGACAGCAAAGACAGTGACATTGAGCAGCTCCGTTCACAGCTACAGTCCTTGCACATCGGGCTAGACAACAGCAGCATAGGCAGTGGGCCTGGAGATGCTGAAGCAGATGATGGGTTCCCTGGTACGTTAATTTTATTAATATTTCTGCATTAGTTGGTTTTATACCAGTGTTTTAGCATAGAAGCTGAAGGAATAAGTTAACCTTCGGATGATGTTGTGGCTTTTCATCTTCAGGTGTTTCTACCGTCTTATTAATGTTTTGATAGTGGTCACTCTCCACCTACTGACTAAATCTGTCTGCAATCACACTTCATCTTAAACTTATTTAAAGAAGTTTCTTTTAAAAATTATTTTGTACCCCATTAAAACTAAATGTTGGTTTTTTTTTTTCACTTTATTGTGGTGGTTACTTTGCAATTACTGTGTTATGTGACAAAATGTAAAACTAATACTGTCTATTCTTTATAGACTCTATTTTGACTTCATTTCTACCTTTTTCCTCCTTTATGCTTTATGTTTAGTCCATATCACTCAATCCCACACTATGGAATCCATGTCTTTTACCTACCAGCACTCTTCTACCTCTGTCAGTATTGCCACTAAGCCTTCCAGTTCTCGCATGCTTCTCGATTCTGATTCTGACTCAGAGGAAGAACCTTTGTCTTGTTCCCACAGCCCTACAGAAGTTGATAGCACAGGTGACATCCCTGAGAACTGTTTGGTTTTGTTCTTACTGTGTCCTTTTCTCTGTTTCAAAACTAACACTATTAATACATTGTTAAAAACCAAATCTGGCAGTAGACGCACTGCAGTGGCAGTAAACATTGTCAGCAAAGATGTGAAAAGTTCGCATGAGCAAATAACTAGCCTGTTTTCTCTGAATGATTACAGATGCTTGCTGCCATTTATAAAACCACTGATTTTATTAAAGCATTGAATAAATGACCTTTATGGCCTTGTTTTCAAGGTAGCCTCTATTCAGTGTCTCAATCTGTACAACCCTAACATACTGGATACCAAAAAGTCAAATCTTTGTGTTTAAGTGAAGTGTGGAGATATCCAACTCCTCACAAGCTAAATGGACGTTACTTGCTTGTAGAAATTCAGTCTTCTGAGTGTTACATTGTTTTGCCTTATTTTGAATCTTACACTTTATTCTTTTGATCGTAAGGCAAGCAAACTTTATTCATTTTTCCAGATACATAAAGCATATAATGACATGATCTGGGTCTGGTAAAACAGAGCTTTGTTTGACTAATTCTATATTCCTTTTATACGGCTACACTTACACTGTGTTGAACAAAACTTCTGTTTAGTGTTAATGTCAGAGGTGGGTTTTTTAATTACATTCATATTTCTGTATTTCGCTTGAGGTTCCTTTAAAGTGTGGATACCTTTCCACTGAGGGCAAAACTTGTTCTGGAATATTTACATTACTTCATCAAACTAGACTAAAGGACAGTGCATTTCTTCTGTTTTCTTCATTCTATGTTTTTTTGCTATGGGGCTTCTAATAAAAGAATCATTAAGTACCTACATAATATTTTCCTTGGTAGCTGCTGTTGCAGTATCTGCACGGTTTTGTTTCACTCTAAAGTAAAAATCATATCTAAGCTGGGACTTTTTTCTGACATAATTATAACAGATTTGAGGTCTGATGGTTGTGCTTTGTTGCTTTTTTCCCCTCCTAGTGCTTTTAAGCATGTACTGTGAAAATTTTGGAATATTTGCAAATTTTGGCCTTTCTCTGACTTGTTGATATAGAATGGACACTAGAAATTTAAAAGTGTAACCAAAAACTCTCATTTTGTCCAGTTTCATGTGATGGTATTAGAGACTGCAGAGAAAAATAGGAATAAAATTAATGCATATTTTTCACACCATTAACAAACTACACCTGCTTCTTGGATATGGGGAAAGATTTTTTGGATCAGTGTTGTGCTGCTTACCCTTCGTATCAGGTGTAGTTGAACAATTTAAAGTGGCAGGTGCAAGGGAAAATATACATTACAGACCTACTTCATGCACTTGGTATGTACATTAAAACGTGTCATCAACAGCAACGCTTATAGAGCAGTAAATTTTGAAGACAGTGCATAACTGAATCAATAACCTTGCTTCAGGTCTCTCTAGACACAGTGAGAATTCCATGAATATCTAGTAACTAATTGTTATGCTGTGTTAAACATGGGCAGGAACCTGCAAATGCCCTCTGATGAGAAAGAAAACAGCTTTTGCCATTTTGGAGCATGTTTAGGCTTCTTTCATGGTTTTGTGTTTGTTAATACTTAAGACTTCAGTATTTTTGACTCGGAGGTTCCTCAGCATCAGCAGAGGTTACCTGCCAGGGTGGAAAACTCATTAGAGAAATAATATTGCAGTTGAGTAGTTCCTCCTAATGAAACACAGGGGAAAGAAATGCTTGTATTAAGTGCAGCTACAAAAATAGCATCAAAGGCTGGGAGATACTATGGACTACCACGTCTAGAAATGGGTGATCCCGGTCAGCTTCTGGTTATGACTGAAATGTGTACATCAAACAGCTGAGCTGTTACTACTGTTGATAAATCCAGTCTGACTCACATGTCAGTGTAATATAAAATATCGCACGCATGTGAAGGGGCAGTTGAATTTTAGGCAAGGCCTAAGGATTAGTCAAAAATGACTTATTTTGGATTATAAAGCCTAGGAGATTTAGGCACAATTTGAAAAAAAAAAATGTCAGAGCAAAGGATATGAATTAGAATACTAAACTTCTGAAATTTTACCTGGTGTATAGAGGATATAGAGGTTATTGGTCCTGGTAATTTGCCTTTTTTCATCTTGTACTGGATGTTGTGTGGTCTGTACTAATATCTTCAGACGCCGCTTTAAAAGGTAAAGGCTGATAGACATAAGCATTTTATATCTTGAAAAATTACTAAAGGGAATGTGTGTGCTATAATTGCAAGTTTGCTCTGCCCATTCTTCCATGTGTCTACTACTTCTTGTGATTGCATTGTTGTTTATTGGCTGTATTCAGGAATTTAATTTATTCCTGAACATTTACTTTGCAAGACCTTGGAGTTTTAAATAGTTCATGTTCTCATGTTCGCTCTGTTGCTTTATTATTGATCTCCAATAACTATTTTAAAATGCACAGTAGTCTCAAAAATAATGTTCTGTGAATATTTATGTTGTTTAATACGTGTCTTTTTCAGAATCAAGATTGGAAGGCTGGCTATCGCTGCCTGTTAGAAATAACACTAAAAAATTTGGATGGGTTAAAAAGGTAAGAAAACCAGATTTATGATCTTGTTTCATGTGTAGTCCGGATTTTAAACTTACTGCAGCTTTTCATCACTTCAGTTTTTCTTTTTATATATTTAAGTAATGAAAGAACGCATCTCAAAACGTTAGCTGGTGTAGCTGTGTCTGAGAGGAGCAGGTTAAGCCAGTTGTTGCAGGTGAAGACACTTCTTTGTCTGACCAGAGGTGAGAACAGCTGTTTGAGATCTTCAAACGTTTGTACATTCAGCCATAAGCATTCCCAGCAGAATTTCATAGCTGGAATTCAGCAGAATCTGGACGCAGATAGCCTTGACAAATTATTTATTTAGGAGATAAAACTAACAGCTACTCATCTGCCTTGTGCAGCCTTCACTCGTTTACTGCTTTTCAGTACCCTCTGATGAATCTTTGTCCAAAAAGTAACAACACGGTTTCATACCAGTTCACTTAGTGCTCAGTCACACTGTTCCTTCTGGACAAAGTTCTGGCAATAGAAGGTCCTCTAGGAAAGTAGCTTTTTTATCAAAATTGCCTGCAGTGTTGGTAAGTATAACAGTGATCTTTGTGAGCACGATCCCTATTAGTTGTGAACTGCGCTTGTGAAATAGGTATCATAAGATGACAGTTAATCTCACTACCAGTCCAAGTAAAATAGAAATGGAAAGGTTTTACCTTACTTACTTCCAGACTTTCATTTTTATCTCTTCATAGGTACGTAAGTCTGTTTAAGTATCAATTAATTTGATAATGTAAATTGATCTATCGGGTAATCAGAGTTTTGTTGGTTGTACGATTAATTTATTGGCAAATCTTGGGCTTAGAATACAGTCCTACTATTGTCCATTTAGCTACCATTTAATAAAATCAGAGGAAAATATTGCTGTGACATCTTTGATTAAAAGGTGTATTTCATCCTTTTCTGCCTCTTAACAGTATGTAATTGTGAGCAGTAAGAAGATCCTGTTCTATGACAGCGAACAAGATAAAGAGCAGTCTAATCCCTACATGGTATTAGACATAGAGTAAGTATTACCACGTGAGATTCCTTCTTCTCATTTGTAGGTGAACTTTGTCGGAAAGACTTTGACAAAAGGCCTTTTTGAGGCCCAGTGTGGGAGCACAGTCTCAGCTTTTGCAGTTTGAAGTACGGGGCTGGGAGCTGAGGGACCCACTGCGGGTGGTGGTGCCGCAGAGTGTGGTGCCCAGTGCCCTACTTACTGGTGGAACTGAACTCCTCCCACTACCTCCGCTGGACCCACCTCACATACACATCACAGCAAAAAACGTTAGGCAAACCGTAGCAGAGAGGCTATAATTTTCAGTGTTTGTACATTTTCAGTGACATGTCCTCATGTATGGGTTCTATAGTTAATTAATTTGTTTTCTTAATAAATACAGAATGGATATTCAGAGGTTGGAGCGTGGGTAGAGGATTGTGTTAGAAAGCTCCCGGCAATCATTAAAGTCACATGATGATGGCTTTTCAATGCTGTCATTTCTTTTGCAAATATAGCTGGATACTTGTGACTTCTTTTTATTCAGAGTTTTTGGAAGTTCATATGCAGGACTGAAAGATAGGACTTGATTCAAGTGATGAGAAAATTGTACTGACAAATCTTTAATGACTCTAAGTCTTAATGCGGTATGTTGTATCCTAATTAAATTGTCAATTTATATTTATCATTTTGGTAACATTAATTTTTGTCCTTATTGAAATAATTCCCCATAGCAAACTCTTCCATGTCCGACCAGTCACTCAGACAGATGTGTACAGAGCAGACTCCAAGGAAATTCCTAGGATATTCCAGGTATTCAGTAATAAATGAATGTTTCTAGTGTAACAAAGATGGTATTTCACACATTGCCAAAAACATTTTCATAACTGTGTCTAAAGGAATATTCACTAAAAGAAGTTGAAAAAATCCATTCCGTTATATTTCTTCCATCTTTCTACTTAATGACTCTGAATTTCCATTTGCCATATAGGAGTACTGAGATTATTTCGCTTTGATTTTAGATTCTATATGCTAATGAAGGAGAGAGCAAAAAGGAACAGGAATTTCCTGTGGAGCCCATGGGAGAGAAGTCAAATTACATTTGTCACAAAGGACATGAGTTCATACCTACTCTTTATCACTTCCCAACCAATTGTGAAGCCTGTATGAAGCCACTGTGGCACATGTTTAAACCTCCTCCTGCTCTAGAATGTCGCCGTTGCCATATCAAATGTCACAAAGATCACATGGATAAAAAAGAAGAGATTATAGCACCTTGCAAAGGTAAATAGCAAGTATTTGAATGTGCATATAGTGTTAAGTCCTGGTTTTTCTGTTGGTTTCTCACATACTGTCACTTGAGACACAAGGTGTCCTAGTAGATCAGAGGTTTCTAGTAATAGTCTGACACCAACTGAACGTGAACAGGTAGGTTTTTCTTTTATTAGTACGTAGCTGTCAGAGCCTCTCTAAGGGTGTCTACGCGAGGATCAGCTCACTGCTGTCAGCTAATGGCACGTGGGCCACACTGTGTGTGGTGCTGTGTCGCTGTGCGAAACGATAGCGTTGGTGCATGGGATGAAATAGTCTACTTTCAGTGAAGTTTACTCCTTGTGACTCGGGTTACGTTGTTTCCTGGGCTCAGGTGCACCTCTTTGTGTTACCCTTCCTTGTTTTTTTCCCCATGTGAGCGTGTATCTTCCATAGTACTGAGTTGTCACCCTCTAAATGTAAGGAGGGGGCACTGCCAGCAGCCAGGAAACTTAAAGTATGGCAAAATCTGCTTCACTTTGCTTTTGATTTCTCTGCTGATTTCTCTTTGTGTTGACCATGAGAGTATTGTAATCTGACAGCTAATTTTTGATGTGGGAACATGTTTAGAATAATAATATTCATTTTTATTAAAAAAATTCTCATTACAGTGTACTATGATATTTCAACGGCAAAGAATCTACTACTGTTAGCTAATTCTACGGAAGAACAGCAAAAATGGGTGAGCCGACTCGTGAAAAAAATACCCAAGAAGCCTCCAGCACCAGACCCCTTTGCTCGATCTTCTCCCAGAACTTCCATGAAGGTACAGCCAAACCAGTCCATCAGACGACCAAGTCGACAGCTTCCTCCAAACAAACCAAGGTGACACAACAGATGCTATTTAGTTTATTCTTTAAAACAGTTGACTACAATTAATGCTGTCTATTTTGATGAGGACAGTTGACCGCAAATGTTGACTACTGATGTGATCTAGCAGGCCAGCTTCTCTAAAGCTGAGTTAAGGTATTAGAAGAGCCACTATGTTTATTCCTTTGTTTAAAGGACCCTCATACTGATAATGTATCCTATTGCTCTTGCATGTAATAAGCAGAACTTGTAGCATCATCTGTAGCCTAATAGTTCCTGTGAACTGGTGGCTGGTAGGGGAAATGGGGTTTAACTAGGCAGAGAGTCAGTGAAGATTTAAAAAAAGGAAAGAAGAAAAAGTTTTACCAGTTTTCAAGATGGCCACTGCTGTACCCCATTTGAAGTTGGGCAATGAAGTTAGGGGCTTGTGGTTGTAATGAACCTTGGAGATAATTAGATGTCCTCAAAAAGCAGTCAGGAGGCCTTATGCATAGCAAAAGACTATGTGCCTTTTGTTTCTTATTGCTTGGTTTGGAGGCATATGTTTGAATTCCTGCCCCACTCTAAGGTTAGACACCTGATTGCAAATTTGTATGTTGGTGTGTGTTTCATCTGGCCAAATGTATGTATCTGTGTCTGAATCCATTTATGGTTGATGTTTAGGAAGAGTTGCTTTCAGGGTTCATGTCCTCCTAGCGTAGAAAAGGAGCATAGAGTGGACATCTGCACTAAAGAGCTAGTTCAGATGAATGTCACTTTAGCGTCCCTGCCCGTGGAGGTCACTGAATTTCACTGAATTTCACTGAATTTTTAGAGTTGGAAAGGACCATAGAGATCATCTAGTCCAAATCCCCTGCCAAAGCAGGACCACCCAGAGCTTGTCAGAGCATGTTACTCAGGACTGCATCCAGGCAGGTCTTGAAAATCTCCAGAGAAGGGGACTCCTCCCTGGGCAGCCTGTTCCAGGGCCCATCACTCACGGGCACCTGTGCGAGCATCACTCGCGCGTTCTGCGAGAGAGCAAGGAGATGGGAGGTGGGGGATCACCATTTGGTCAAGTAGCTGCAGCACTTACCCAAAAAAAGGTGGGAGAATTGGTTTCAGTTCCTTATTCAGCCTAGAAGGACTCATGCTCATGTCTCATGATTGCTAAAAGAACAGTCCTACCAAGTTCCTCTCATTTGGGAAAGAAGTGTCGATACAAAATCTCGTAATCTATTACTGGATCAGTTTTAAGAAGCAAAATGTACACTCTCTTGTGGGAAGTGGTAACATTCTGCAGGTAATGCTTACATGATGGCACAGCACAGAACTGGTATTTTTCAGCCTGCTCTTTTCCCCACCTCTGGTACTGGCTCACACTTGGTTATATCAGGCCCCAGTTGTTGACAGCCCGTGAAAAATTTGGTCTGACTTGTTTTGCTTATTGCAGTATTCCAGCAGCAAAGGACAGTTCAGCAAAGGCTTAACATTTTTGATTTGGTCTGACTTGTTTTGCTTATTGCAGTGTTCCAGCAGCAAAGGCTTAACATTTTCCCCCAGGAGGTGACTCGGCAGCGGCCAGGCGCTATCGCTCTCCTTGCTTCTGTGACCAGTTTGCCACCAGTACTCAGGCTGGTTGCAAACTGGGTTGAGTCCCCCAGGAGGTGACTCGGCAGCGGCCAGGCGCTATCGCTCTCCTTGCTTCTGTGACCAGTTTGCCACCAGTACTCAGGCTGGTTGCAAACTGGGTTGAGTGAGTTGCCAGAGTTCCAGCGGGGAGCGCGGTGTCAGCGTGCGCTGTCTCACTGCCGTGCTGCTTTATCACAAAACAGCCTTGTGCTACCAAGAGTTAGATCTTAAAAAAAATACTGCTATTTTAATGTGTGGAAATGCTTAGTGAAAGGACTCAATAACTCCATTTCACTTCCCTCCTAACTTCCATACAGTCTAATTTTTGGCCATTTTACTTTACCTAATTAAAAGGAAGTCAGACCTCATAATTTGGATTTTAAATTATTAGATTTTTTTTATTATAACCATGAAGGTAAAATTTTTTTTAATTACTACTTTTTAGGGACCGATTATTGTAGAGTTTCTTTGTGCAAAACTAGCCCAAATATCACTGATTAGATTGAAGCATGAATCAAGGAGACATTATTCATGACAACCTGGGGGACAAATAAAATACTTTTCTTCTGCTTAGTCTTTACATTCTAATTCATTTGTGTTATTATGTTTCTTACATGTTGACATGTATATTATCATTTCTGATTCTTTTCTCACAGCTATTCTTTGGTGCCCTGAAAATAGTAATTCTCCTTCTAACACCCTTCTTTCACTCTTTGTGACCCTTTTTGCAAAATGCTGTCACAGCACAGTATTTACTCTTCCCATTCCTTTTAGTTGTGGTTCTCCTCCACTACAAATCAGTCTTGAACGATGGGGTTTTTCTATCTGTGCATTTTGTAATGGCGAGGAAAGGAGGAGAACGAATATTTTTGTGTGTAAGCCATTTCATTTTTGCAGTTAAACTTTCCAAGTTGGCTTTGCAAATGTACTTAACAGATGGAAAAGTGTAGTTCTGTGAGGTCATGTCACCTGTCACCTTACTAATGCTGGTCTGTCAAACCAGTGGAAATTTGTATGGATTTAAAAAGTTATAATTAGAAGCCAGATACTTATAAATTATTCTAATTGCTGTGGCCAATTTATACCTGACTGGTGCTTCTGTGAGGCTTTTGTGCAAGGGCTTACCTTACGGAATAATTAATTTTGTGTTACCAACTTTATTAAAAATGGAGATGTAGTTGCTGGTTGAATGTGGGGACTGAGTGGCCGGGGAGAAGCTGGATATTCCAAACCTTACCAGACTCATACAATTCTATAAACTTTTATTCTATTATTTTTTTTTTAACAAAACCTACTCTTCACTTCTTGGTTTGGACTACTGCATTAAGAGAATGAAAGGGAATTTAAGGTATTGTATTATATAAATAGTGCAGGTACCTCCTAGAGGTACCTGGTCACCCTCCAGGACCTACAAGGTGGTCATCAAGGTGATGAAACCAAGATCTGCACAATGCTGCATACTGGGAGGACAAAAGGCAAAAAGGAGAAGTCAAAATAAGAGGGGTTTAGAATGAATTTAAGGAAAAAAGAACTTAATCATGAGGACAGTACAGCAAAGGAAAAAGTTGCCCAGAGAGGCTGCATAATTTTCATCCTTGAAGGTTTTCAGACAACTGGATAAAGCCCTGAGTAGCCTGGTCTGACCTTGTAGCTGACCCTGCTTTGAGCAGGAGCATGGGACCACACCAAGGGGAGCGTGGCCGGGCAGTTGGGGGAAGAGATCTCCCCCCCCCTGCTCACTCCTTAGTCTGCAGCGAGGTTCTGCCTCCGCCTTTGAGCCCCCAAATTCCAGCCAGACATTGAAAAAGTGGGGCAAGTCCAGTGGAGGCCACCAGGGTGGTGAGAGCAGAGGCTTGAAGGAGCTGGGTTTGTTCAGCCCGGATGAAGGAGAGCTGCTGGGGGTTCCACAGCAGCCTGCCCCAGCCTGGGGGGAGGGTATGGAGGAGACAGAGCCAGACACGGGGCTGGGTTTAACCAAGGGAGATTCCAACTGGATAGGAAGAAAAGCCAAGGCAGAGAGCAGGGCAGGGAGGCAGCTGGTGAGGCTGGATGGGCTCCATCCCTGGAGGCTGTCAGGACCTGAGAGGACAAAGCCTTGAGCAGCCTGGGCTGACCTTGTAGCTGACCCTGCTTTGAGCAGGAGCTTGGGCTAGAGACCTCCTGAGGTCCCTTCCAAGCTGCGTGGTCCTATGAACGCTGTCCCTGACAGGAATTTCACACAGTGATTGTTTCTCCAGGGCTTTCACGGCTGTTGTTCTTCGTGGTGATTTAAGAAAGGGGGAAACCAGTTTTTGATGCAGACAATACAATTTCTACTTCTCCATTAGTTGGATTGTGCCAAAAGGATGATTCCAAATAGAAAAAAAATCAACTTTAGGATATTTTAATGGAGAGGTGACTGGCCTGGGTTTCATTTCTTGTCGCTGTAGCACTACAGAAGTGAGTTCTTCAGGTATTTGTCTGAGATCTACTATAGGAATCACGTTACTGTTCGACAAGGCCTAGAGAACAAGTCGGTATCTCCTCCTTTTGGCATTGCTCACCTTGAAACATTGAGGGACAGGATAGCTGGGTAGTGGAACCCCGCTCTATTGGGGGTACAGTAAAATCCTGCTGCATTTGTTTGTAAATTCAGCTATTTTATTTGATGTTCAGCAATCAAAATGACTTCATTTTATTGGAAAAATTGTTAGCTTTGTGTGACTGTCTGGGAAGGGATAGTGGGAGAGCGTAAAACTGCACCTCGGTCAACAAGAACAGCAGCAACACAGGAGGCAGCTGGCTTTATGAAATGTATATGTTGGTCTTTTCTGTTGAATTTTTTGGGGAAAAAAATCAACATGGTAAGTATAGAACTGAGTGATTTGTGAGATCAATTTCCAATGAGTACAGTATTCCTGGCTTACAGGAACTCTAGCTGAGTCTTCATATTCCACGACAGACGCAGGAAGGAACCCGCCTGCGTTAATGCGGTCTCTTCCCTGTAAAAGTTCAGTGATAAAAAATGGAATTTTGAAGCCTTTAATAGAAATGTGACACACATTAAACATCAAACCCTCCTGTTGCAGATTACTTGATCTGGCATTTAAGGACTGGGATTGGTCATTTGATGATGTTGATGATATTGATGGTGATGATGATGATGATGATGACGATGTTTTTGATTTCTGAAGAAGTATAAAAGGGGTAAATCTAAACAGAGAGGAATGGATTTGTTTGCCTTTGAATACAGCATGCTATGTTGGATTTTGTTTCTCAAAGCAGAGAAAACACAAGATCTCATTTTAGTATTCTAAACAGAAAAAATGAGATTCTGTTCGTGATGTCGATGAATTTTTAAAGGAGTTATTTTCATTAAAACGAAGTTGTTGCCTTTGTCAGTGGTTTTATTTTTCTAATTTTAGATCTCTTTTCATGATTCATGTCTGCCTGCCCGAAAACAAAAAATCTGCTGTTTTCAGTGTTGCTCATCTGTAGTGCTAATACTGCTAACCTCCAGGGATCCTTTTTGGAAACTAAAAGGGAGATTGTAGCAGTTGGATGTTTAGCTGAAACAAAATTGGTATTTACAAATACTTTTCATTTTTAAGCTTTTAACATAAACTGACTGTTCTGTGGCCAGCAGACATGAAATCACTGGAGTTGTGCATTTTGCTTTCCTCCCTGTGTTATGAAGTGAATTTGACGTGGCTTTCCTTTGCAGTGCTGTGCGTTTGGGGTACCTAACCATGCCTTTGAAACCTACATAAACAAATGAGCTTGGCAGCTTCTGTGATACGATTTCCTTGAGTGCTTTAGAAAAGATAGAACCGCTTTATTGATCTAATTTGTCCCATGACTCAACTTAAATAAGCAGTGTGAATGTACTGGAAATGGTCATAACTACTTTACGGTTTTCAGTCTTTAATCATTTTACATGTTGATGCAATATTATGTTTACACAGAAGAAAAAAAAAGCCCTGAATTTAACATTAAGCCCTGAATTAGCAATTTAACAATTCCTAAGAATTCTTTTAAATAGTTCATAAGGTGTCTCAGCCTTATAAATAATGGGTGACAGCAGCAGTGCCAGGGCTGGACCTCAGCTCTGTACTCGGGTACCTGAGACCAGCTCCTGCAGAATTTAAGGGGGGTTTAACTGATTGGGGATCATCGTGCATAAGGATGCACTATATTTAAGTAATGGTGCTGCTGAACGCCCAGGAGGGACGTTTCTCCCGAGTACACTGTGAGCCCCTCTTCAGTGAAAGCTTTGAGGAAGTATATTTTTGTCAGATTTACATTTGTTGCATTTACTGACCAAACTTCTTGCTTCTTTTTCAGCTAACTGCTCCCTGTGAATGCAGACACAATTCAAGGTGATAATTTTCTTCCCGTTACAGCAAGACTGAAACATATCCCAAAATATATTAAAAATATATATTTTCCTGAGAGATTGTGCTATATATATCAGAGGTTTACATTTTTGCTGCAATATAAATTACTAATCTCTGAGGGTTTTCCTGTATTCTCCTGAGTGACTGATCAAATGACGAATGGTTGGTAAATAGTAAAAGGATATGTTAGGTAACCTTTTAAACTCTGTTCCACAAAAGCTTTCTTGGCGAGACACATACACTACATTTCATAAAAGGATCGAGAGGAATGAATATTAAAACGGAAGAAACTGACTTTTCAGCTTTCCTAAAGATGCCACCAGCATGTCTGCAAGAAGAACAGGAGGGAGATCCACCACAGTGATATAGACTGCATCTGTAAGAAGTGACCATTATACTGTGTATATATATTGTACTGTAATACTGCAAGAGGGTTTTAAAAATCTTTCCACTTTATTTTTTTATGCTTATTAATCAGATACCGTTACTTATTGCAGTTGCAACTATGCACTTGTATAAAGCCATAACGTTGAAGTTTATATCATTCATACACGTCTATCAGAAGCTGCATGTCAGTGTTGAGCAGCTAGGATAAGTTTGAAGTATATACTAGTTTCAGCTATGTCATCATGGGCAGTCCTGTTTTACCTGTCTAATTGCCTTAATTTAATTTTTTTCAAGTTTTTTGCCCATTCTCTCTATTTAAGGTAAAAAAAGAAGGTTTACCAGCTCTTAGGATGCAATTTTGCTTTGTGGCAGAAAAAAATAGTGCACTATTTTTACACCTAGTAAGTATATCAATGTCAGCCTATTTTGAATGTATATCGACTGGTTTTAAGGGCGGGGAAATGTTGGTTACAGAAACAGCATCTGATACCATTGGAATGACTACACCATTGGCTCGTACGTGTAACTGCTCATCCAGCCCTTTTTACAAACCTCAATATTAGTTATTGACTTATATTAACCCTCATTAAGTGCTATGAAACTTCATTTTGCCTTGTTTTTGCGTACTCTCCTAGATGTGTTTTTTATTTCTGGGAAAAAAAAAGAAAAAAAGAATCTGTGACTATTTTTACATTTCACAACACAATGTCCAAGGACTGTCACAAACGTTAAGAAAATTAAACATACTGTAGATGTATTTTAAAATTTTAAATCTGGTTCTCTAGCACATAGCTGTAGGCATAGATAAATATTTCAGTAGTGTGTTTTGAGAACTGATAGCTGGGAAAAAAGGGCCTCGGAGGCACTTAATCTGACTTTTTTTTTTTTTTTTAACTTGGAGTTGTACAAAAAAAAATAATTTATGTGGGCTCATTCATGATGTGTTCATAATTATCCCAGAAAATGCATGTTTTATACAACTACAGTATGCGATGTTAAACATATTGACAGTAAAAAATGTAGTCTCCTATTTGGTCTCTTTATATATATAAATATATATATATATTTAAAATATATATATATATAAAATATTGTGTGGGAGTGCAGTAATTTAAAATATGATCTAACACTTCAATGAAGGAGGACATTTCACTTTAAAATTTTGTTTGTTTGTTTTTGTTTTTTAAAGAGTGTTGAAATGTTTGGAAGGATAGGACCATGATTTATTTAACACTATCATGAAAGGTGGACTTGGAAACACTGAAAATGAATAAATAAATATATTTACATTTTGTAACCTCTACTACAGTTCAGCTTAACAGAGCCAGAATGTATTCAGTCTTCTATTTATGCACTCGCAAAGTAAAATGTTGTTTGTGAGTTCTTAAATTCAAAACAAAAGCTCTCACATCATTTCTGTGAGGTATTCTAACCCGGCGCACAGCTACAGTGGTTTTTTCCCTGCTTGTTTTGATTTACAGAAGTACGGTATATTTTTAGGTAATGCAGATTTGCATAGAGTACAACATTAAAAATGTATACAGTAAAACTGTTTCCATTCACTGAATGCATAAATATTTTATATATATATATAAAAAAGAAAAATGTTACATTGTGGGAAGTTCTATCCTTTTCTGAATTGGAGAATATTATATATATATTTTTAAATAAACTATTTGAGTAAGGTAAAATAGTTCCTGAACTTGAGAAGCTGGTAATTAATTGAAATATTTAAATATGTAGGCAACTACTGCGGCAGATACGGGAGAGGCAGGGGTTGCTGGAGAGGAAGCGGAGCGAAGGCGGTGCGTGGAGGAAGGGCAGGCTCCCAGGAGATGTCCTGGCTGGCCACCAGGTGCTGGGGCTGGACCTGGCGCGCTTCCTCTCCTCGGCTTCTCCTCGTTTCCTGGGAATCCCTGGGGCCCTGGTAAGCCTGACGTTTCAGGAAACGTGCTGTTTGATAGTATTTATGGCCACAGTCGGTGCGGTCTATACTTGTAGAAATAGTTATTAGCTATTCGTACAGCAGGCTGTGTTGAGATGCTGTCGTAGAACGGTATGGGCTGGTAGCGCTGGAGGTCCTCTGCTCTGACCTCCACCACAAGGCAGGGCCAACTTAGCATGGGTTCCTCAAGGCTCTTGAGTTTTCTGTGCCTCTAGGGATGGAGGTATCGTAGCAATCCTTAGTTCTCCTTTGTGCAGTTTGTCCCAAAACAAAGGAACGGCGTGGGCTGTGTTGTGCTGGAACGTGGAGGCCGTTTGGCCGGTGGTGTGATGTGCATGAGGACTGTTTTGTACCCAGGACACAGAAGGCAAAGCTGCTCTTCTCACTTGTCCTTCTGCTCCAGACAGAGTTCCATCTGCTGATCTATGGAACGCAAAGAACTCCTAAACGTTTGTTCCTGGAAATTGTGGAGTTTCCATTTTGTCCAGTGGTGACCTTTTAAAAGAGAGAAGAGCATATTCCCGAATTAAGGAATAGTTGTCTTAAAGTCACTGGCATTCAAACACTTTTTTTGTAACAGGGCTGTCCCCGCAAACAGGACTTGGGTGACTTGCTCTATAGAAACTCTCTCCTTGCAAGTCCTTTTGTTTCACAGAAGTAAACAAATAGCACAGCCAAGCTGCAGGTTAACCCTGGGCAAGAATCAGGGGTCAGACTTGGAGCCAGAAGCTCAAGACACTTGTCAGGAAGTTGCTCTTTGGTTCGCATCCAAGAGCTCACCAGCACGGAAGCTGGACAGGAAGACCCTGCTGGAGTTAACGTGTCAGCTGTCACAAAGACTTTTCTGAAAGGTTTTCTCTCCTGTCCTAGTTGTGTACTGCAGTTTCCTGCTTGTAGTGGTTGTTGCCAAAGCTCAGCCCCTCACAGCGCTCCAGCACCAAGTCTGCACGCTGAAGGAAACATCATGGTTCTTGTGCTTCATGGCATGGTTGATGCCGTAACCAAAATATGACATGGACCATAGTACCACGCACCAAGTCTGCACGCTGAAGGAAACATCAAGGTTCTTGTGTTCATAGCATGGTTGATGTTCTAACCAAAATATGACGTGGACCATAGTACCATGTAGGACTTGGAAATGTGCAAGAGGCTCAAGTGTCTCAGCACTCAGTGACAGTGGCCAAATTTAAACCATCACTGAAGTTTCATTGCAGTATCTTACTACCTCTGTTGAAGACTCTGAACCTCTTACATTTTTGACAGGCGTTCAGTGGCTCTCTGAAGTCACCAAGGCCAGGAAAGCCACCACTGGAGATGATTTTAGGCTTTCTCTCTTTAGTTTCTCAGGCAGTGTCAGATGATCATTAGAAAACAGAGCATAATTTATATGATTTTAGGCTTTCTCTCTTTAGTTTCTCAGGCAGTGTCCGATGATCATTAGAAAACAGAGCATTTATGTTTATTATCTTACAATGTGTTAGTTTCCCACCTAGCTTTGAGAGGAGTCGTCTTGGAAAAGGATTTCTGTCTCTTGGTCTCAAGTGCCTTCACCATCCTGTGCTTGTGAGGTCCTGTTTGGGATGCTGCTGTGGAAAGGGGCAACTTGTATGAATCCAAACTTCTCACCTGCATAGCTCTTACAAACCCTCACCGCTTCCTTATTCTGTTCCTAAGGCAGGAGAACAAAATGGTCCATGGTCCAGTTCAGGGAACTGGAGTATTTCAGTCTCCTTCGCATTCCTGCATAGTTTTCCTTGCCATTCATGTCAAAATAGTGGCTTGTTTGTTTTTTCATTGGATTACAGTTGATCTTCAGAATCTTTTGTGGAGTCCCATATGTGCACATACTACTCTTTAGGTTGAAAACATTGTTTGCTATGTTTTAAGACAATCCTATAAACCAGGTACTCTTTAGGTTGAAAACATTGTTTGCTATAAGACAATTCTTTAAACCAGATAAGGGATTTTCAGTGTCCCATGGATCATGGGTTTTTGCCTGCTGAAGTATCCCTCAGGAGAGTGGGAAGGAGCTGTGTTTTGGATCTCTGTGAAAGATGTTGATTAGTTCTAGAACTAATTCATGTTCTGTGTTGAAGTTGCCTGTAAAGTGGAGAGTGATGATGATGATGTACTCAGACGCGCTCATCTGAGAAATAAGACAGGTCTATGGAGATGAATGTGGCAGAAAAGAACACTGCACCTAAACACATCGAATCTAGTTTGCCCCAGGAACAACTGCAGCAATTGGAAGAGCTGATTGTAAAACCATTGCTCCAAGAAGTGGGGACCCAGAGGAACTATAATTTATTAGCACTGGGATGCTAATTACCAGGCCGTGTGGTGAAGATTGGGGTTTTTCCCCATTGTCAGCAGAAGGCGTTGTTTTATGAGGGTAAGAAAGTCAGTTTACTGCCTGATAGTTGCTACAGCAAGTGGGCAGTGAGATTTGACCACTGCTGCTTTTGCTCCAGTCATCTTACAGAAGCTCCAAGATTAAAGTGCAGTCATCTTACAGAAGCTCCAAGATTAAAGCGATCTTTCAAAATGAAAGTCACAGTGAGAGGCGGCAAAACTACAAAGTTACAAGTGTGTATCTCGAAGTGTGCATCTTACCCTGCACACCTGAAAGAAGTCTGGAAAGACACATCCTCCTCCTGAAAAGAAAGGGCAGAGCGCAGCGGCTGCAAGCCCCAGCGGCCCGTTTGGGTTGCTTGGAGGAGCTGGGTAGAAACATTTTCACAGCCGTAAAATGAAAGTCACAGTGAGAGGCGGCAAAACTACAAAGTTACAAGTGTGTATCTCGAAGTGTGCATCTTACCCTGCACACCTGAAAGAAGTCTGGAAAGACACATCCTCCTCCTGAAAAGAAAGGGCAGAGCGCAGCGGCTGCAAGCCCCAGCGGCCCGTTTGGGTTGCTTGGAGGAGCTGGGTAGAAACATTTTCACAGCCGGGGTGACTGTGATGCCTCCGCTGTGTCACCCCATTTTGGGGTCTAGGCCTTCAGCGTCTGTTCAGAGATGTGCACATACTTGAATGTATAGTCTTACATGGCCACGTCCCAGCGCGCCTCTTGGGTCATCGGTTCTTCTTGTCACTTGGCATCCCCTTTGCTAGCTCTGGGGGTTTTTTCCCCCAGGATGCTGTCGTGGGATTGCTGCCAATCCTCCTCTTCCCCTTTGGCTTGCCACCTGCTTAGACTTAAGGAGCTAATTTGGCACTAATAAGGCACCGGCCTTGGTGCGGTGGGGGCCAGCTGAGATTCAGTGGGACCTGTGTCACCACTTGTCCACTCTGGAGCGATGGATGGGTTTGATGAACCCAGGGAGGGATCTCCTCCGTGTGCCTCCTGTGCCGTTCAGAGCTGCAGCCACGGGAGCTCTGTTACTGGGAAACTGGGCGTGCGTGCAAGCTGAAACCAAATACCCACAGAGAGGAAAATGTCCTTGAGCTGAGAGAGACCATGAGGAGTGCAGGTCGTGCTGATGGTGGACTGCAGGAAAAGCAATTTGTAGTCTCTCAGGATAAGTCACTGTCTCGGAAGTCAGCTCAGTGGACTCTGTATGGAGTCTGTTGCTCAAAGGGGAAAGAACTTCTTTACAGGAACTGGGTAACGTAAAACAGGCTTTACACAAAGTCAGTTTGTGCTTCGTTAGAGTCCTGACTGCCTGATTCACAGACCAGGGGCTGCTGAGGCACAGGAAGCCTGTTCTGCCATTTACACTTTTCATGCAGCTGAGGGAGGTCAGCACCTTGGTGCTGCTGGCCACAGCCCCCACACCAACACAGAAACCGTCTACAGCCCAGAGCAGCGTGTGCACATACACAGAGGACTTGTGACTGCAGTAAGGTGGCAGGTAGAATTAATTTTCACCACGGGGCCATGCTACTGTTCAATTTGGATCATAATCATTATTAGCTGACTTCTCCTGTCGCATTTTAAGCTGGTGCAGGTTCTGCCCTTTAAATTAGTTTCCAGAACCTTAGAAGGTAAGACAAGGTGTCTGCCCTCTGAGCCACTGGCAGGAAGGAAGCTTTAACACCACACAATAGACAGAAGTACTTGTTTAGGCTACTGATAATTTAAGGTAATTATAATGAGCTGAAATAACAATCAGGGCACAAACAAAGTTATGACAAATATTTAAATTGTCCTTAAGGTATCCCCAGTTAAATTTCATTAAGAGTATCATATAGTGTAAAAAAAAAATCCTCTTATTTTACACCCAGTCCAAAGACTGTGCATTTTTTTGAGGTTGAGATAGTGCTTGCCCCAAACCACTTCCAAGGGGGAGTGGAACAGTTGATATCTTTAACTTGGAGGTGTCTCAATCTTGCCATCACCTGAGGTCCATCAGAAGTTGGGTCCGTGAGACTGTCAAGGTCTTGCAGTTGGACCCAGCACCAGTGATGAGGTGGCAGGTTCTTCCCATCATGTTTGGTGTGACTCCTGGGCACCTATTTGACATCAAGATCCATCATCTCTGAGAACTCTTAAGTATCTTGGAGAACTTGTAGCTCAGAGTCAGGCAAATTAAATTCAGTGCAAACCAAGAATTTAATAACATCCTATTTTAAGGGCTTTTTAACTTCCTCACATTCCAAACTGGGACATCCTTCAACCATTATTAGTGATGAAGGCAGCATTTCATGTTCTGCTTCATACTTAAATACGAAGGGAATAGAACAAACCAGCCTGAAAAGTGTTAGCAGGGAAATAATTGTTATTCACCATCGTAGAAAATACATGGCTGGGAAACTACTTCGAGTTGATCTGCACAACTGTGTAGCTTTTAATTTATAATGGTTCTTCCTGTGGGCTCTGAGGTGGTTTTGGTTTTTGGCGACCTCCTCCTTACGCCCCCGTTTTACATGTCCTTGAATGGATAATGATTGGTGGAGGAAGAGTAATTTTACCTCATTTCAAGGAGTAAATGAAGGCTTTCTACAAGTTGTAATCTCTTGGGGACCTTTTAGCTAATTGTGAACGGCTTTCTCCAAAGTGCTTTAAAACCTGGCTTCTGAGCTCCAGTGGTTGAGGGGGGGAATGTGTCCGCCCCCCACCCTGCTCCTTGCTCTCCTGTTTCAATAGGCAGCTCAGCCGAGCCGGTGAGGGAGGAGGACGGGCAGTTCTCAGCAGTCCAAGCAATAAGAACTTCTGCTGCATTAAAGGAACATGAAGGAACACGTCTGCATCGGTGTAGTTCTGTGCTGCACAAGGCGCGGAGGGTCATGGAGGCCCGAAAGGTGGTGGAGATGGTGGGTCTGCATCTGTGGACAATGTTCCTGTTCACTGGGGACAGTTTTGGGGAAAGTAAACTGTACCCATCTTCCACTCGCCGCATCCTCACTTCCAGACCCGCAACCTGCTGTCTCTGGAATCTCATCCCTATTTTGGGGGACACAGTGTGTGACGTGATAGACATTTTCTCTTTCACACTGTTCAACTGAGCTTTGGCCACCTGCAGCTCGTAGCTTGTATGGGATTCTGCTGGGATTCTGCACTTCTGGAGGATCTGTGAACGGAGGCTTCTCACTTCCAGCCTTGTGAAGAAAAGCTTTTTACTGGCTCATACACACACGGCAACAAACCCAAGGTGCTGTCCCGGCCTGTCTTCGGTCCTCTCTGTGTTCCGCAGCCAGCAGCTCGCCCCGGTGCAGCCCAGTCACACGTTTAACAGGATTTATCTTCTCCATCCAGCCCGGCCAGAGCCACTGCCTTTAATCCAGCTGTGGAGAAGATTATGGGTTACCTACTGCAAAACCACAGGGTCTGTGCTTCTATGGAGCTTGCCCAGGACTTGACCATGCTTCTGCCTTAGAAAAGTGAAATAAATTCTTCTCTGGGGGAAAAAAAGAAGGTGTATAAACTATTTACTGCTACTGATTTGTTCCCTGTCTCCTGCAGCTTGAAGGAGAACTTGCAGTCCAGCTTTCCGAGTCCATGAAATTGCTTTACCTTAAGCTTGTGAATTATCCGGTTTTATTTCTTTTTCTCGGTCTTTTTTTTTCCACAGCTTTCTAAGATTATTTATTTTATGTTAAGTCACCTGTAAAGAACATTTCTTACATATATTTTCAGCATTTTATGATGAAAAAAACCAATGTGATCCTGAAACCGTCATTATTTTGCTACATCACTCAGGAGTGTGAAAGATGTCAGTAACAGACATGGTTTGGACTCTATCAATTTTTTTCTATCAAGAAGAGGCTTTAATTGAAATTGAGATAAGAAGTAAGTGTGTTTTTTTCATTTAAGATGCTGGAGCTCTTTAGCATTTTACAGGTTATTATACAGCCTGATGCTTCAAATGGTAAGGTGAAAGCTGCCCATTAATGACCTGTAACGAGTATTTCATTTTGTCTCCATATGTGGAAACAGAACAAAAAATGAAATGTAATGAAAATTAAAGGTAAGAATGACATTAGTCAATCATGAAGAATAGCATTTATTAAAATGACCTGGAAAATATATCACCTGCCACCAGTTAGACCACTTCAGATACTTTACACAGCTCTAGTAACATCAGCAACAGCATGTCTGCAGTTACTCTCTCGACCAACGCAGAAACATTTGTACATTTCAGTTGGAGTGGTAAAAAAATCCTCATCTTTGAACTTGCTCTCAAGAATGTGAGATACACAAAATCCTGTGTCCACAGACATAGCTCTTCCTGCTCTAAAATGAGGGTTTACAGAGCAGCCGTTCTCTGAGGGGGGAGGTCCCCGTCTGACCGCTGAGCGTGCGCTGGAGGAAACATCTGCTTTTCCAGAGCCTGCTCTTCCACAAGAGCCCAGTCATTTGGTGTCTTGCAAGGAAAACCTGCCTCAGATCTAGTCCATGTGGTCTTCCCATAGTTCTCAAGGGTGTCAGGATCAAGGGTGTGTTGGTTTAAAATGTGGTAATACTGTAAGAACTCTTGAAACAGCGAATCATTTCATTTTGAAGAACATAATGAGGTATGAAGACAAGCTACGTGATGACTTCTGTGATTTTTGGTTGGAAAGGCTTCACTTCCAAAAGCAAAATCCCCTGTTAGTAGTTCTTAGTATCCTTTTCCCTTTTTTAATATGCCTACTACAAACTGATAAGAATCACCAAAGTAAAAAAAAAGATGTAAAAATTCTTTACATTCTTCAGCACGCCTAGCACAGACAGGCTGGAATCTGATGAAGCACAGGGCAGTGTCCCCAGGAACTGAGAGCCACCAGCCAAGTCTGCTGGGAGACATGGAGCTGGAGCTGTAAGTGGGTCCCTCTGGGTATGGATTCACTGGGGTCTCGGGGTATCAGTTCAGGAACTTCTGCTTCAACGCAGTTTTTAACTCTGTTGGTCCAAGTTTCATTAATTTCTCCATGTTCTAGTCTCTGCTGTCCCCAGAGCAGCATGTTCAGTGCACGGGCGCTCAGGTTGAGGAAGAATTATTCACGGTTGAGTTTTTGCTCTTAACTTTTATAAAAGCCGGGCGTGCGGAGGGAAGTGCCCACGGGTGGCCCGTATCGATTGTACTCTTTAGGTGTTGTGTGGAAGCGCTACCATCCCAACACATTTAGAACCTTATTTTGGATTTGGCCTTGACTTGGATTCTCTTCATTCTAAAATACAGATAGTTAATGTCGAACTAAGTTAATGTTGAACTAATTGACTTGCTTGCAAGAAGATGACAAATCCCTGTTGTAGTTTGTCAAACTCACAGCAGATGCAGAAAGAGGAGTTGATGTCTTGGTGCAAAACTGCTCTTGTGTGATTGAAGAAAATTGCTTACGTGTAACTGGAAAGTACTGAAGTGATATGAGAATATATAAACATCTAAATACGAAATACCTTGTTCATTTAGTAAAAAGAAAAGCCAGAGAAAATCTGGTATCAGTGAAACTTGTCTTAAATGACCAATAAAAATATGCTGCTTAAATTAAGTATCTTATCGGAATTATTTCTAAGGGAAAATAAGCATGACTGTGCTGAGTGTGCCTAGGGATAAACACTAGCCTGAGAGAGAGAGAGAGAGCTTCCCCAACCTTCCTTCTGTTATTGAAGCGTCACTGCATCAGGGTTTTTCGGTGGTGCCTATCTTATGGGCTGACGAGTGTCTTCTAATCCATCTTTTTAGTTTTCCTGTAGTACAGGATTGTGGCTGTGACCCAAAGATTGAGAATGAGCATGGTTATGAAGCGGATGAGAACTAAAAGGGAAAAAAATAATCTTGTGAGCATAAATAAAATAAAAAAAAATCAACTGCTGCCGTTTTCTGAAGACACGTTTTGTAAACCTTCACTGGTGCCCAAACAGGCGGGTTCCCATTCTGCAGCTCTTTGCAGTCAATTGGCTTTAAATTACTGTGTTCAGGAACCCAGAAATTCTCAAAGTAAATATGGCAGATAAGAGCATTTAGCACTAAAATTAAACTCGGAGCCGCAGCTCACGTGTCTCTTATAGTTGGGGACACGTGATATAATAAAGGGATTACTCTCTACTCTCATCTTTTCATTTCAGGGAGAGAGGAAATGCTTTTATCTGTCAGATTTTAATGAGAGGAAATCTGACAACTGAGAAAAAAGCAGATTTTCAGTACCTTCATTAACTGTCAGAATTTTTTTAAACCAAAAAAAGCAAAGCATCTCTACCCGTGAGACCACAATTTGAAGTATCTCTAACATCCATGTGGTAAACGGAATATTTGCAGAAATGTATGTAAAACTTTGTTTCAGAAAAAGTATGTGATATTTGACAGTTTTACATGTGTGTATGAAACCAAGAACACGCCAAAGCGTTCGGTGTTAGAAGTCAACTGGAAACATTTTCCATCAGAGCAGCCAGCACCGATGTTTGCTGCCATCTCCTCCCTGTTACCAAGGGTGTTGTGCTCTGTTTTAAAGAGCAGCTTTAGCTGGACTTTAATTTGAGATTAATTAAGCTGGACGCCAACTTTCTCCTTTCATGATGGTCTTCTCCCTTCTTCCTTCCCCTCAATACACTTCTCTCGCTTCTAATCAGTGTAGGTGTGTAGCTGGGGATGAAATGGACTCGACAACTGACCCGGACTAATTTCTACATGTGTATTATGCCAATTATGCTTTAACTGTGTAGCCCCCCAAACTCCTGCTCTGGCAAGAGAAAGCAGCAAGGACAGGGGCGAAAATGAGTGATTGAAAAGGGGACTTCCTTTTCCAGTGAAAGAGCCACTTGAACTGCTTGTAAAACTACAGCCTTATTGTGCTGCTTAAAAAAAAAAATCCATTCATATGGTGTTTCTGATGAAATACCAGTTTTGAACTAGAACAAGGAACCACCAAATAAAGTACAATGTGATTTTGTTCCTGTTCATACAGCCACCGAGTCTCACTTTTGAACCCTTTACTGAAAAATCTGCTGCACTCCATAGCTCGCTCAGTTTTGTCAGGATCCTAAGAAGCTGTTCAATAAATTTTCTTTATAATAAAATCAGCTGCAAATTACACATTTTAAGCCATGTTCTGGTTTCTTCTCAGCCTACCCTTTCAGTTTCAACCTGCTATAAACTTTCTGAATGTTGGGCCTAAAACTATTTATATACAAAGCTGAATTTTAAATAGCTTTATAGAAGAATTTTTTAATGCACAAACCCCACAATAAGAAAATGAAGCACTTCATTATTTGAAAAGCTATCACTCAATTATTATAGATTTATTAAGTTGTATTTTATTAAATATATTTATTGATGTATTTAAATACTAAAGTTTAAAGCTTTATTCTGCTATTTTCATAAATAAGTTAATCTTGTAGTGGTTTTGCCTTTTGAAAAAAATAATGGCTGTTGATATGTATAAGCAAGGGGAGTTGTTGTTTTGTTTCTCCTTCAGGTATTTGACTAATTTGTCAAATTAGCACTAATGTGCTACTGAGCAGTAACTCCTTCCCTCGCTGGGCTAAACCACCAGGTTCATGATTTGTTCTTCTGAGACCAGATAACTTTTTACAAACCAGCTAGAAACTGCCACGGCAGCTGTTGCCTTGGAAAGACGAGCAATTCCATACTTTACTTACCTGCAAAATCATTTGTAGTCATTACAGTTGTAAATATTCTTGCTGTAAATGGAATGAATTCTGATCAGTGGACTAGATACAACACATACCTTCAAAAATTATTATCTATTTTTTTCAACAGAGGATAATCTTGCATGAAAATATACATTGTACAGACATTCCCACTTGTACTGCATCCACTCTTCACTCTTTTCGCTTCAGAGATCAAGCTCTCAAAGCTGAGTGATACTGTATTAAAGGTATTTTTAATGAGGAGATCCCTGATATAATTATAATTTTTACATCTACCTGCCTTGGTAGATTGGATGTGGCCAGATTTTACTGCTCTCTTTCTGTTCAGCTCCCCCCTTCAGCAGTTAATTCTGAGCTACACCCACAATCCAGTCAGTGTGACTGAACCATTGTCAATGTTCACACACGTGCTTTTAGGCTTCTGCAAATATGAGGAATTCAGCTTTCCTTCCCACAACAAATCTAAACATTAAATTATTTCACACTTACAGCAGACTAAAACCATTTACAAAGTTTACTGCCGCTGTTCAGCAAACATACCACAACTCCTAATTAATTGACTTAAAACCATTTGTCTCATGGGGAAATAGATCCAGCATCACTATGTTTTATAGTAAGAATATTTTAAATAAGTTTTGTGAATACAACAAAGGCATTTCTGACAAACAGCTGTAGAACTGTTCATGCAGACCACTAGGTAATTAACAGATCAACTGCACAAATCACTGGTTTTGGTATGTTCTTAAATTCTCCTCTGTTGAGAAATGTATTTACAGGTGCTCATAGTCAAAGGTATTTAGCATTGTGTGTGTGTTTATTTGTAGATGCCATTTCAGAATTCGTGTTGCCTGTCTGACTCAAAGTTTAGCACCTTTTCAAGCTGGATCACTGATTTTACTCTTGCAGTTATTTCAACTTGACCATATTTGTATGTTTTCTAAGTCAAAGTGACATTGTGACTGAGCTGGTATCAGTGATAAAACTGGATTTCAAGAGACTATGTGATATCTGAATCTCAGAAGTCGGCACTAAGGGGAACTACATTCATTAGCCAAGATTTTTACCTACTCTGATTGAGTCAAGACCTAGTGAAAGAGGCATTAGAAGATCTGGCATTAAAAAATGCTTCGCCCCAAGTTGCCCATTGCTTACTTGCACAGGTGTATGCAGACATACTCCAGGTCAGGGCGCTCACTTGTCCAGAATCTTTTGTCTGCCAAAGACACCTCAGCTGAGCCAGCTTACTGGCTGCACTGATGAACGTGCACAGATTCTGAAAAGCAGGTAAAAAAAAGAGAAAGAACCTCTGCCATTGTATTATCCAAGCGTTTCGCTTATGGTTGTTACTGAAAATCAGGACTAGCCTTTTCATTTAGAATTTAAAATGAATTTAAAATTTTAGAATTTAAAAAATAATTAGATATTTGGCAACTTAAGCATTTCAGCTTCTTACTATGGAACCGTGAAGCAAAAACTGAAGTTGCCAAAAGGAAGGGACCGATTTCTGAGGTACTGCCCAGAAAGAAGCTCAAAGAGCACAACAACTGCTGCTGCTGTTGGCAAATGCTTGATGGAGGCAAATACAATAAGAGGCAAAGAAATAAAAAAAGTCTCTGAACCTGCTACATAAAACTGTTTATGAGAGTCAGCTAAAATGAGACTGATCTAGTCTAAACAGCAAGGTTGATTCAGACCATCTGTTACCATCATGTCTGGCAAACAAAACCATAAAAGAATGAGAAAACTGACAGGAATGTGTGGAAAATGAGTCCAATTGGTGGGAAAAAATAATGAAGGGAATGGACTATTCACTCTGTCATGCTTTTAAGGGGGATTTTGCAAAGGCAGCGGGTAGAGAGGACCTCTGCAGGGGTCTCTCTGGCATGCCCGAATTTCCCTTGCAAGTAAGGGTCGGTATTGGGCTTAGAAGCTTTTATGCCCATTTGTACCACCTTTTGCATTAGCATCTCCATCTTAATTAAATTTTCTCTCTTCTGATGAAAAGGGCAAAGACCATCTTTAACCTTCATAGGGCACTATGAGACGATATTTTCCTTGCAGAATTCTAGGACTAAAGGGAAAAATGATCTTCTGAAATATTTAAAATTCCCTATTTCAAATGCTTTGACTGATGCGCTCCTCTTTTTTTCCCTCTGATGCTGTAGGTTTATTAATAGGGATTGTGACATTAGGACTAAAGAGGCAATCTTTTTTCAACATCTTAAACTATTGCTACTTTTAGTTAAGGTAACACAATTAAGAACTTTACCTCAGAACATACTTTTCTCTTCCCCCCCACCCCTCCTCATAGAGTCTGTATTGACAGTGCTGTATCTTCCAGCTACTCACAGAAGTGAAACAGCTGTATTTGAAAACTGGGCTTGTTCTGAAAGCTAATTCAAATGATTAATTCTTCCGAGGACAAATATAAGGAGAGATTTCACTGATAAAGATGTCCAGAAAGAAAAGTTATTTAATATGTGGACCTAATTTTAAATAATCAGGCGAGCATTTACCATGGCCAGGTCTATTATCCACTTCCGCAGTGTCAGCATGTACCAGACTCCCCAAAACCTTGCAATTATGTTAAGTTTCATAGCACTGAAAATTCGAGGACACCAAAGCTCTCGAAACTCCCTAGGGAATGAGATCTTTTTAACCATTTGGAAATAATCTTATTGAAACTTCACAACAGACTATGCAATCTAGATAAAACATATTAAGCACTGGTTGAAACACTAAGTGCTTCTGTTTTTCACACTGTCTTTAGCTGAACAGTGCCTGGAGTTTCTCAAGGGCTGCTCCAAAGCACAATACACTGCTGTGTTCATCACAGCAAGTACAATCTGTATGGCTAGGAATAAAAGAAAAAAGATTCATCATTTCCACCCTGCACCTCTAGCAAGGGTGTAAATTAAGAGCTGGTCTTACTCCTTATTAGCTGCACCTCTAGCAAGGGTGTAAATTAAGAGCTGGTCTTACTCCTTATCAGTGGAGTATTGTGGGCCTTCTCAAGCACAGCTACATATAAAGCTTACTTCTTGTAGAGATTTTACTGTGATCCCAGAAATCAGTGTGTGAATGTGGAATGCGTGTTGAGGAGTGGCTGAAAATTACTTACAACGGTAGCACAAAACAAGCGATGACGTAGTTGCTATGCAAAGAACTACCAAACAAGCTACATAAACCAAAATTTCCAGATTTTAAAGGATACGTGACTGCATAGAACAAAGCTTGTTTCATGTTTCCACTGTAACGCAGAATAAACAAAAGAAGAATGACATCTGAAATAAATAAAAGATCGCTCGTCAGACGAAGGGAAGAGCCTACATGCAATTCTAGACAGAACGAAGCAGTTCTACGGGGCACCATGTCTACGGAAACTGGTATCTTACAGGTTTGTCTCTCAAATTTGATTGATGTCCAAAACACTGCAAGCTCCAAATGAAACTTTTCTCAAAATCTGGAGCATTGATAAGGTTTTTCTCCCATGTGGAGTCACTGGAGAAAGGAGCTTACACTGTGACTCCACTCTGTGTGTATTAGATCTTTCTCCACTATCTGACCATCTACGTTCATAAAATGTCTAGGAATTCAGTTATATGTGAGATGTTCATTCCCTCTTCCCCCAGACCCCTGCTAGAACTGGTCAATGGATACATGTCATCGCAGTGGAGTACTGTATCTAAAAGCCTTGGAGTGCTGAATGAGCCCTGCTTTATTTCCAAAATATGGCTTAAAATAATTACCTTGTGCAATGATGATGGGATATTCCAGGTATGTCTGCAGAGGGTAATCATAATAAATCTGGTACCTCAGAAACACAAGGAATCTGAACAGAAAAACACAAAACAGCATGACTGCACGAAGGGACAGGACAGCCCCTTCAAAACCTCTTTTTTACAGTTTTGCTTGTGCCAAAAGGCTCCAAACTGATCAAACAAATATGAAGACAAAGTGCAAGCCTGATGACTTTTGTTACCCTCAAACAGATTAAGATGCAGAGAGCTGCCCATACTTCTTGCCAAGGTCTTCATTGTCACAGTGCAAAAGGCATAAATAATGGCTTATAAAGGCTTCCAGACCTAGAAGCTACCTTCTCTTCACAATTCCCTTGGTACTCTGGGATAACTCTGACTCCTTTACTTATGTTTGTCATTCAATCTGTACATTAAGCAAGTTTTACGGGAGTAGAAAACATTTCCTAAGCTGCCTCAACTACACTGTTACAAGATTGCCCAGTGTAACTGTACCGGTCAGACTCAGAGCCTGCTCCTAAGTGCACCAAGCAATGGCATGTCTTCTTCCTGCTATTCCACAGTACAGTAACTACAAGGAATTGAACTTTTATCACGTTTTCTTTACTTTCTTCAACTTTCATGCAAATCCATGGGGTTAGACAGAAACACCAAGGCTGCAGAGAGAACAGAAAAGGTGTCTTAGGGCATAGTTCTATGTAGGGATGCAGCACCACAGCTGGGTCACCAGCTGTGTCCCAACAGAAGACGAGGCACAGGCATGTTCAGAAACAATGTGCCATTTTTGTGAGGTGATCTTTCTGAATAAAAGGCCCTTTTTCAGCTTGGTGCAGAGAGCTAGTAGCCATCCGGCTGGCTGTTTTGGCCACCTCCATCCTCAGTTTGGCAAACACAAGGCTCTTCATGGCATTTTCTCCCACACGCCTGTACCCACATTTACACGTACGTGCTCAGTTTCCCTATTTCCCATTCCATGCAATCCTCTTTAAGTAAGATTTAATGAGTCTAGCCCGTCTAAGCTTATTACAGACTGACAAATCTTTGGCGTTTGACATGGTTTGTAATTTTCTTGAAGAATGATTATGTTTTAATTATTTGGGTGACAGAAGCCTGTCTAACTGGTACAATTACCTGCAGAACAGGGCTCACAGACCATTTAATACCGTAAATACATGGCTGAAACCCAACAGTAGGTGTTGTCTCCAGCTACATGGGTGGCCCGGGCTTGATTTTGGGCAAGTTAAAAAACCCGAGTTTCCCTTTAACCGGCAGCACGGAAATATTTTACAACAAGCAGTTTCTGCTCCAAAGAGTTTGCACACCCAAGGAAGGCAGGACGTGGCAACTGCACCCGACAGGCGAAGAGTCAGCAGGCTGAGGAGACGCCATCCCTCAGTTATAAAAAAAGGAGCGGTTTTAAAACCGAAAGAGAGCAAGGACTGCTCGCCGCCCCCTTCCAACAGCCACTCAAACGCATTCTCAGGCGCGATCAGAGCTGCGAAGGAAGGAGCTTAGTTATAAATTGCGGCCGCTGAGGGCAGCCCCCCTGAGGGAACCCCGCTGAGGCGAGGCGCTGCCGCCCCACCCCAACGGCTCCGCGCGCCGCCCCCGGCGGGAAGGGAGGCGGAGGAGAGGGGGGGCCGCCATGTTGAGCCCCAGTATGCCGCCCGCCCCCCTGCTGTCCCCATCGCCGCCGCCTTACCCGGCCAGCTCCAGGAGGAGGCTGCCCACGCTGACCCCCCGCGCCGAGCCGGCCGCCAGCACCGCCGCCAGCTGCGGCAGCTTGATCACGGCGCACACCGCCCAGGTGCTCCAGTGAGCCAGGGCCAGCAGCGTGGACGCCATCCCGCCGCGCTGCGCTGCCCACCCGCGGCAGCCCGGAATAGGGAACCGGCGGTGCGTCGTGGTGAGGTGGGGCGGGCAGCCCGGCCCCGGGCCACAGCCGTCACGGAGCGCTCCTCGTGGCGCCCGCCCTGCCCGGGGCGTGGGGCGTGGAGGCCGCCCGGCCTGTGGGTTGCGGAGCGCCGGGCCCGGCAGCGGGTGTGCGCCTCTCCCCATCAGCCCTGGGCCTCGCCGGGCCTGAGCGCCATTTGGCAACCCCGGGGAGGCCGGTGCCGCTTCCTTGGGAGGGGGGGAGTGCTTCTTGTCAGCCGCCTGCGGGCCGGGCCGGGCACCCCTCAGTCCCCGGGCTGCTGTGAGGAGCAGGGCCGAGGGGCAGCCGCCTGTCCCGGGTCGGCTCTGGTTGAGGCCTGCCCACTGCTAACATACCTTCGTCTCAAACGCTAAGCTCCAAATTGAGAGATTTGGCCCTGAAACGATGCTTTTTTATCTTAAAAAAGCCCCCACACCATTAATGATCAGATATTGGTGGTGTAAAAGGTTACACCCAGGCCGTGTTCGCCTAGGAGTAGTGTGGATGGAGTCTGGGTTTGGAGCTGTTGGCTGGATTTCGGTTTTCTCCCCCAAAGTGGAGTCTCCGCTTTGCTTCAACTTGCTTGTTTCTGAGGTGACGCTGTCTGGATCGTGCTGGTGCCAGCTCCTGCAGTAGGGACGGTGTAGTTTTGACAGCGGCACTGTTGGTTGTGCAGAAAGTTCAGTAAAATTTAAAAGTTCCTGAATATTGGATTTGTCAGATTATGTGGAGATGGAGTAACTTCTCCGGAACATACACCTACCCACCATACGTGCTTACACACAAAAATAGTAAAGCACAGTTTTTAAAGCTTTTGTACTTGCCATCTTGTCAGAGCTAAATAAGAGCAATTATCCAAGAAATATGCATTTGTACTGATCAAATATCTTGGCTCTTCCATGCCTGCATATGGCTGGGACTACTCAGAGTGTCAAATCTATACCATTAATTCAGATTTTTATGTACAGCATGATTGCTTTAACATTAGGGGTTATTTGCAGGCATAAAATGTCTTCATTTTAATGAAAGTTGTATTTCTGTATGACTAACAGTTCTTAACAAGGTTTAGTTTCAGCTCTTTTGTGTTTCTTACATTGTTTTCTGTTTTTTGATATTATGATTTGACAAACAGGTTTATTGCATTCATTTCACATACCTTTAGTGATATTTTAAAACAATTCTACTAATGCTTAATTTATGAAGTGTTTTCCTCTGTGTAATTCAGTCACTAAAAAAAAGGAAGCACGTATGTAGGAATATGTAAAATCTCAAAATTATGATTGAAAAAAATGACCCCCGATACAGAAGTTTATTTTTAAAATTATGTTTCTGTTAATACAATTCAAATGAATCAAGCTTTTCAAAGACAGTAAGCTCTAAAAGAAGAAAATAAAATTTGAAGCTACCTTAAAATTTTAAGTGTTTGAAGATTTTCTTGATAAACTGAGTTCTCAGCCTTGTGGGAGTATTATGTACTTGAAAATAAGTTGAGTAACCCCTCACACAAGGTGAGGTTATCTGGTTTAAAATTAGGTCTGAGATATAGATGTATCTGTCATTTCAGATAATCTTGAGAGTAAAAGAAATATTTAAGGTAGAAGTTGTGTATCTGCATTACGTTGTAGATGGTGATCCAACAAAATGCTGTAAAAATACCAACATCTAGTATCCTGCTAGAATAATCAAGAAGCCGAACTGACTTCAAACTCTTAAGCAGGTCCATGAGCATATTTTTTTGTTCAACCGTTTTTATATTTAAATAAGATATGAAACGTTTGTCTTTGGTCAGCATTTCAGCTTTTTGACAAATGCACTCGCTTTGCCAGCAGTCAGTGAAACAGAGTGACTGAACTCTCCTTCCCCTGGCCCGTCTGTGTGATGATATTGCTCTAGCTCTGTTTACTGGCCACTCTGACTTAAGTGACAGCTTAGGGAAGGAACAGACGTCACGGTGCTGGGCAGCCCTGTGCAAGGTTCTGACCAAAAAAAAAAAAAAATCTACAAAGAGCATTAAGAAATTATTCCTCTTCTGTTGTTTAAATTATTTAGTTTTATATCAAATTTCAGAGTCTTTTAGTTGGCAAGTTGCAGCAGAATGGAGAACCACGTTAAATTACAGCTCGGTGAATAAATTCGTTACATTAGAATTTACAGTGCAGATTGCCTGTTCCGCAGCAGATGGGCAGTGGTTTAATGCTGCTGCACCTCAAATAGGAATGCAAATGTTGATTCCCATTAAAAAAAAAGAGAGAAGCAAAGTAATCTTCCTGTAATAACCAAAGGTCAAACCGGAAATTTTTTTCCAATAATGGTGTTGGCTTATCATAGCTGAGTTTTTAAGCAAAATAATGCCTTGAATTTTGTGGTTTTGCAAGGAATGCAGGGTGCTCTCTTGCCTGTTATTTCCACAGACTACCATGCTAACAGAGAATAGTTCAGTTTATAGATGGTGTTTTAAGCTCCAGGTTAAAATAAAGGAATTTCCACAACTGGGGAATCTGTGGGGGTGGAGACACCCCCCTGGGAGATGTGGGGAGGAAGGCTGGGGGTGGTCAGAGTTGGGCAGGGACAGCAGGCTGCCAAAGGGTCTCCAGCTTGCCCTGAGAAGGAGGTGTGACACTGAGAACACACACAGCCTGGGGAAGAAGAGGGAGGAATTAGATGTGGCAGCACAGTAGCAGAGCTGGGACCTCTTTGGGATCTCAGGGATGGGGTGGCACAGCTCATAATGAGTGCTGTGATGGAAGGATACAAGCTCTTCTGGAGAGGCAGGCAGGGAAATGGGTGGAAGTTGTGTTCCACACAAACAAGCATCTCTTTGCTTGGAGCTTTCCTCTGCTTTGGAGTGAGCAAAGTGCCAGCTGAGATCTGAGGGGCTGGGATGGGTGGGGAGATCAGCACGGGGAACATTGTGGGGGCACCTGCTATGAACTGCCTGATCAGGAAGAGGAAACAGATGAAGCCTTAAATAACGACAAGGGAGCTCACAATTGTAGGCTCAGGCTTCTCTGGGAATGTAAAATTGATCTGACACCTGGAGGAGCTATGCAGTGGGGTAAAAGCAGTCCAGCCAATTTTTGTGGGGCATCAAAACTCCCTTTTTTGACCTAGATGCTGGATTTGTTACTCATAAATAGGGAGGAAGTAGTAGGCAATGGAGAAGTCAAGGGCAACCTTGGGAGCAGTGACTCCAGGACCTTAGAGTTAAGATCCCAAGAAAAATAAGGAAGGCAATCAGCAGAATAAAGATTGTGTGCTTCAGGAGAGCAGAATGGGGCTTTTTTGGGATTCACGGGCGACACAAAAGGATTGCCCAGGCGTGGGGGGATCGAACTGGGAGACCCAACCTCAGTTGGAGTTGAAATTGGCAAAGGATGTGAACACCACCAAGAAAAGTGTCTGTAATTACTTTAGCAACAAAAGAAAGATGAAGGACAATGTCCCTTTGACAAGGTAGAACACTATAGAAAAAGCTGTGGTGCTCAGTGCCTTTTTTTGTCTCAGTTTTAACTAGTGGGGTTTGCTCACAGGCCTCGTGGGTCCTCTGAGCTGAGGAGCATGGTCAGATGGAATGAAGTACTAACCGCGATGAAGGAAGACAGAGCTGGGAACTGCAGAAGCAAACTGGACAAAAACTGCTCCGTGGGACCAGATGGGATGCAGCTGAGAGTGCTGAAGGAGCTGGTCGACATTATTTCAAGGCCACTGTTTTTCATCTTTGGCAGGTTGTGGTTATCAGAGGAGATTTACAGATGACTGGAAAAAGGCAAATGTCGTGCCTTCTTGCAGGAAGGAAGATCCAGAGCATGACAGGATGGTCAACCCAACCTTAGTTTCCAGGAAAATTATGGAGCAAATCATCCATAATGGCCTCCTCTGGCTGTTTCCAGGTGTGTGAAAGACAGGGTGGTGATTGGGAACAGCCAGTTTGGATTTACCAGGGGCAAATGTTGTGCCTTAATCAGCCTGATTGCTTTCTCTGAGAGAGCTGGCTTGGTGGGTGAGGGAAGAGTAGTAGATGTCATTTACTTTGAGGCAAAGCCTTTGACGTGGTCTCACTTAGTATCCCCGTAGTGAAAGTGGGGAGATACAGGCTGGGTAGGAGGACCACAAGGCTGGTGGAAAACTGAGCAGCTGGGCTCAGAGGATAGTGGTTAGCCGAGTGACATCTCCATCTTTGGAGATTTTCACAACTCAGCGGGACCATGTCCTGAGTGGCCTGACGAAATATAAACGTTGGCCTTGGTTTCAGCAGGGAATTGGCCTAGAAGCCTCCAGAGGCCAACATAACTGTGATTTCACATATTTTATTCCTTACAGAAGCTGGATATTTGAGGCCCCATTCTGCCACTGGAGACATGATGGTAAAAACAAGGTAGAAATGATCAAGATTTAGAAAAAAAAAAAGAAGACTGTGATTCCAGCTACTCTTCCTATCTGGTTGGATTTACCGAACAATTTTCTGGTGCCCAAGGACTGGGAGTTTTGCTATTGACTGACACGGAGTTGTCACAGGACCTCACCATGAGGAGGGAGGTTATGTCTGGGCTGATAGACTCCTCTGTGACAGAGTGATAGTGTTTCAACTCTGATTTAAAGAACCTCCTCGTACTAAATAAGTACAGTGGGTCCCTGTGTACTTCATGTTTGAGGTTGTGTTGTACAAGTGTGCGTGATAGAAGGATAAAAAAACATTGGAGGTTGCACGTAGTTCATTGGTTTTGCTTGCACTATGTTATATATATTTGTGGCAGACTGAAAACATGGCTGTATTTATATAAGGTTTACTTGATGTTAGGCTGAGCAGAAACATCACAAATTGAATGAAAGTACTGTAAGCAAAAAAAAAACCCAAAACACCAAACCCTGTTGACTCAGTGTTTGCTCTGTGAAATGGCTTATTCAGTTAACTGAGGGCCATTCTGGGTAATGGCATGTTGTCTGAAATAATATGGTTAGTTAAAAAGTAGTACTGAAAGAGTCTGGAATACCAAACACAGCCTTAAAAACCTGACCCAAAACCTAACAAAGCCAAAGCACTGGGAGAAAGAAAAACAGACTTGCCTTCTCTAACTGGTTTGTACTGGGACTCCTTAAGCTGATTTCTATATTAAATTTGGAATTGTCCCTTTTATGTAGATAATCTACACTGAGCTTGTAGCCCAGAGAGGGGGTTAAGCTGTAGCGTTTGGGTGTGGAATTGACGTTCTAGATCCATGGTTACATCTGAATGACTCAAATAAGAGGTTCTAGTGAGAGTTGAAAGTGTGAGTACATTATGGCAGCCCTTCCAATGGTCCTGGTGTGTGATGCCTCCTGCGTTCCAGCTAGAGGTCCTATGATTCTCCCAGAGCATGCAGATGGGTCTGCCAGCACTGAGGAGCAGCTTCAGCATCATCATGCTTGTTCCAGCAAAGAAGATACTTGGCTCACCAGATCTGAAACACTGCCGTGTGCTGGTTTCCCTGTGGCATAGAACCCTGTGGCTTCTATGTTTTTCAGTATACTTGGCTCACCAGATCTGAAACACTGCCACGTGCTGGTTTCACCCTGTGGCTTCTATGTTTTTCAGCGACAAGAAACTGAGGAGCCCTATGGTAATACAATTTGTCAGCACTCTCTTAAGTTCTGCTATACAAGAGTTTACATCAACTTCTGTGTTTTCAGTCTATTTGGCTTTTAAGAGAGAGAATCTCATAACTGCTAGTAAGGATTGCAATATTTGCAGGTGGTTCTATGCTACATCATTGGTTTAGTGTTTTTCACAGCAATACCTGTAATTGAAATAAGAGTCACATTTGTTAATTTGCAGATTATATAAAATATATCCGATGATGGTAATTGGTCATTAGTAAACGGGGAAAATTGACACAGAGTTTGAAGTGATCAGGTCAAAGTCATAGAGTGAAACCAAATCTCATAATTTTTATAGCTGTTGTGCCTACATATTTGCAGATTATTTCTTAATGCAATTTATTAATCAGTATATGCCAACTGAGAGTTTCCTCTTGTCATTCTCTGGGTTAAGAGAAAGTTACGAGACATTGGTGGCAGTTTTGCTCCGTCAACCTGGCATAAAGGCCTTGTGCTGAGGTGAGGCTGTAACCCCAGGTACTTGGAAATTCCATTTCTAAGTACTGTTGGAAATTCCATTTCTAAGTACTGGTGGTTTTGTGGGTACATAGAGCTTCTGAGAGAGGCTTTGAGAAGGTTACAAGCTGAAGTCTGTCTATGGCATCTGTGCCCTCTGACAGAAGAGGGCTGTGGGCAGGGCTGTGATTGACAGAACTGTGCAAGGACCTCTTCAGCCTTTGGCAGAACTTCTGAGTTTCTTGGAGAAGCATCTGTGTTTCAAGGGATTCATCCCAACAAATGTGAAGTTTTCTGAAGAGGACAAAGCATACCTGACATGGATTCAGGGTAGCCAGTAGAGTTTTTAGGAGAAACATCCTGCTTTAGGAAAGGTTTTACCGGTTTCTGTCTGGGCAGGATTTAGGCAAAGAAGCTTGAGGCCTTAACAAATTATTGTTAATTTCTAAAACCAACAAATCAAAAAATATCCCACTTCAGAAAACTTCTCTGCTTTAAGATAAACTTCAGTTCAGAAATTTTGTTCTATAGAGTGTACTTCATAGAAAGCAAACAATGTGAATGACCGAACGTCTGATGCCTGGGCTGGCAGTATCGTCCACCTAATGTTCATACATAATTATCCTCTCCCTTCCCTATTGTAGGAATCTTACTGTTTATGCAGTAATTTTCACAGCATGGTGAGACCTTCTTTGTTAGAGAACACACTTAGTTATTTTGTTTACTTTAGAATAATTTAAAGGTCAAGAAACAGTTTTATACACAGTTTCTAAGAAACAAAATTGCATTTGCAGTCATGACTGATCTTATAAAACAAAACTTTATTGTTAAGATGCTGCCTGGGAACTATATACAAAGACTGTTCTAGAAGTATGAGAAATACAGATTTATATGAACTTACGTATTTTATGTTTTGTTAAAAAATATTTTTTTCACAGTTTTTTGTTAGCAGCAGAACTCAAAATGGGAACACACAAAATTTGGAGGCACTGGAAACATCTATGCACCAAGTTACAATTCGTATTAACAGTCTTCAAAAGTCCACTAGAGAAAGCAGTGTATCCAACTGTAGAATTAAATTAATATAGCCACTCATTTGTGCTCTTTAACTGAAAGAAATACAGAAAATTAATTGTCTAAACATGTATAATTTCCTGTTTGAGATCTGGCAGCAAAAGGGAAAAAAAAGCTTATAAAACTGAAGCACAAGGGGTACATCGTAAGCACTCCTTACAAGAAGCTTACACCACAATTTAGTATCTACGCAATCTCTTTAATAAATGGAATTTCCTCTGATTATTTACAGATTTCAATGCTGATTTTATTTCATCTAGTCTTTCTGAGAGACTCTCTTACGTAAATAAGGATTAGTTGGCAAAGTCAATTATGGTAACAGAAAAATTATTGCTAAACTTGCGATGAAAATGTCATCTAGAAAATATCTGTTTGCTGCCTTCTACCCACAGATGGGAAGTTTTGATTAGGACCTCAGATACTCCCGAAAGGCCTTTTCTGGAGGTTGCTGTATGTGGAGGGAGATCCAAACTAACTTCAGAACCATTAAGATGGGTACCAGAGTAGGACTAACTGCAGTAGCATAAAATAATTTGCATTTCCAAAGAAGGTGTAATAATTGAACAAAACAAGGTATCCAGCTCTACTCACTGTTCCCATATCCCATGGATTGTTAGATCTGTTCCACATGGGAAGTCTTTGCTCTCTAAACAGCCACTTTCTCCTGGGAGGCAGTCATTCAGATGTCGTGTGCTTAAGAGTCGCTACTGATTTCAACAGGGAATAGCAGTGAATTGGGGTTTTGGGGTCAACAGAGCTACTCCTATCCCGTTGTTGCCCACTACTGTTTAGAGGCATTTCAATGGGCTTAAACAGAAAGTCAAGGTATTAACTTAATTCCCCATCAGACGAGGCAGTACAGTTGTGGGTTGCTGTGATCTTGCAACAAGGCAGAGCCACATTTTCCAAGGTTGCAGACTTCGATGATTAAGCCAAAAATTCTTGCATGTTTTGATTCCATTTCAGGCATACCTACAGGCTTTCCTGGTGTGAGCTGTTGGACTGAAGTGACCTGTGCAACGAAGTACAGCTGAGGAGGAGTGCGGGAGTGTGTGAGGGTCTTACTGTACTGTATAGATGTAATCACTGCAAGTACCCACTGCAGGAACCGCCTGGCATCCCAACGGGTGCATTATCTGATTAAGGACATGATCAGGACTACAGTTCATTAGTGGAGGTTTCCTGAAATTGTTGAAAGAAAATTAGCTATCACCATTCGTACATATGACATAATGACATGAATGTGCTGGCTGAGATGGGTTAAGTGGCTGTCGGGGGGGGGCACTAATCCATCTCAGATGTGTGTGATTAAAAGAGGCACATCTAGGCTTTGTGAAAAGCCTTTTCTATGTGAGTAGTTAGAAGAATTATAAATATATGTTCTATCAAATAGGTGATTAATCTGTATTTTAGAGGTTCAATCTATTTAAACCTGGTGTAATTGAAATAGGTTTTTTAAAAATTATTGTTGGATTATTTTGAAAAGTTTACATGTTTGCAACGTGTGTTCTGATCCCAGCAACTCTGGTGTAGATGAGAGAATCGGTGAGACGGTTTTCAGATTATCTTTCAATTTATACAACAGAAGGCAAGCCCTATTAAATATGCCATTCTTGATGGATGTGTGTGTTTAACCTTCAGAGTTGGAGATCACTCAGGGAATCTATTCCAGTGCTGTATCAGCCTTACCACTATTCCTAAAAAGTTAACATGATCCTTCCTTGCTGTAATTTAAGCCTGTTTACTATTGTCTGCCACTCACATGAAGTACAAATGATTCCTTTTCTCATTCCAGAGCTATGTATTTGTCTAAAGATTGCTGTCCTCCTTGCAAACTTATTTTTCTTCTTCAGGTTAAACTTTAACAGTCTTTTTAATCTTTCCTCATAAGCCATATCTTCCTGTAGTCCAGATGCCATCGTCGCTTCTCTAGCCTCTGTTTGGTGGCCCACATCTTCAGGGTAAGATACCCCCCAGTTAGTGGGAACTCTTTTGGGAGATGGATTGTCTGGATTCACACACGGTAAACAGTCGAGAATCTGGAAATATTTAATGTCCCTTGAAATTAAAAAGGAATCATGTAACACTGCCTTTCTATAGCTTAGTGTTGTTTTGGTGGATTTCTTGGTGTGGAGTGAGTGCCATCTGGAGGTTAGGAAACACAGAGATCTATATGCTTTCATGCTGAAAAACAAATTCCCCATGCTTTATAAATGAAATGTTCTAACATGAACAGGAGCCTGACAGATATTGGACATCTGCCACTCAGTAAGGGTCTGTGACCCTTAGGGAAGAGTTAAGGCTGCTCAGTATGTCTTAGATAAGGCATGCGAGTGTAATGACTTTTCAGTATTACACAGTCACCAATAAATATTTAGCCTCTGAGTGGCCTGTGCAGTGTTTGGAAGCAGCCCTGTGCAACTAGAGGAAGGAAAGGTTTGATCTGCTTTCTCCTCTCCCTCTTTCAGATGTTCAAAGACAAACCAGTTCCTGGTGTGGTTTTCTGCTCACAAGAGAGAGCAGAAAGCATTTTAGCTGAACAAGAAGATGTCTTTTAAAGAGCAGGTTCCCATTTGGTGTGTTTGAACACAGTTACCCACCACAATTTATGTCTGCACAGAGCAGAATCAATCCTCTTCACCTAGGCTGATTGCATGATGTGGCCTTCCTTCTTCTCTAGGTAGCTTAGCTGTCATCTTAATCCTCCAGTTCTCACTGCTTTGAGGAAGGCAGGAGAAGAACTGCTTGGTACCGTGACTTCAGTGAGTAGGATTTGGCTCTTCTTTCTACACTGTCTTTTTGGTTTTTTTTCCAGAGACCACTTGGATGTTGACAGTGATCACACAGTTCCATACCACCTCTTGGCTTTTGAACTGCATTCTGCTGCTGAAGACTAATCGTAAAAACAAATAGTGTTAGTTGCAAAGTCTAAGATTGTGGGCTGTTGTATCAAGGCAAGGCTTCCGTGTTGATCTCCACCTGGTCCTACAGAAGCTACATGTAGGTCAAAAGGCACTCTCCATGCTGTACTGATTAATGCTTTTTCTCTACAGAACAACAGGTCACAACATCTGCACCCATGTAATGAAAGTGCACAAGTGAACAGGCTTTAGGTATTGTGTCAGTTCAGCTTGGTGATGGTTTCCCTGGGCAACCACAGATTTTAGGAACTATGAACCTGTTAAGTTCAAGGTCGATGATCCTGAGTGTAAAACGGGTTGCTGAGCTAATGTGCCTTCAAAGCACAATGTGAAAGTCTCCTTCCTTGTCAATGACTTTCCATCAGCTAAACCAGGAAAAAAGAGTAAGAGAAAGGAATTTGAGAGCAGAAAGAAAAATGAAAACTGGTGTGAAAAAAAATTGGGTCTCCTTCCCACAGTGGGACGGGCTGAAAAAGCACAGTATGCATCTCACATGCCTTAAATTTTGTTCTTTAGAGCAAGTTTAAACATGCAGATGACAGAGGCTGCTGAATCCTTGGCTAACTACATGAAATGCAACAAGCTGCTGCATTTTGTTGCGCTGACTTTCAGAACTGAAAGTATGTTGTTTATGTTGCGACTCATCTGAGCGGATGTCCATTATTTTTTTATTTTCAGGAGATAAAAATTCAGGAAGAAATTGCCTTTTGGCTGTAATCTCGTTCTTTCTGATGTTGGTGGCAACCTTACTGTAGACTTGCATGGGAAGACGGATGAGATCTGTAGTGATAACTCTCTGTGTATGGCCCAGTCACCCCAAATACGAAGAGGATTGTCTCCTACAGCATTGTTGGACAACATCCATCTTTGCTCTTGAAAGAAATTCCATGCTAGACAGTAGTATTGGTCTCTCTGAGAAAAAGATTGAGGAATTTTTTACATGCTGTGGAGTCTGTTGGCTAGAACCATTTAACTTGCTTTATTACTGTGGTATTTTTATTGAAGCATTAGGAAAGCTGGAGCTCATCCTCAGGTTTCCTCTTTCGTGCTCCACTGCTGAAGAAGTAATCCATGTTTACCAGAGCCCTGCCAAGTTCAGTGCTCATTCGACTGCCAATCCTCTGGTTGGTTGAGTTGGGAACTTTGCTTGAGAACACAGGCACATAGTTTGGCAGTGGCTTCTGCTCCTTTTTCTTACCCTGGATAAAACAAGGACCATTAATAAGTTTTCAGAATTACATCCATTGCTTGTTACAGAGATACAAGTTACTGAGATTTTTTAAAATGTCACCACTTTTCCTTTTGAAATTAGAATTCTAGTGTATTTTAAAATGTCATACTGAATGTACATGAAAGTGTTGAAGAAATAAAGTAAAAAGATTGTTTTTTTCCTGTCCTCTTATGTGGGAATAGGGTAATAACGCAGGGAAATGAATAATTTTCAAATGTGTTGCATAAGGTGTCAGCTGGGAGAGAAGTTAGCCTGCTCTAGAATGGTAGTGATGTGGGAGGCTTTTTGTTTCTTTTTTAGTAAGTGGCTTGGGTTTCGGCGTGATGACATTATCCTACAAATTTTCTCCTCGGAAGTTGGTTCTTCTAGCACTTGTCTTTCTATGGAGTTTTTAATATCGAAGCAGATTGAACAGACGTACGAGCTGTATTTCTTGGCGTAGGTAGCAGATGAAAAGCACTTCAGTTCTCTTTTATTTTCCTAAATATTTTAGTCTTAAAGCATTTACGGATTATGCCTAAGTATGCTTCAATTTCAAATATTAGCCTTGCTCAAATTGACAAAAACTAAAAAGAGCCTGGTTTACAGTTGAATGTTTGTTCAAAACTTACCATTTGGTCATAGTCCTTTAGGAAACTCCAGTTCTGGTACCTTGGAATAGAAGTAAAAAAATGCAGTGTAAAATTTTCTGTCTTTAAATGAAATACTAATGTTAGTCATATTTGAACGCCTATCTAACTGCTCGATTTTGTACTTACAGGCCAGCTCTTGCACCTGCAAATTGTTTGTACTGAAACCTGTCTTTTCTGTGCTGAAGCCCAGGTTTTTTCTTACTCCCATGCAGAGCCCACACTACATGAGGAGGGTTTTTTTTTTGCTGAAGGAAGATGAGGAATAGCATGTCCACAGTGTATTCCTTGAGCAAACGCAGCTACATTGGCAAAGTCCTGAGTCACTCTAGCAAATTTTGTCCCTTGCCTTTAGCAAGACACAGCTTCTTACTTTTTAAATGGCCACTGTTCTGCTGGCAGAAGTCCCTGGTAGGAATTCCCAGAGCCGTACTTGCTGCAGGCAAACACCCCCAGGAGCAGTTTGTGCAGATAGGCAGCAGTGCTGGGAGCAAATTGAGTCAGAAGACCCGAGTTGTGCTCTTCAGCTCTGTTCTACACCTGGTGTGGGGCTACAGGGCAAGTCCTTTGATTTTCTGTCCTTTGCTTTTGCTGGCCTGAAATGGAGAAAATGAAAATTCACCTGCTATTGTAGAAGTGCTGTGAGGTGAAGAGAGGAAGGAGTTACCTGCGGGTAACTCTCACCTGCAAATACACTCCTGGGGGTGTATTTGCTGCAGGGCTCCAGGGACCCTGCGCTGGTTACCTCTCTCTGTGCAGTGCTGCCTCTGAGCTCATTGATCTGGGGCTGAAGCTGTATGTTCTCCTGAGCTGAGCTCCTCTGTACAGCACAGCCGGGCACCACCCGGAGCTAGGAGCATTGGATTTTTCTCTGCTGCATTTTTTTATCTTGCTATGCCAGCCACTATTCGGATGTATCAGATTTGAGTGTTACTGGATGGTGCTAATTACTGAGAAATGCTTGGGTCTCCATATTTCAATATCCATGACTGTGAACCCCAGGGGGCAGGCACAGAGAGAGAGAGTCCTGGCTGCTGCCTTAGCTTGGGAATGGGCACGGAACATGCTGGGCCCCTTTGGGAAGAGTTTGAGCACACAACATTGCCGCCACGGCCTTGGCTTTGCATGAGTCAGAGTCCTGGCATCAGCCTTTCCCTAAGGTAAAAAGGAGCCAGACAAGAGCAAATGCGTCTCTGGGGAAGCTGTGGTTTGTATCTCCTCCAGAAGGCCGAGGAGGACAGGGGTTTTCAGATAGTTTCTTTTCCCATTCTGAAAAATCCTGGGAATGATGCCCTTCTTTCTCCTCCCTTTCCTTTAGCTTATCTAGTGTGCAGTTGGAACTGGACCTGATTTCACTGTCGCTGAGGATATTCTTCTAATAGATGTGCTCAAGCTGTGTGAACATAAACACTTTTTCAAGATATGTGGCAGAGACAGAGAGGATCTTAATTTCAAGTTCCTTCAGGTCACTGAAAAGTCAAAGCTTAGGCTGTGTGTGTGCAGTTCAGTCTGAAACACTCTGACAATGGGGCAGTTCAGTAGATTTACAGATTGGGAATACAGAATCATGTTTTGGCAGAACACCCTGTTCAGCTTCCATTTCGGCCATTTCCAAGAATATGAGAAGAGGTGATAATATCAGTGTGTCTGCAATAAATTATAAAGGTTGGCACATTTATGTCTTCATTGTGGAAATCTCTATAAAACTAAAAGATACTTAGCATGAAATTCAGCATGCAGTTCTTTGCATCTCTTTTCAGCTTAAGCCCAGCATGCCAGGAGGTATTAGCATAGATTTTGTCTAGTGAAGGAAGACAGAGATAATCTTAGGAAGAAAGATGTTAGGGTCTGATCCAAAGTCCTTGCAGAAGAAAATTTCCTTTGCTAGTGTAGGCTTTGGATCAAGCCCTAAGACTGTCAGGGAGCATCAGTACCATTGTCAAGATGAGTAGAAGAGGCATAAACTGGAACAGGTGACTTACCAGATTTTTCTTCCTCTCTGTTCAGCCTCCACAGCCTCTCTCCAGATCTTATCCTGTTGAACCTGGTCCTGCTGCAGTGCTGCCTGTTCCTCTGCCCAGGCCCGAGTAGCCGGTTGTGCAATGACAGGTCTTCTGGGTTGGGTGCTGCCAAGAGACACAGATGGAGCTGAGGCTGGTTGCCCCAGAGGTGTGGTTGCTGGTTGCCAAGACCTAACCATGGTATTTCTCCTGAAGCCAGAACCTTTTCCCAACTTGTCCATTTTGAGACTCGTATCCCCAGTATTGCTGTGTGGCTGTTAGGAAAGTTAAACCTGCAATTATTGACACTTTAAAAGCTCCTTCTCTCCTAACGTTTTCTTTTAGCTGCTGATTTGGAGTGCTTTCAGAAAAGTAACGCGCATGGCAGCCCTGACAGGCACTGCTTGGCACTGGGTTACTTCCCTCATTTAATGCTCATTTCCTACTGCTTTATGCTGCTTCGTTGCTTGAACGCTGAAGGAGTTTTCATGGCAACAGCAATTTTGTAAGAAATGACTTACTGAAAGCCATCGGATCTCCAGCTGTAACCAGCAAACTCGCAGCTTACGAGGCAATTACTGCTGCTTCCAGCTGAGAACACCCTCTGTTCAAAATCCTCAGAACAATAAAGTCTGGTTTCCTCGCAAAGGGTGCTGTGGAGGTTGCTGCTGAGTATATCGGGAGGACTTCTGTTGTGGTGATGTAGCAAAAGCACAATCTCCTGAAAGCTGCTGGTTTCCCTGGTGTGTTTACTGTCTCCATTGGAAACAAGTCTGACTTGTGAATATTCACCAGAAAGGGAGCAGAGACCCAATTGGAGAGCTGCTGGGGCCTTGAACTTTATTTGGGGCAGAGCTTGTTTGTTTAAAATAAGGTATTTCAATGAATCTGGGCTTTGAAAGCTCTTTATTTTCAGACTTTAAAAAAAATAGCAGCCAGAGATCATCAAAAGTCCTTTTTACGTAGTGAGAGATGTCTGCAGGCGGTATTAAGCAGCTATGAGAAGTAGTTTATAAGTAACTTTAAAGGGTTATTAGTATACAAAGTGAGAATTTTCAAAACAGTGTCCAAAATGTCTTTACAGTCAGCCTGTTGGGCTTCTGTGGTATAACAGCACTTCCACAAGTATTTGTGACTTTGCAGGAAAATGGAGTATTTTAAGTATAAATTTCCTCTGAAATTCTCAACTGACTTGTTTTTGAGTAGTGTGGATTAGCTCCAGATGGATTCTAGCCTCTTGCTTCATCTTCCTGGTAAATGCCAATGAACTTTGAATCTACTTTTTTAGGGTTTTTTTGGCAAACTTATTTGTCTGCAGTATTGGGAAATACATACTGAATTTGGCAAATAATTTGTTTTAAAATAGTTATAACTACACAACTATCCAAACAGTTCATGCAGACATATTTGAGCAAAAAATGCTTCTATATTTGGAAAAATTATTCTGACTTTGCAGATTGCAATATCATAATTTAAGAAGAGTTAAACTTCACCTCAGATCACATTGTTTGCTTTGGGTTTGAATGAAATTTTTTTGTTTCCTTGTTTTTCTGAGATAATTGAAACCTAAATAGTATTTTTCATCTCTTCCAGCCAAAAAGCAAAAAAAGTCATGTATCCACACAGCATTATTGTGAACTGAAGAAATGAACTGTTTTCCAACCCAGCCTGATAGTTTCCTCTGTTCCTCTTGTGGAATCTGCTTATCCTGCTGCAGTCATTCCAGGGTCCTCTGCAAATTGGAGCATGTGCAGCTGGTTGGAGAATGGGGTTTTAGCAGCATCTGACTGCTTGGGTGTTGGCCTCTTTTCCCAAGTGACTAATGACAGGACCAGAGGAAATGGTCTGAAGTTGCGGCAGGGGAGGTTTAGATTAGATATTAGAGAGAATTACTTTACTGAGAGAGTGGTCAAGCACTGGAACAGCCTGCACAGGGAGGTGGTGGAGTCACCATCCCTGGAGGTATTTAAGAAATGTGTAGACGTGGCACTTCAGGGTGTGCTCCAGTGGCATGCTCTTGTGGCTGAGATTGTAGGGGTTTTTTTGTGTGTGTATGGTTGGACCCGGTGATCTCAGAGGTCCTTTCCAACCATGAATATTCTGTGATTCTGTGAAGCTGAGGCATGTTTGGAAGACCCAGTGCATTAATCAGTGCACATGGGATTTTAGCTGCTCATCAGGTCAGGAAAGAATCCCGATGGGAAGTCTGTTCCTGTGCATGGAACACTTTTTAAATTCTTGTTTAGCAGGGTCAAGTCGGAGGCCTGTAACCAGCGGCATCCCCCAGGGGTCAATACTTGGCCCAGTCCTGTTCAACTTATTCTTCAATGACCTGGATGAGGGAACAGAGTGTATCCTCAGCAAGTTCACTGATGATACCAAACTGGGAGGGCTGGCTGACACCCCAGAGGGCTGTGCCGCCATCCAGCGTAACCTGGACAGGCTGGAGAGCTGGGCAGAGAAGAACCTAATGAGGTTCAACAAGAGCAAATGTAAGGTCCTGCACCTGGGGAGGAAGAACCCCAGGCACCAGTATAGGTTAGAGGTGGATCTTCAGGGAAGTACCACTGAGGAAAAGGATCTGGGAGTCCTGGTGGATGGCAGGCTCTCCATGAGCCAGCAAGGTGCTCTTGTTGCCAAGAGGGCCAATGGAATCCTGGGCTGCACAGGGAGAAGTGTGGCCAGCAGGTCGAGGGAGGTCATTCTCCCCCTCTACTCTGCACTGGTGAGGCTACAACTGGAATACTCTGTCCAGTTCTGGGCCTCCCAGTTCAAGAGGGACAGGGAACTACTGGAGAGAGTCCAACGTAGGGCAACAAAGATGGTTAAGGGATTGGAGCACCTCCCTTATGAGGAAAGGCTCAAAGAGCTGGGACTCTTTAGCCTTGAGAAGACTGAGGGGAGACCTCATCTATGTTTACAAGTTCCTAAAGGGTGGGTTGAAGGATGATGGAGCCGGACTCTTTACAGTGGTTTCCAGCAATAGGATGAGGGGCAACGGGCTCAAGCTAGAACATGGGAAGTTCCACTCAAATATGAGGAAAAACTTCTTTCCGGTGAGGGTGCCAGAGCCCTGGAACAGGCTGCCCAGGGAGGGTGTGGAGGCCCCTTCTCTGGAGATCTTCAAGACCCGCCTGGATGCAGTCCTGAGCGATGTGCTCTGGGCAATCCTGCTTTAGCAGGGGAGTTGGACTAGATGATCTCTAGAGGTCCCTTCCAACTCTGACAATTCCATGAATCCATTTACAAAGTTCTTGTGTTATTTTAATTCTAATCCTTCCTCAAAGTCAATTTCTGCAAATTAAACATAATAATAAACTAGAGATGGTTATTGAGCTGAGTACACAGCTTCCAAATGACTACTTGTAGCCACTGAATAAACTGAATGGAAAGATTACAAGCAGGTGTCTATTCCAGTGAGTGGTGCCTGCAAAGATGCAGTTGTACCTGCCCTGGTTTGGATGCAGGGCTATGGAGTACCTCTCAGAACATCTTACCGAAGGAGAAGTCATAGGTTAAAGTCCGATCTGTTGGTCTGAGACCCCACAACCTCAGAAAAGAAAGAAATCTTAACTGTTTAGGACTTCTTTAGGCTTTAAACAAAAGTAAGCTGAGTCCTCATGCAGGTAGTGGGCACTTTGTAGTGTTCAAGCCATTTCTCTGGAAGTAATAGATAAGAATGGGATCATGGCTATTCAAAGAAGTTGGACTTTAAAAAATATTATAATAATATGACTTTAAAATGTAGCTGCTGTTCCAACACCAGATCACTAAGATAATTTTGAAAATGATCCCATTTCCTATTGGGACCAGAAGTCAATAAAGGAGTGGTTATGCACCGTTAAAGCACATCAAGGTGAGTGCAAGGATGACATTTCTGGATGTTACTATAGATTCCTTACTGGATATACTAGTAGCCTGTTCAGGCCTTTTACCTAGATGATTAACAGCTCAGCAGAACCGAGGCTCATACTGAAACGTTTCCCCTCGTATTACCATCTGCCAGTTTACCATTTGATGTGTTCATTATAACAACTCGGGGCATTTAAGCAAGGTGCTCATTTGAATTGGTGCAACTGATTGACTGTGTGCTTCTTTTCATCCTGTAGAATAAGTTGATTTTTATTGTGGCTTCATGCCATATGCATCTATGTAAATTGATTATGGGATCATTATTTTTCCTGGTTGGGGATGTCAAACTTGAAAGAAAGTTATGAATGTCACTATAGAAGGTGTTGCCTTTGCTTAGGATTTTGTTTTGTGATTAGTTTATCTGACAAGTTGTGTTGGTGCCCACCATTCTGAGCAAAAACTTGACTGAGGTTGGTCTTTTGGTGTTGCCAGACAAGTGACAATATGCACTACAAATTAATTTGTGAAAAATATGTGAATTATTTCCCCCTGTCAAAGGAAAACATGTCTAGAGAGGCTTTTTATGGAGGAAGAAGTTCAGGTGTTTAGGCAAACTATTTTTGTTTGACCACCAGAGGGTATTGCAGTATCAGTTATGCAAGACTGGAGCTTATGTTTGACTTATATGCACAGCCTTGTTTTTAAAATACACATTTCTGGAAACTGATTTTTTATATTAAGTAGTAGTTAAGAAAATTAGGGTTTGTATGCCAGTATTTGATGTCCTGGTACAGAAGCAATTTCTAAAATTTGGTTTATCTAAAAATTTTTTTTTGTTTTGTTTTGGTTTGGTTTTGTTTTTTTTTTTTTAATAGTAACAAGTTCCTTGAAGCTTGAGAAGTTCTTACTGATTTCACTGGAAGACAGGGACTTTGGAGGCTTATTCCAAAACACTGAAAAACTTAATAGAAATTGCTTGGTTAAATGCAGGAATACAACAGTTACAGAAGGGAAATAACAGCAGGAGATGAATGTGTTGCTGCTGTGGTTGGAAGTGCATGTTGGTCCAGGATGGGCTCTGTCAAAGTCAGTGAGACTGATCTGATTTTCCCATGAGGTCTGAAATCTTTTTCAGCTCATTTGTGTTTCCTAGATTTCCCCTTTACATCCAAGTCTTCTACAGTATACATCCAATGTTGGTTTGCACTTTTTTCCCAAGTCAGTACTGGGTTGGGATACTTTCCTATAAAAGTTAAGTTTTCTAAAACTTCAAAGACAGAGTTTACTGATGTTCACACTATGTTTTGTACAGTTCAGACCGTGGAGGAGGGAGCTAAAAGGATTCCTGGATTCTCCCACTCCTAAATCTGCTGCTGAATTTAGAAGAAGATACATGCTATGCCTACCTGTCTCTCAACAACAACCTGTCCCTCAACAAGCCCACCTGTAAAAACAGAAGGAACACAGCCATATCACATTATCTGTGAAGAACAAATTTATGAGGGATGTGATAGTGATGTGATGGACATCAAAGCAATTTTTATATAAGAAAGTTTGTGTTTGTGAAAGTGAGACACTGCAGAGATTTAAGGAATGCACACATTTAAAAATGCAGGTCCAGTGTCTATGTCATGTTTGAATAAGAGGCAGGAGCAAGATCTTCAGCTGGAGGAGAAGGCAGCTCTCTAGAGAACAGCTTTTCAGGGCAGGTCACCATTGGAATATCTCTGCCATTTCACGTATGG